CAGAGCATCGCTCAGTCGAGCGCTGTCAAAAGTAAAATTGGATTAGTATTTAAGTTAAAATCACGTGTACTTTAAGGTCATGGCAGCTCAGTGGAACTTACAATGGATACAGGCCGTGATTAGTTCATTGTTTACATACGCAAAACAAGAGGAAAACCAACAAACTTCCCACTGTGTCTATTTGAGGGGCAGACAAATGCGGTCTACTTCTCAGAAACGGAAGTGGCTCAATTAACATGTCAATTGTGAAGTGAACAGCGCTCACAGTGCCCATCTGAGACGCAGTAACTATTTTTGGGCTTATTAGGAATCATTGTGCAAGTTTTACGCCGCAAATGAGCAGAAAATATGCTGGATTAACATAATGCAGGGCTTTAATGGAAATTAAAAATAAAATGTGGCCAAATTGAGTTTACAGTTTACAACTTTTCAGTAATATTATTGAAAAACTATATCAAAGCAATAATTTGCCCACTGCGCAGTAAATTGTGCCAAATACAACAGCTGAAAAGTTAATAACTTTTTGAAATTTGAATTTTTGGCGATTTGTTTCACAGACAAACTTTTCACATTACCAATATATCAGATAAGTACTTTTGTGTACTTCTTGCAGACTACTCCAATTATCATTAAGGCTCATAAGATCTGCAATATGGCCATTAGAAAGCTCTCAACCTACTCAGTTGTACTAAAACAAAGTCAACGCAAAGCTCTCAATACAATTTGGCTTATCCTGCTTTATATTTTTCCTCTTTTTTTTGCTGTACTTTTCTCTGAATTCTATCTATGAAAATGTGCGCGAACGGGTCTAGAATGGGAGGTATTCTGGCGCCAATTGCCAAGCCGCTGAGAAGACCCTAAAATTAAGAAAACACAACAATGCGAGCCGACTGATTTCTGCTTGCCAAGATGTTGTAATGAGTGTTGCTGCTTTATATTGGTTTGCAATATAATCAACAAGTGTAATAGCATCGGCATCGTCATCGTCCATAATCTGAAAAAATCCTAAAGGGTTTACTTTTCCGTTGAATAACAGGACCATCCGTCAATAGACTGGTTTACTTGGGCACATTTGCATTGTTCGCATTTACATAAATTTCATTTATAAACACAAAAATTCGCGCATTGAAAAACCTCGCATTGAATTTAACGACCATTTTGCGCTTAAGTGCATTAAAGCATTCGCTTAAAATAGGAGAGCAAAGCGTCCAGTTTGAGTTGGCTATATGACCATCGAACTTAACATAACAATACTAAAAGTAGTAGAACAACAGGTCCTTCGCTGGAGCATAAAGCTTGTCCTCGAATTAACATTTTGATTGGATTTTCCAATATTGCGCCATATGGCTGGTTGGGGCTGGCTCTGCCACTGACTTTGATGGCTGATTGAGTTCCCACTGTTTACGTTCGTTTTGCTTCTATTTTGAACCAACCAACATAGAGAGCATATACAAATTGTCCGATAAGATAAACACATTTTTATTGTTTATGCAGCAGTCAAGTAATGTGAACTCTGAACCTAACTGCTGTGTGCACTTGTATAATAAGCAAATCAACGCTAGCGTAAATAGAAAATGCTTGATAAAATTGTTTGTTTATTTAACCAGATCCAATATGGCAAAATTATGATATACATTACTATTCATATTTTACCAAGCCACTCATTTAGACGGCGACACTTGCATCCAGGACAGCAGGTTCCACGGCACTATGTGTAGTCTTGGTCACTACAACTTCAGTGTTAACATTAGCATCTGCAGCAGGAGCAACTGGATCGACAGTCACAGCTTTTCGTGAGCGGACAATATTTCTGAACAAACCATTGCCGAAGCCGAGGGGTCCCATCTGTCCATATCCACCCCAGAAAGGTTGTTGGTAAGGTTGTTGGTAAGGTTGTTGGTACCAGTTCTGATATTGGCCATATTGCGGCCAGTATTGGGGACCATAGGGCATTATACGTCGATCAGCCGGCAGGGCTGCACCTCCGATTGCACCAACCACTGGAGCAATATCCACTTGAGGAATGACCGGTTCAACGGCCAACTTCACTAAAGGTCGAGCAAAGCGGCTTTGCGACAACGCCAAAGCTATCAAGCTGACGAAAGTTAAGGATTTGAGCAAAAACATTTTGTATAGCGAACGAATTCTTTCCTCAACTGTTTTCAATTCTCGCCGTTGCCTGCTTTTATTACAAAAACAGGGGATCAGCTTACTAAATATTGGTTTAGCTCATTTTTGCCATTCAATTGTTGAAGTCTCAAAACGTGCAAATTTTGTGAGTTATTTACCTTCAGTTCGAACGTCAACTCCGTCTTTAAAAACATTTTAACTTCTAATTATTTGCTTAGCTTGAAGAAAGTGAATAACGATTTTAATAGATTGTCATGAGCACAAGTGTTTTATTGTCTTGACAGCCAAAATACGACAATATATGTTATGTGACAACCTCATACGGCAAAAGCTGTACAAATAAATATTAGATATTAAATAATCATAAGCACAGACATGTTCCAAATGCAGAGCTGATGTCATAAGAACACCTATATTCAAAATGTACCACAATAATATTTGCATAGCAATGTGTATTCATTTCTATATTAGAAATCACCTGCATTGGATGAAGACGCAAATTTATTTATAAACATAACAAGTTAAGCATTACTTGTAGCTATTTAAGTAAAGTATGTGAGTAGCTAAAGAACTTAAAAAAAAAACAAACAAACAACAAATAGACTACAAACTTGGCCCTCATAAAAAGTTTTGACATTGCGTAAATGTCACGTTAAACAAACATAAACAAAAGACAAACTACTTCAGAATATTGACTCGAAAGACCAAATACAAAATAGAAAATAGTTCCTACAAGAACTTTTGTGATTAGTTGAATAAAACATTTGAGAAAACAGTCAGACTGTTAAAAGATATGAAATAATTGATGTTTTTGAATATTGCTCGTTTAGTCTGCACAATCCTTGGTTAATGTTAGCGATATGTTATTGATAATCTAATTAATGAAATGGAACTTATCAGTTTACTTTGACAAACCGTCCAATGGCTGCACCAGATACGTTGGTCGGAATTGTATATATATCCCTTTGGTGTCTGGTCATAATTTCAGATTGACGTCAGCATAGAGTTTTGGAACATCTATATATAAAACTACTAAGCTGTAGGCGTAGTGGCGTAACGAGTATTGTCAAAAATTATGGAAATACTGTAATGTATACAGAGCTGATAAGCCACAAAGCACTCGACGCTTATCTTATCATAGATTCAAATTCATGCATACCTTATGCGTATGTTATGGGCATAATAGACACTTATGTTGTATATAAATCAGCACAAAACCCAAACGAAATGCATCCCACTCAAATATTATGCATATAGAAATCCACACGCTGACAGCACAGCACAGCCCAACCCAAGTAGAGTCAATAAAACCTGTCGGTTTACATCTAAAGAGGAGTGCCCATGCCCGTGCCTCGACCCGACTGCGACATGTCCTCTGTCCAACTGTGATTGCTTTGTGCCAAGGCAACTGCCAGCGGCAGTTTTGTGCTTTTTTGCTGACCGCCGGGCAAAGCAATCGCAGTTTTAATAACCTCTACGGCGGATAACAAGAAATGTGCGGATAACATGGCGATTGTAGCCTTACACATGCAAGTACATATGTTTATTTTGGTTGAGCACCATTCAACAGGCTGAATTAATGGACACTTTTGTTGCTCTTGTCCCAAGTGTCAAATAAAAATCCATTATCACATTAATAAACTAAAGAAGTATCTGCTAAAAATAGCAGCGCACTTTTTGAAGTGCATAGTTAATGACGCTTAAAGGCTTATATAAAAAATGCTTATTTACAAAATCTTATTTGGTTGTTGCGCATTAAACACATAAAATACGTATGGGTTTAGATTATATTTATACTATTATTATTATGATTAACATACTTGACTTACCGTAAAATAAGTAAAATAATTGACTTGCGAATGATTTTTGTAATTCTTGTTATTAAGTCTTTGAGTTAAAACATCTTTTAAAATGTATTATTATTATTAAATGTAAGTTGCAAGTCCGTTGAACATATTTGCTCTTTTACATTAACCAATGTTTTTCGCTTTTTGTTATTACACTGCGGGCACAAAGTTAATTCAATATATATATTTGTATATACGCAGTACACAAAATCGCACTTAAATGTCACAAATAATTGACATTAATTTCAATTTTTCAAAAATAATTCTACTCGAGTTGAATACAAATGAAGTTTGCTCGCTGCACAAAATGTTAGAGGTAACAACCGTAGTCTTAACCGCTTTGCGTGCCAGATTCCAACTGCTTGCCACAACGGCAGGATGTCCAATGGTAGGCGATGCGCCACAGAATGCTACCATATGCTAGCCGTATTGTTGGCCATCGTTCGTGTGCCACACGAAAAGCTCCTTTGGGGCATACATAGCCTTCGGGTCGGCAAAAAAGCTTTCATCTGTTATCAGTCAGAGATTATGGCTTCGACCGGCGTCTGTTTCGTGTGCATTGGGTGTTGATAACGAGTCCGACCACTAATTGTCTCCGCTGTCTATCCAGCAATCAGCGTCGGACAGCAAATACAGATTGACGGCCATCCCAACGGTGTTTGCTTTTACATTTTATTTTTTTTTTAGCTCAAAGCCAGATGCCTTTAAATTGTATTTTATTTCGACCAACAACCAACAACAGTCGCCTGTCCACACCCAACTTCGTTAACCTGTTGAACGAGTAAAATACGATTATCTGGCATACGCCCTGTTGAATGCACACCTCTTGTTGTAGTTAATTATTTAACGTGTAGTTTTATTGAAACTTCTCTTATGTCTCGATTTCTTAAATATTTTACATTAAATGCTGCAATAGCCGCTCTCGCACAAATAAGGCACATTCGACAAATGTTTCATTGTATTAGTTGCAAAATTCAACAAAAATCAAATGATAAAAACAAAAATTAAATTATGTTATATGTATAAGTTTACTTTAATCAACCTAAAAACAATTAAACAATCGCACAGGACTTAAATTAAACGAAATTAGGGTAATTAATGTGGCTGTTCCTTAGGTAAATCAATATAAACTAAGTGTTTAAACATATATAGAACATAAATACTGGGGTTTGAGACAGGGTCAACTAAGAACTATAATTCCAAACATTAATTAATTAATTGTTACATGCAAATAACATTTACATACCATAATCAAGCTAGGGTTTGTTGGTGTTGACAATTTTTGGCTCTTAACTAGATATAACTAGAGATACAATTAATTGATAATGACTTAACAAACATCTTAAAATGTACAATTAGCAGGAATAGAACATTAACACTAATATGGGCCGCTCTTCATATACATATACATCCTCCAACTGGGATGCATGGCTGTCTTGGTAATGGGTTCTCTACAACAAATTAGATTTGAGCATAATTCCAGTTTTTATTTGCGTTAATCAATGATGTCGCGAATGAACGCGTTTCGATTTTTGTGTCGTCGGCCAGTCCAGACTGGTCAACGAAGGTAACAAGCTGTCATTTTTATTATTATTATTGTTGTTGTTGTTGTTGCTGCTGTAGCTATTGTTGCCATGATTATTATTGAGCAGGGCCGGTGTTTGCAATGTATAATCGTGGGCTAGTACGATGGGCTGCAGGGCGCTGAAGTTCACAGCTGGCATGTGGGACGGTGAGGCTGGCGCATAACTCATACGCCCCGTGTTGTTCGAATTGGTGGGCGTGTTGCCATTCAAGTTGGCATATTGATTGGCCACGGGCAGGGGGGATGCTGGCACGTTTAGATTAAGACACGGGCCAGCTCTGCAATGGAAAAATGCATCAGTAAGCTTATAAAACACATTGTTAAATTCGGTGAACAGAGCCAATAAAAGTGAAAGAAAAAATACTATATACTTATGAGAAAAGCTAAATACTTAATAACTACTACGGTTGCAGCTCATTGCCATTGATATACATAATTTATGTGATGGTATGTGAAAAATTGGTGCTATCAAATTGATTGCTTATGGAGCCGACCTTTTGGCACTTTGGGCCTTTGCGAGCAACTATTATTTCTTGGCGGAATCGCCTTTGCTCAATTTAACTCTCATATTGACTGTCACTAGAGGCAGCTTAGTGCTACGAGGGGGTAGAACAATGAAAGCAGTTATGCATCGCTTATGTACAGAAACGAACAGATAAACTGTATTCCGAATGTCCGTCGTATGCCCAATTTACACTCACCTTTGTTGCGTTATTGTGAAGACCGATTTGCTAACAATACGCTTGCCAGTGTGCCAAATGCGACCAATATACTTGATGCGTTGTATGGCGATGATGGCCAGTGCGACAGTCCTTTAAAAAAGAATAATGTTTCTCAGTATGCAAATAAAATCATATTTATGTCATTGTTGTGACTAACTTGAAGAGCTTTTTTTTGGTAACTCGCTGAGGGGTCAGTTTCAATCCAGGAGCACCAGCAAGATTTTGTAGCGCCAGCTGTTCACTCGCTTGGTAGCTTTCCAGGGTTAGCTTGAGATATCGCTTCTGATATACGAGCGCCTTGCGATGGCTCTCTACGCGCAGATAGCGACCAAGTAGTTGACGGCATCGCTCCTCCAGTTCACTGACATTCGCATTCCCATTGCCATTGCCATTGGCATTGCTCGCACCAAGTTCCTCGCACTTCTTCTGCAGCGCAATACGCTCTCCAACCAGATACTGCACAGTTTCGGCCATCTGGCGATTCTCTTGCGTGTTCTCCGCCAGCAGCGTGTTGATCTCCTTCATCTTTTGCAGGAATTGTGCCGGCACAGTATCATCAGTGCTGTGGGCCAGACGATCGTTGGCCTGAGCCAAGGCCTCGGATAACTTTGATTCGCGCTGCGATGAGCGGGCGACATCAAAGCGCAACTGGTTGATCTTCTGTTCGAGGTTTTCTTTCGTGGACTCGGCAGCCAATAGCTTTGATTTTAGCTCATGAATCTCGGCCTGCAATTTGGCCTCTTCCTGGTGCTGCCGAGCACGGGTGTTGGCGCGACGCGTCTCCGTCTCCTGTAGGGTCACCATTCGCGCTTCCAGACTCTCTATCTCGTTGGCCTGCAGTGTGAGGCGTTCGTTGAAATGCTCCAGCTCCATTTCGGCCGAATCCTTGTCACGCGCCAGCTTATCCATCTCCTGCTTGAGTCGTTCACAATATGCGACACGTTCCTGCAACTCCTTCTCATACCGTTGTCGCTCCCGTTCGCTGTTGCGTTGGGCGTCCGCTGATCGTTCCCTTTCCCGCTCATTCTGGGCAGTCAGTAGCTTCAGTTCGCTGCGTAGTCGTTCGCACAGCTCCGATTCGAAATCGGCACGCGGTGATTTCCGTGGTGATTCTGTGGGTGACTTTAAAAGCGAACTGCTGCGTCGACTCTCGGCACGCTGCAATGATGTCAACTGCGTTTGCAGTCGTTCGCATCGTTCGCGCTCCATGTCCAATTGTTTGTGTAGCTCATCTTCGGCTTCGAGAACGGCTTCGAGACGCTTGCGCATCGCCTCGATGATCAGGACATCCTGTTCCTGTATTTCCTGCGAATGATGTTTCTCGCCCAGCAGCTCTTGGCTCAACGTCTCCGTTTGTTCGCGCTCCACGGCCAGCTGAGCCCTAACTGCCTCCAGTTGATTAAGCAGCTCACGTTCACCCGTAAAGTTCTCGTCATCGGTGCCGTGACCGTTGCCATTGCCAGCGGTGGGATCCGCATCGGTTTGGACTTCCTTCTGGTGCAACTTGTTGTCCAAATTGTTCTCCTCTTCGCTCTCAATGGCTTTGAGTATGTTTGAGTCGAGTTGGGCCGAGTAGTTGAGCTCCTTTTCTACTTGCTGTGCAATCTCGTCTACCGAATATTGCTTGGAGCTGTGCTCATTGTTCTTCAATCGTTCGAGATCACGCTCCAAATCCTGCACCTGTCGCTGCAATTGATCAGTGCGCTCCATTGCCAACTGCAATCGTCCTGTCAGTTCTCGATTATGCTCCGTCTTTGTTTTTATCTCAGCATTGAGAGTCTCTAACTCTTGCTTTCGTGTCGCAGCCATTTCCTGATGCTGTTGTTCGCATTGTGCATGCGCCGCACTGACCAAGTTCAGTTCTTTCCGGAGCGTCTCACGATCGGCAGCCTCCTGGGCGGCAGTCTCCAGAATTCTGTTCTCCAGCAAGTCGATGCGTTGGCGATATTTTCGCTCACTCTCCTCGTGGCCGCGTATTAGCTTTTGCTGCCTGTCCAGCTGCTCCTTTTCGTGTGCTAGTTGCTGCTGCAATTGGTTAAGATTCAGCTCCAGTTCGGTCTTTTGCTGTTGTTTCTCCTCCTCCAGTGCGGATAGCTTTTCCTTCAGCTGCTTCAGTTCCGGTGATGTTATAGCTTTAGGCAGCTCTGGTGTTTGCATCAACAGACTGGGCGTCTTAAACTTGGAGTCTTCGGTTAAATTCGAGAAATTGATCTGTCGCGGCACCAAGCCTGGCGTCAATTCGCCACTGACTTGTGTGGTTACGCCAAGTGCATTGGGATCCTGGAAGTAGTGTGGATGCTCAAAAGTGTTGGCCGGATGTGCCACCACAAAACCACTCAAGTCATCAGTACGCTTGTACGTGAGATTTGCGACAGCTTCCTTTGAAGTTTCCTGAAATTAAAATCGTTGATAATACAATATTGCACTTGTTATCCCCTCTCTTTTAATCATTGTCTTACCATTGTCTGATGCAGGAAGCCCACTGCAGACTCGGGCAACTGCAGGGGTGCATTGAGACTGCGCATTGTTGCCCGACGTTCCACATCCGGTTCGGGGAACTCGGTGATCGAACCAATATCGCTGAGAGTGCGAGCACTGTGTTTCGTGCTGGCATCCTGTTTGCCCGCTGCCGGGGAGGAGACTGGACTCACATCCCTGGCTGCCTGCAATTCGCGCTCCTTTGCCTGTAGCTGCTCCTGCAGATGGTCAATCTCGTCGTTCTTGTCGGCCAGCATGGTTTGCATCAGATCGGGCAGCGATTGACGATTGACCATTTCGGTGCGCATTGTTTCCTTCAGTTTGTCCAACTCGTTGCCCTTCTGCAACACTTCGGCCCGCAAGCGTTCGATCAGATTGCGATCCGGCTGCGAGCGTGCAGCAAGCTCTGTCTCAAGGCGAACAATCTCATCCTTGCTGCGTTGCAGCTGCTGTTGCATGGTGGCCATTTGCTTATCGCGGGCGGACAACTGCTCGCCCAGATTGCGCAACTCGCTCTGGAGCTCGTGGACACGCGTATTGAGATCGGAGGTGCCTACGCGATGCAGTTGCTCGGCCCGTTGCCGTTGCTCCTCCAGACGCTTCTGCAGCGATGAAATTCGATGCGACTGCTCATCGATGCGGCCCTGCAACGAGTCGCGCTCGTGCTGCAATTCCTGCGGAGTAAAGTGAAAGAGTCTCGATTAATTGCCAGAGTCAATGACCGACCGATGGACCGCATCTGCATTTCTCTCACTACCACCCTCTAACCCTCCCACGCTCAACCCTTTGGCCGACTTCAATTAAAGTAAATTGAACGCATTCAAATGATACAGCACTGGCGATAAATGGTACATGTATCTGCATTATATATCTGTACTCGTATCTCTTTTATACACAGCGTCGTGTGGATGGCAAGCATTCGATGCGGGCATAAGCACTGCTCCAGCCCCCGTTTACAGCGATTGCCATAACAAAGAAATTTATTCAGGCACACACACGCTGCTTACTTGCATTATGCATAATGCACAGACGAGTATTAGTCTTTCAATTAGGCTCTTGTGGCATGCAACATATTGTAAACACAAGAAACCAGCGCATGCAACCATAACCATAACCATAACATACATATTAGTAGTGATTGAGCCAGGTGCATCAGTGGGGAGGCGTCAAGTGATTTATTTTGAGGATTCGAATTTGAAAGTAGCACAAACTGGGCACATAAATGGAGCTGGCAAAGTGATGACGAGCGCATCTATTTTTGACAGAGCTTGTGCCATTTTCTAAACAACAAATAATGATGTGCTAAATACCGTTAGAAGAACTACGTGCCAATTGCATAAGGATACTAAATATATAATAATAAGATAAATAAAAACATACATACATAATATGTACTTAATGCATTTAAATCCAAGTACAATACATTTATGTACTTGTCTATAACCTTGTCAAAAATCATCATTCATATATATATATATGTATATAAAATGTACATAAACAAATGTGCCGCCTGCCAATTGAGTTTCAATTGTGTGCCGCGTCTTTATGTTATTGAAATTGTATACATATTCTATTTAACTCACTCGAATTGGTACCATTTTGAAGTTGAGCGCATTTTTTGAGCGCAACAGCATTGACACTTTTATAACGATTTATTAGGCAAATTTAATTAAATGAATCAAACAAAATTCAAAACACAACTATCAAGTTGAACGCACACATTTCCATGTGCGTCGCGGGAGACTCTCTGTGGGTAACTGAGCGATATGCCAAACACAGGCAGAATTTCAGTTTACAATTTTAGAATCTCGTTGATCCGCACAATGCTCAGGAACTGTAATCAAAGCACACTGTATCGAAAACTGTGATTATAGCACAGTGCTTACAAAACTGTGAACTGTGTAGAGCAAATACTTTTACACCTCGACAAACCAATTCAAATTAAGCTTTCAGATAATTCCTGCGTAGAAATTCAAAGAATTAAATAATTGAATTTAGTAAATATATAAAAAGTAAATACACGTCAATAGCTATGCATTGATTTTACTACACTTTAAGCTGTTTTGATTGAGCTAGGAGCTGCCCTTTTAAAAATGCCTCCCACATATGTAAGAACATTACATGAAACTTTTGTTGTTTCTGGTGTGTCAGCGAAGACAACAACCAACTCACCACAAAAGCAGTACTAAGAACTACGAGTACTCACCACACAGCCACTGCGCATCTGAGTGACTTGCATTTCCAGATCACGGATGCGCTTGATTGCAGCCTCCTCGACCCTCGTATGCTTGTCCAGTTTCTCGGAAACACGCTGCAATCCCTCCACAGTCAGTGAGTGATGCGTGGGTGAACTTTCCGCTGTATGTGCAACCGTTGGCTGCTTACTGCCACCGTGGACAGATACATCCTCTGTGGCACTCAGGCTGCAGGAGTTGGAGGCGTTGTTTGAGTTGTGCAGGGACTCCAGTGTCTTGGTCTTTTGTTCGAGTGTTGTTTCAATTTCACGCAGTTGCTCGGCCACGCCGTGTTCGCCAGAGGGTATGCCCTGCTGCAGTTTCTCCTCCAGTTGACGGATGCGCGTCTGATATCCTTCGCCGATGTCCGTTTTCAGACTGTGCACCTCCTGTTGCAGGGCATCATTGGAACGCATTTGCATTTGTACATAGTCCTCCAACTGCTTGGCCTTCTCGTCCAGCACCTGTTCGTTGAGCGCCTTGGTCTGCACCTGTGTCTCCAGCTCCGAGATAATCTCGCGCAGCACAAAGATCTTGTCTATTGACGCCTTCAATTCCACTTCAAATTTGTCTCGCTTTGCATTCGATTCGCCCAGCTGTTGATTGACCTCGCTCAATTGCGCCTCCAACTGGGCATACTGTTGGAAAGGGATTATATATAGAAACGTTAGAATACTTGCTAAATACATAATAAATAGCAAATAATGTAGTTTTATGTGTGTGCTCATGTTATAATTGTGTGCGTGGGATTGATCGTGACATAGATGTATACTATAACTTACATGCTTCAGCTTGACAACCTTCAACTTAAATGTGCATTTCAATTTCAGGTGCAGTTATTTGGTAAGGATTAGATTATTGTGGGTGCATGCAAAGAGGATTACGATTAGCATATTCATCAAGGTTATAACATATTATCTTCAATCTTATGTTAGTAGAAATATATATCTGTGTGTGTGTAGATAATTCTCAATGAAACGAGTATTTGACTCGAATGAATTTAAATCGCACCCCCGCCGTGAATATTTTCTTAATTTTTGTTTTTGTTTTGTTTCTATAAATACTACGTCCGCACATGCTTACGAAAGATTTATATCTATATATATATACATATATATATATATGGGCATGAGTACATATAGCAGACAATCATGCTGCCCTTGACTTCAATATGAAGAGCAAAATGAAATATTCACTGGATTGGGTGGGGGAGGCACATCAATAAGGTAGGCATAATTTTGAATTGGGCCGAACAGGTGCAGCCAATCAGTTGTTTATTAAGTGCTTTGAGTGTTCACTAAATTCACTAAATTCAGCCAATTTGTGTATTATAACTAGCAACTAAATCTGGATTAGTTTAACATACGTGTTATTGGAATCGGTGCGGAAAAGGAACAAGGAACTTAAAATATAACAAGACCTACACAATATGTGTAGAAGCGCAATTAAATCATTTTAAAAATAAATAAATATATTTATATAAAAAATAGTCCAGAAGAAGAGAGAACCAAACCATAAAACCAAACGAAACAAAGGAACATGAAACCAATCATAAGTATACATATAGAACATATATATGCGGTCAATATATGACTCAAAGAGACCCACGACATGAGAGGGCACTCACCTCCTCAGAGGCATTGGCAAAAGAGCTGCGCTCTTTTTCCTTGTCACGCAGCTGCAATTTAAGCTGCTCAATCTCGCGCTGAAACTCATCGCGTTCCTGTTCGCGTTCGCCGGCCTGCTCCTCCAGGAACTGCCTGGTGGCCTTCAGCTGTTTGTCAGCGGTGTCAATCTGTTTTGGCGGTAGGGGTAGGCATATGGATTGGGAGGTATAATAACCTAAACTGATACTTGGCTTACAAACTAGACGCGCTCAACGGGTATTATATACGGATTGATCATGCGTTTAGCACTGCAGATGATATTGATATAGGTATAAATTAGGGAGGCGTTAACTTACCTGTGACTGCAGATCTTCGCGATCCTTCTTCCCAGACTCCACAACCTTATCGCCCTCGCGACAGAAGTCCTCTATCATCTGCAGTAATAGCACCGTTGAATTACCCGGCTCCTGTGACTGCTGCTGCTGCTTCTGCGTGGGTGAGGTCAGCAAATGGCGTGCCCTTTCCTGTAGTTGGACAAAGCTGGCCGATGACTGATCTAGCGCCTGCGAGCTCTTCATGTCACCGAGGCCATAGCCCTCGGCATAATCTGTATGATTCAGTGAGTTCAACTGCGATAGCTGATCGCGCAGCGCCTCCAGCTCCTGTCCCAACTCGGCATTACGATCGATGGTATTCGTGAGTTGTTGCTGCAGTTTCTGACGATCTGTTTCCGATTTAATTAGACGATTCTTCAGCTCTATCAGCTGAAAACTGAGCTCGGAGGCATTGCCAGCCTGCTGCTGCAGATCCAGTGGCAGTGAACTGTGCGTCTTGTTGATTTGTACACCATGGCTGGTCTTGCGCTGATGCGCCTCGCCCAAATGCTGATCGTTTAGCGAGTTGGTGCGCATAAACTCGTGGAGCAGCTGCTGCTGAGTTGGATGCTGTGGTGCAGTTGTCTTTAGGCCATCCACGGCTTCGCAGCACAGCTCATGTTCCTGTTTCTCCGTCTCATCCAGTGGCTCTGCAGGTTCGGCGACGTTAGGCCTATCCAGATCCTCAGAGAGTTGCAGTAAATAGGCGGCCTCTGACTTTAGACGTTCGAGGCAATCGCCTAAATCGAAATCTTCATTATTGTCGTCGGGACTTTTGCTGTCGATAAACTGCACTAGGCTGGGATCCTCAACCACTTCCAAGAGACTATGGACATCGGGCACCAGACGCTGCTTTGTGTTATTGAACGAACCCTGCAGCAAAGAGCTGCTCAGCGTTTGCTCTAAATCATCGCCACCCTCCTGACTGCGACTATGTGCCAGTATGCGCTGCATCTCCTCGGAGAGTGTTGCGTTGAGGTCGCCCTCACAGTTGGCCACACACTTGGCCAGGCGACAGAGGACGCTGCGAAAACTCTTTGATAATTCCCGCAGACCATCTCGCTCGTTGATAATGTGATCCAAGTCTCGACCCGAATCGAAGGTCAGATGCCGCTTGTTCTTGCGGTTGAGTTGTTTCTCATAATCCAATTTTATGCGCGACATCTAGACAACAATTGGAAGCGTTATTTGTGCATATTGCATTAAACTGATAAGTTCAATATAATAGTCACCTCTTCAGCATGTTTGATATTCAACTGGGTGATCTCCAATTGACTCTTTGCCGTGAACTTCTCGCGTAACAATATAAGCTCCTTGGGCCAGTGTTGATCATTCGCGGCGTTCTCCGACAACAAACTCTAAAAGAAACAAATCGGACAGGGCATTATTGATTGAAATCAAATTGTACATACACAAAATACATATGTATATCAAAGTCTGTGAAAGTTTGCTGCACATTTGCATGCAGACATATTGAAGCATCGATGCTATATTCGGGCAGATTTTCCCTCGAAAGACAGCTTTTCAGTGCAACAGGACATAAATATTTATTTATCAAAGCAAAATATTTACATATTCTCCTACAGACGAATTTCGTTAAAAATTCCTAAGCTTTCTTTTACATCTGATCTGACAATGAAGAAAATCATCAACGATCTCCCCCACTCTGTCTTGTTTTGTTTGTTTATCGAGACCCGTGGTTGTATCTCAAAGTTTTGCTGTTGTTGCTGCTGCTGCTGCTACTGTGGCATACATACATAAATAAATCTTAATGAACGTGCCGCAGAGAAGTGGTAAGAACTGGCGTAGAAGTCGCAACTGTGGCAGCAGCATTAAACGTCAAATTTTCAATTAAACGAATTTAAAAGAAATATTTTTACAAACAGATGAGCAGCACTTGATCTGCCTTATCTGCCGCACTGAGGTCGCCCGGAGTGCAAAGCTGATTATTCTGTTGCATCTTTCTGATTATTATTATATATTTCCTTTTACGGCCAATTTTCTATATTAAAAGATTATAGATCAAAAGAGAACAGTGCAAAAATAGAGAGAGAGAGAGAGAGATAGTGCTCTACAATGGTGCATTATCATTAAACAAGTTATGCTGAAACTTTACGGCGAAGAATATGTCAAGAAACATTTTTATTTCTGTCTCAGTTTTGAAAATTTTGCATGCAATGTCTGGCAGAATTTGCATAGCACAGAAAAAAGGTATTTTTAGTTTCTTGCATAACTAGGTGAAAGAGACACATTGAAGAAAACTGAAATCAAAATTTGTGTAAATGTTCACATACGTCATGACTTCATACATATATATATATATATTGGTATGACAAGTAAGAAGTTGTATAATAATTCAACTAATCAAATAAATAATAAATGAAAATACATCGATGTATTTTTACTCAAAAATTATCGCAGTGGTAAATTTTGCAATAAAAATGTACATATTCATAATATTTATATTGAATGAATTACACCTGCGAGTGATAAATTTACTATAGAATTTTGTTTACAAGTGAACAGATTTTTAGATAAATATATACTATTTATTTCGCGATATATATTCAGTGCAATAGAACCAACGAAAGTGCATCTACTTTTATTGAATTACAACATCAAATTCCAAATAACAAATTAAGAGATACACAAAATGTTTATCATGTCATCCAGTTAAATACACCCGCTTCTTATTCATCATCGACGTTTAGGAGCAGTGCCAAAAGACTGTAGGCTTGGTTCATTATCTGTAAGGTGAATATCGTTATAAGATCATTAAGTTAGCCTCAACTCAACAAATGAAAATACCTTGCCAAACAGTACCAGACCGATGACAAAAAAGCTGCCGGCTTGTAATTCCATGGGACGATTTAGGTAGATCATAAATGTGAATATCTGGCGACGCATTTTTACAGACATATCTGGCCACTGGCAGGTATAAAGATCATTGACCAACTGATTTGCTTTGTCTATAATTTGATTCCCATACATGCAGGGCAGAAAGATTTGCCACGTCATCGCGAATAAATACTGAGACTTCATCAAGAAGAAAAATGGATCCTGCAATGTAGTACGCTGCGAAGGACCCAGATAACCATATTAATTATATTTCTTTGTAATACACATATGACTCTTATGTCACTTACCATCTGTAAACAGTAGATGGTGAGACAGATTATAATGGAGCTCAGCAAGATCTGTATAAGTGTGCTACTGGAAATGAACATTTGAATCCGGTTCGTGTGCATTTTGATGCGTCTGTGGAGCGCAATAATTGCCACAAACTGCGCGAGCAGCTGCTGCTCAGACTCCAAGCTGTTGCCAGTTGGAGCAAGTGCAGCCATGCGCATACCGACCAATTCGAGGCACAGCGAAATGTGCAGCATCAGATAGCAATTGAGCAAGTCCATTCCGACGTTGGAAAGGCACGAAAAAGGCACTGCGATCACTTGAAAGGCGAATGTGCACCAAAAATTGACGGGTTGTGTCCAATCATAAGGGACCCACATCCAAAATGGCAATTTATTAGGATAGTTAAGCAGCGACGACATGAGGATGCAGACACCCGAGCCGGCGCTGCAAAAGATGTACACATAGGTGACCAGAGCGAATCTACGATGTGCCAACTCCCAAATATCGCGCTCCTGGCCAAAATTTACTTTGAATTGCTGGCTAGTTGACCACTCCTCAAGTAGTTCGCGGGCAATGTGATGACGACGCCAATTGTTCACAATCTTAGCCAATAGACTCGTCATTGTTAGCATAATGAAGAGCACTTCGGCTCTCCGCTCAAAATCGTTTGTCACGAAAGCCTCAACCCACATCAGGACCGTGAACATAAAGGTCATTACGCCATGTATCAGATAAGGCCAATAGCGATTGCATCTTCGGATCCATGGCGTATCCAAGGATGAGCCCTGATTTGGCCATATTGCAAAGAAATGAAGAAAGCGCACCACAATCCGCGAAGCTTTTATGCTATCGAAATCCATTTTATAAACTAGTACAGACGACTAGCCCAAACAAAATGGTCCTTATATACCCAAAAAAATGGCAGTTACTTGCTAATTGCTTCATTTTGTGGGCGTTTCGGGCTTTCAATTAAAAATCAATTATACAAAATTTGCCTAATATGAAAATCGATATCAATGTTCATGAGCAGCAGTTGGAGCAGTTGGAGTCGCTTGGGTGCATTCATTGCATTCACTCGATTTAAATGCAGCACAAGCAGAATGAATACTCCGAGCCGAGAGTGTCGCATTAAAAATAGACCCATGTTTCCAAAATAAGCACCAGCAGCAAACCAAATTTTTGCGCCTTACACAAAAATAACATCACATGTTGGGAATGGGAATGGGAATCGGAATGGGAATGGGAATACTTAGTGTTTATGCTTTTGGAAAAGGGCAACGACTTGTCTAGTTTTGGAACGCATCCTAAGTCAAAGTGTTCACACTTTGAACGTTTCGAGTATTTTCAAAAAAAAATAATAAAATTGTGTCTAAGAAACGTTGGCCTAAGCAAAATTCAGATACAGTTATAAATATTGACTATTTTTAGTTCTATTAACTAATAACTAGTTAAATGTTTTCTTACTTTTTTAGTGGCCTTTTCAAATCCAAAAATCCACTTTGTATGCATGTATGTATGCTATTTGTTTTGTTATTGTGGAAAGCACGCCAACGATAAAACGGTTAGATTTTGAATTGTATCCGCTTCTTAACAAATTAGATTTGATTTATGTTTGTTTATTTTGTATATATTTAATTGTACACATCAAGTGAATTTTTGCATGTCATAGTATATATTATAGTTCCACTTTATCATTATTAAGAACATCTGTTTGTATGTATTTGCATTTGTTGATTTGGCGTTCTTTTTGATTTTGATTTTTTTCTTTTGTATTTATATCATTTAACGATCTCTTGAGCGCACATGTTTTTATGCTAATTCAATAGTATGTGTTTTTATACATGTGTATTCACGCACATACATATATATACATATATATATATATTTATATTCAACACTATACAAACACAAAGTGATTTAGCGCACGCACGCTTTGAAGTAACGGAAAAGACTGAGCAGTCGCCTCGAGCTACCAGGCTATTTAATAAAGATCGATGGCACGCTCCCTAGCAAGTGATAGAAAGAGAGAGGTAGAGAGAGACAGAGAGAGATAAACAACAAGAGAGCATTTGCCTTGTGGGCGCACGCAGCAAGCAGTGCACTGCTTGCTCTGTGTTATAGGCTTGCTGCGTGAAGAAATTAATTTAAATTTATGTTCGTTAATTTTGGACACTGGAGTGTGCATTGTTATTGCACTCACATACATATGTATATGTAAGTATGTGCATATGTACATACATATTAATGGTGGCATATAGCCGTCATCGCTTGCTCACACTTCTTCAATATACAAAAAGTCACACTGGAGTTGATTAATTTTAAGCCGAGCTACCCTTCGCACTTCCGGCCAGGCTTTATTGGCTTTATCTTCAATTGTGAAGTGGATAAATGCATAGCCAGTCGTTTGTTTACGGAATTCAACGAGAAGCACATGTTTGTTTTATACGCATACACACATACAAATGTATATACGAATACATCTACATGAATACATGGTATATACATGCATGTACATATATCTGTATCTCATAAGTAAATAATCCAAATCGCTGAATGTCTGCTAAAGTTGACTTAATTGCATTCAAGGCACACTTCTCAGACTTCATGCCCGTCAATGTGAAGGCGTTGCTCACCTAGAAGCAAGTTAACCACCAGGCTCCCAACTTCGATGACTATGGAATTCGGCATGCAGCAGCGGTAATTCGCTACTCTTCATTTATTTACCCGAACTCTTAAATTGTACAGATTTGTGTATATTTCCACTATATATGCTGCAAAATATATATGTATTTATATATATGTCCATATGTTTTGTTTTTAAATGTGACACACATTTAGTCGACCACAATTGTCGCGACCAGATTATTTACTGCAAAGCATTGTCCAACACTTTGCAATGACAATGTATTTTAAGTGCTGTAAAGTTGTACATAAAATATATCACTTAGCGCCATAAATCAGTCCTCCAAATATAGGAAACAGTTGTCACTGGAGGACGTGTCAGGCAAAGGGATGACATAAGTCAACATTCGATGGGGATCGTTGACTTTGGCCTTAAAAATAGCTCTGCTGATATCAAAGAGTACAAATTGTATGTTGTATGCTGATTCCGGCAAACAGCTAAGTAAAATGATCTCTCTTTATAGCTATCTACCTTTTGAGTGGCCACACATACATATAGTTAAAGAACTTGGACCACTCCATTGCAAAATTAATTTACGCGATTCTGGCAACTAGCCAAAATGTAGCACAATTTCGCTCGTACGGTGCGTGCTTCAAGGCACACTACGGCGTTTCATTGAACGGAACGAATACACAGAAATAATTTGCATCTCAAAAAAAAAAAACACGACAAACGAAGGGAAGCTTGGTGAATCACACTCAGCAGCATGCAGAGAGCACAATCACATGCAGCATGTTGCATCTTGTTAATAAGCAGCTGTGCAGCAAACTCCTTACCTGTATCTGCTGCTCCAGCTCAGTGGCAATGTCCTGGCGTGCCAGCGCCAGTTGCTCCTGCAATCGTCGCTCATACTCCTCAATGATGCGCTGAATCACCTGCGATTCGTTCTTGAAATTCAGCTCATCCTCATCGATTATGATTAGCGAGCTGTTTGGATTCTGGGCAGGCGCTGGCGATACATCAACTGTATCTTCATTGGATTTTTGGCAGGTACTCGGTGATTTAGGTGCAGGCTGGTCAGGTTAGTTGTTGTTTGCGGTGTCAGGTAGTCACAGAGTCGGGTTTAATTGTTTTTATTGGGTTATAAAAGTAGAAAAACAAGAACGAACATGCACAGTTAGCAGTTAGTCAACAAACAACGCACAGGTAATTGCATATTGGTCCACACAAATATGTAAATATGTGACTCGATTTTGCATTGGTTTTACACATGCGACAATATATTAAATGAATAGAAACTCACCAGATAATCATCGTCCGCATGACGACGCTCATGGAATCTCAGACGTTCGGTCAGTTTGCGAACCTGCTCGGCGTGGGAGCGCTTCAGCTCATGAATATGCGTCTGATAGAAGACTTTGAGGTCGGCAATCTCCAGCGACATCTGTAATATTAATTGTAAGCATCGGTCTCAATCAACTCTAGGGGGACTCCACTTGAGTGGTTTACTCACATTGTCTTTGGTCTCCTTCTCGCCCAGGGCACCTAGTCCGCTGGGCGTGATTTCTCGATGACTGGGACTGAGCAGCAATTCGGCACGTTTACGCTTGCGCGGCGATGATTCCTTCGAGGCCAACTCATCGGGCAGTTGCTCCACCTCCGAACACTCGGATGAGGTGTCGCCGCTCACATGCTGAGACTTGTGCGAGAACACATCGTCCGAGAATTGTTTCTCTAGGTCAGCACAACGATGCTCGAAGTATTTGCGCAGCTCCTCCATTTGCTTGCCATGTGCCGCCTGCTGTGCCTGCTCGCTGGCCAGTTTGTCCTGCTCCCACTGCTCCCGATTGGCTTGAAGCTCTTGGGCGCTCTGATCCCGGCACTGTGACAATTGCTGGGACAAATAGTCATCAAACTTGCGCTGCACCAAAAGAAACGGTCGCAGCTCGCCGGGCAGCAGGCATTTTTGGAACTGTTCTATTTGCTTGCTGAACGCAGGCGGCCATTCAGGTGGCAGCGGTTCCACGCCCAGATCATCAACGCCCACCGACTGGCGAGGCACCGACAGCTGTCGTTCGCGTGAACTGCGCGATACACGCTCCTCGTGATCTGTCAGGTAGTTGCGATCCAGATCATCGTCGCTTTCGCTTATCAGATCCATTGAAATCTCCGAGATGTGTCCGCCAGCATTGGCCTCTCGATCTGACCAGCCGCTGCTCCGTTTAACGGTGTCGATGGCCTCATGCAGCTGTCTGCGCAACGCTTGCACCTCGTCGCCAAGTCTATCCGAATCCGATTGCAGTTGGCCACGCACGTTTAGCGAGTGCTGCAGCGATTCCGTCAGCTTGGCAATAATATCATCGCGCCGGGAGAGCTCCACATAAATGTCTAGCGTCTGCAAGGACACAATATGATACAAGTTAATACATATGTACAGATGTTGTTAATGTAATGAAGACTTACCGGCGCCCCAAACTCCTCTTGGAATGTGCGATATTCCGTTGAGGTAGTCACCAGGGAGCTGCTGTCCCGCGCAGATGCTGGACCCGCACTGGGTTCACGACGTGCCGTCTCCAACTGCATGTTTAGCGAGGCGAGGCAGTTATCTTTGGTCTCCAGCTGTGAGTGTAGATCCTGCACCTTGGCCTCCAGCTGTTTCAACATGTTTAAGCTGACCAAACTTGAATTGCTGCCAACTTTGCATTCTTGCAGTGTTTTTGTCTCCTCCAGGGACAGCGATTTCGGCTCCTCCACTGTGGTGCTCAGCGAAAGTAGACGTTCACTCTCCTCGGTAATGTCCTCGAGCACATCCTTGCTGAACTCTGTCAGCGGTACACGTTCCATTTGCTTCAGCTCCACGTTTGCTGTGCTGTTAGTTGTTGTGTTCTCCTGTGAAGCTGGCGATTCTGTGGGTGAATTCTTGCCACCGCTCTCAGACAGCGGCTGCTGATGCATGGCCATAAGACGTAGCTTCAGCAGCTGCATGGAGGCCTCCTCCTCCTCATCATCATCGTCATCCTCATCTTCATCCTCATCATTGATTTGTTCTTGTGACTCCGGTTGCAGATACAGCGTTTCAAGCATCTTGGCGCTTTTGTGCTCGACTATTTGTGCCAGTTGCAATTGGGGCAGCCTTAAAGTTGCCACCGCATGTGGGCCATCTGATGGCTCCAATCCATCCAGATCTGTAATCATTTCTAATTTTTGCGATGCACTGCATAGCGTGCTGCTAACAGCCGCTTCTTCACCATCATAAGTGATCTCTATGGACTCATTTGTGTGTACGATTTCTTCCATTGAATGATCCTGCTCACTGGGTGGCCCAACAGCTGTATCCAATTCACTCTCCTCTAGCCTCGACGGCGCGGCACTTTGCGGATGTTCCTCCTCATCGGCTTCGATTGCCGATTCGGATGCGTGATGCGGTTCATCCACAAAATCAGAGACATCGTCTGTGGTGCTTTGGTTGCTGAGACTCTCGCTTTCGTTCTGTGCTTGCAACGACACCTCCACACCAGGGTCGACGTCAACATCTTCTTCATGACGGGAGTGAATTGGTTTTCTATTTTCCAATGGTAAACTAATATCAAAATCATCATCATCTTCATCGTCTTCGTCTTCGTCATCGGACAGCGTTGCTTGATCCTTTGGACTGTTTGGTTCAGCATCGTCATCATCACTCTCATCATCCACCACAAAATGTTGGGCCAGCTGGCCGCCAGAGAGTTCAGCGTCGTCAATGCGAAACTCGGCAGCTTCCTCACTGCTCTCAGTTTTGGCACTTTTTTGTGATTGTTGTTGCGGTCGGGCAAAAGCCGCTGCCTCGGACAGCGATTCAATGTTCGAGTTCAGTTGCTCCTCCACCTCACTCAACTCGATGGCCTCCTCGATATCCTCTTCGATGCTGCTGCTTGTGGTTGTCGTTGTAGTCAGTGTGGTCGCCCTAGTCTCCATTATATCATTGCTGCTCGCTGTCTCACTTCTTGTGGCTGTTGTTGTTGTGGTTGTTGTCGCCGTTGTGTGTTGCTCGGCCATTTCAATGGTCATAGAACTGGTTGGCGGTTCAATACTAAACGAGGACACTGTCTGGTCGTCCTCGGTGAGACTGAGATTATTCTGTTGCCGCAGTAGCTCTGCAGTATCGGTCGATGTGACCGCGTATGGAGTGCTGCTTGAGCAGCTTGTAAGTGCTGTCAAGCTACTTCTGGAGATTATATATGTGTGCGTCGATTCGTTATCTGAGCAGTCGTCAGCAACATGTTGCTGTTGCTGTTGCTGCTGCTGCTGCTTTAGCTCTTCCTTCTTGACGACAGACTTGTGAAACACAAAATTTAATGTTGGTATAAACTCAACATCCACATTTTGTACGATATAATTGCGACTGGTCGCCGCAGCCGCCTGTGTTTGTTCTTGCTGCTGTCCAGCAGCGACTGTTGAATCTGTGGACGACGCTACGCCGACTGGCTCCTCTGGTGCCTCGATTGCCTTGTAAAAGGCGCTGCCACTGCTCGTCCGTAGAAGGGATGTAATCTGAAATGAGGCAACAAATTGGACAATTTATTATTTCGTGGGCAGCTAAGAATTGATTTTGCAAAAATTCCACACAAAAGTATATAATATATATATATATTTATGCTTATCTGCCGATCGATTTCAAGCTAATTTTTGTCGATCTGTGTGAAAATACACACCTGGTTGAAAAGTAGCCAAGGTTAAATACAAAATTTCGATCGACTTTAAACTTATTTGTAAAGCGCTACAAAAAAAAAACGATTCATAAATTTTTTGACCGAATTCGTAAACTTCACTTCGCAGGCCGTAAAATTAATGTTATAAAGTGTTGTGTGATATCTTTTTGCTTTTCACACAATCTAATAATAATGAAAATATGTTGAGCTCAACAAATTAATTACAACTTTTACAGAAATTTCATCTTATAGATGGAGGGTCATTCGATAAGTCTTAAATTTATAATCAAAATGTTATAAATGAAATTTGAACAAAAGTATTAGAAAATGCAGAACAATTTGAAGAAATACATACGCAAAGCGTGCAGTGTCTGCAAGTATCTAGATACATATTTGTTTAATAGTATTTAAAATGTGCAACATTTTTACATTTGTTCGGCCGTTGTACGATTTGGCAGTGACACTTTTGGGGCCACACGCCTGATGCCATATAAAAAATGCATTTACACAAATGATTTTCATTTTCGTAATGATGTCACCTCATTTTCAACGCCAACGATGCGCCGTTGTGACAACAACAGCATTGTGAGGATTATGGGGTTAAGCGACGGCTTGCCCAACCAAATGACAGCTAGAGATTTTTATAAAATTAACAGAGAAGCAGACCAAATGCGATCGGTGATCCAAGATACGAGAGACAAGAGACAAGATCAACATTGATTAGGCAACAATCGCTGACATCTCCGGCCAATTGACCCGCAACTGTATCGCTAACTCAAGTGATTATTGGAGGCAGCATCTGGTGTACGTTCCACGTTGTGGCTGACTCAGGGCGCGATGTGTGTGATGGATTGCAGCTGTGTGTGTGTGGCACTCACAACACGGCAACGCATCAAGTTGCCAGCTACCGCGACCGCCCTTTTATAATTAGAATCATTCCGAGGCATAAATTTCTTGTTGTTGAAATTTTGTAATAAACTCACCGATCACCGCCTGCAACTTATTAAAGTATGCAGATGGTTCGTTCATTTCTATATATCTATATATATGTATGTATATATATATATATATATGGATATATGGCAATGTGGCCACTAATTAAAATGTTGTCCACTTGAGTGAGTAATGACGGTGTTCTGGTGAGGTAATAGAAATGTTTGGAACTGTTGCAGCATCCGCCCAAAAGTCTGGAGATTCAATTAGAGAATATTTCGTGCATGTATTCGACATTAATTGAGATCGTTGCGCTCATTGCGTTTATGTCTGAGCGAATGCTAAACAATTGCAAATTGTGCATACGACATGTAGGTCAACGCATAATACTCAATCGAAGAGAAGACAAGGCACAAGGCTTGAATTGTTGAGCTGGTATTGTTCCCGTTGAACGTCCTTGAACTTGTCAAGCTACGCAAATTGAGTTGAGGTCCTTTAATAGTATCGGGATAACAGTTTTCGCCATCGCCATGGTTACTCTAGTTCCCGTTGTTGAAAAACTTTTGCTGGCTGTGTGTGCGTGTCGCAAGTTCTTTATATTTCCAGCTCCTACAAATATTGCGATTAAATAAATTTCATTTCGTTCGCCAAGCTCAGTTGGTTCTTTGAAATCTGTTTGCTGTTGTTGTTGTCGCTGTCTGCCTTGCTTTGGGTGTGACACACATTTTGTGGCATAGATGTCGGTTAAATTTGAGCCACACCTATTAAACAGAGGCCATCATCGATGGGTATCTGATTTTTATAACATAAATATATGCCAAAAATTGACACGAATATCACTCAAGTATATGAAATTTATGTCCAAATATGACGCAGTTCTTTTCGGACTCTTTCACTACTCTTAACCCCACAGAGATAAACAAATGAATATAGCAATCATCAACTCACATGGATTTTACTCATGGTTAAGGTCGAAGTGTTTGATGTTGGCAAGATGAAGCCGCTGACAATTGAACTTAATGTGCTCACTTTGTCGTTAAATAGATGTAATTATTCATTTTTAACAACTTGCAACAAACATATGCGTCGCTTTTCATTTACCGCACAGACAACCGACCGAGCGACGGAGCAACGGAGCAACCGGAGCGACCGCCTGCAATGCAAGTTCTTTTATAAATAAAAATGCCGCGCTGACGTTGGAGGCGTCGTCGTCGATACGAATCCCAATTCAAATCAGAGGCAGTCAATCCAGAGCAGAGAGCACAACAATATTTGCAATGCGGTTCCAAGCGGTTCCGTGCACCAAATGCGCTCCCATTTCGTATTTATAAACAAAATGTGGAACGTAAAAAAGATTCGACTACCGCGGGCAACATGTTGGCAACCAAAGAGAAGCCCCATCAACATGCTGCCTGCTGACTGCTGTCTGTGTTCTGTTTTCTGTGTTCTGTGTTCTGTTTCTAGCTGATGGTGCCGAGTTGATAAGGCGCTAAATTTGAATGTTTATTTTATTTGTGCCTTTGAATGTTTTTGGCTGAGTAGCACTAAAAGGTCAAAGGCGCCTTTAATTTCCACGATTTGTAATCACGTGCAGATAATAAAGATGTCTATTATAAAAGTAAACTAACAAACTATACTTTATACAGTAGAACTTCCAACAACTTGAACTAGCACATGACTTACAGAAAGTGCGAATTGGAGTTAAATTTAATCCATAATAGTAATATAATATAATAAAGATATTGAACACTTCGTTGCCTCAAATATCTTACGACTTAAAAAGAGTGGCAGTTAATAAGATACAAATTTGAAAAGTTGCGAATTAAGCAGTTACTTTGTTTTCTGAAGCCAAAATGGAAACATTATTCTATTTTAAGCAATATTTTTCACTTAAAATTGCTAGATAAATGCCAGTAGTAGTTGTCAGTAGAATGCTTTTGCTTCTCAATTTAGAGAAATTAAATATACTTGTCTAATAACATACCCAATCATATATTGTATATAGATTCATGATGTCACTGGTTCACTAATCGTTTTGATTTTTGATCAAATTCATTATCAAAGTACACTTTTAGCACACACACTTGGCCGAATTTGTCGAAGGGTCGCCGCCAAAATTGTGCCAAGAAAATTATACATATATATAAACAACTGAATATCGGGGAAACATTTGCGGCTGTCAATTATACATATTCTGTTATCCACACTCTTGCACAGATGCGATGTTGTTGTTGCTGTTGTTTTGAATGGGCGGCAAAGTCTATTTCTAGTTGGATTGCTTTACAATTGAAACACAATGAGAACTTCTTGCAGGTTATGTAGCCGAAAAGATTTACGTAAAATATCAAAACAGAACAATCGTCTCACAAAATACGACTTTACAAGACTAAAACACACGACAAATAGAAATGAAAGTACGCGAACACGTCAGACCATCGTTGTAGAGTAGCTATTCCGGCTGCTCTGAAATGTATACTCCAGAACCCGGAACGTGCAACAGATTTGTGATGTGCAACCGATCAGAACCGTTGCACGTAACACAAACACAGCGCGCCCAATGTGCAACTGAAAAGTGTCCGTCGCCTCGCCTCAGTCTCTGTGCTAAGAGAGTCGTTCAACGGCATTGGTCTTTTATTTTTGGTTATTCGAAATTCAAAAGAGAATAATGCTCACTCAACTACGACCAGATATATTTTAGAAATACATAAATACATGCATCTTGCACATGCATGTCTAAATAGATACACACACATACATACGTATCTTATACAAAATAGATAAACAATTTGAAACGTTTTCCAAGAGAGAAGAAATCTCATCTAGCAATTTAAATACATTAGATATCTTTTATGAACTTTAAATATATATATATGTTTACATATTTAAATATTTATATTTAACTCGCGCAGCAGCAAGTTTACGCTGCAGCAAAAATATTTATATATATATCTCCAAAAATATTCTTTTAAATATTTCAATATATTTCACAGAGTTTGTGTAGCTCTCGCTGGTATTTTCTAAATAAATAGTTGGTTTTACCAAAAGTATCTTTATAACTTTCGAAGCCTAGTCAACTTTACTGAACACATTAAAAATGCGCTAAAAGGGTTTTTGGAAGTTGTTCAAAAGTAGGAAACAGGCAGAAGACAGCATCTTCGGCACACTAAAATTTATATATTATTTATTCCTGTATTTTTGGACTCGCCGATTTGAGCATCAAGATTGAGATAATTTTGAATATATCTCTCTCTTAACTTCACCAGAAAACCCATAAATATCATAATGTATTCGATTGTTTTGGAAGCAAAAGCAGACTTGTTAAACTTTGCTGCTGATTTGTTTATAGCTTATTTATAGTTATAGTTCATATTTATTATTCCTTATATCGGAGGAAAAGAAAAACAATTTCATTTGTGTAAACATCTATATAATTATTATATATTCAAGTCAGTGTACAAATTGCATTTTGTACACCATTAACAATTACTATCCGTATTTTATAAATCGTCTCATCAGTTCAGTGTTTTTTTTTTGTTTTTTTTTTTTGTTTTTGTAAATGCAATATCAGTAAATATAATCCAACACTTTTGATTAATTAAGGCAGATCATTAAGGCATTTAGTCGATTATACAATTTGTTGTGGGTGGGTTTTTTTTTTAGTTCAGTTCAATATTGATTAGTATTCGATGTGTGTCGCATCATGTTGCATAAAGTTATTTATGATCGATCGACGTTAAAAATATCATAATTGGGTTTAGTCAAAGGTCAATATTAATACTAAAATGTTGGCAATGCGGAGTTGTTGTCATTCCGGTCGACCGGCCTCTTTCTGCTTGAACTTTGTTGAGTATTTGTAGAAGTCGGACATTTCGAAGGGTTTGGTCACCTCCTTGTAGGGCTGAAATGTGGCCTGCTGCACAATGGTCATATTCTTGGGCGACTCAATGCGTATCTCGGGCGACAGGCTGGCAGCTGTGGCTGTGACAACGGCCAGCGGTGGCGACACCAACGCATTGTTCAACGCATTGCCACCAATACTGTTCGTACTATTGCTGCTACTAATATTATTATTATTATTGTTATTGCCACCCACTGGTGGTGGCCTGGGTGGCGGCGTTGGCTGCTGGCTTTGGTTGGGCTTGGGCGGCAGATTTCTAAATGGCGGTATGTCGAGCGGTTCGAGTGGATACGATGCCGATATGCCCACCGTCTGCTCCATGGCATTCAGATAGGAGGTGGACTGACTCAGCTTGCCAAATCGCTCATCCGCAGCATGCTGGGCGAGCAGTGCCTTTGAGCTGCCGGCAACCGTATGTCCCCCACTTGGCCCATAATTATGAGCATTGCGTTGTGCGGACATGGAGTAATGACGACCCGACACCGACATCGATTGCGACGAGAGCTTTGTACGCGGCGTCTTGTTGGCGGCGGCGGCGGCGCCACTGCCACTGCCACTACTAACGGGACTATGCGCAGTCGACTCGATTTGACGCACAACAGCCGGACCATCGAGCGACGATTCCAGCCACTGCTTAGGCTTCAGTTTCTTCTCAATCGTCGTGGTTGTGACGCCGCTGGCGCTGGCCGAGCACAGCGAGATTTCATCGAGCGGTTTGGGTTTGCTGCCGTAGCGTGGCAGTGGCGCCGCCAGCATATCGCTGGAATGCGACTTAGGCTCGGTCATGCTCTGATTCTGATGCGGATGGGGCGGTGTCAGTGCCGCAATATGAGACTGTGAACGCCAGCGATATTGCTGCTGCTGTTGCTGTTGCTGCGTGTGTTGCTGCGAGTGTTGCACACTCTCCATTTCAACGGACATGTAGCTGGGCGCCAGAGAAATGGCATCGAGTTGACGCTGATGCTGCTGATGCTGCAGCGACGATTGCTCATAGCTGATAGCACTCGGCGACGCCAGTGGCGATACATATTTCTTGATATTCTGACTCGATTTGATGAAGCCACCCTCGTTGTAGCTCTGATGCGTTGGCGATAAATAGTATTTATCGCATTGCACAATAATTGGTTGCGGTTGCTGTGGCGCCACATGCTGCTGCCTCAGCGTGGCCACATTCGATGAGTTGGCCGAGTACATCGATATGACATCCGTCTGGGCGCGCTGTTGTTGCAAATAGACAGCATGTTGCTGATGATGATGTTGCTGCAGCATGACATGTGGCTGCTGCTGTTGTTGCCGCTGTACTGCATACTGGGCGTTGGTGGGTGTCGGTGTTGGACGCTTCTTCAGTGCGCTCTTCACATGTGGATGCTGCTGCGATTGCTGCTGTGCCACGCCAATGACAAGCATGTCACCGTTGGAGCCAGCTGGCTGATAATTATCATACTCGGAACTGCGATTCGAATGCGTCTCCGAGTGTCGATTGCTGTTGCTGTTATTGTTGTTGTTAATATTGTTAATGTTACTATTGCTACTATTGCTATAGCTTTGACTGCCACCGGGCTGAATCTCGCCACGACTGCTGCTGCTCTGTTTGCGTCGCAACAATGCGTTGCTATTGTCCTTGGCCAGTGCCTGCAATTGTTGCTCGTGTTTGTATTGCTGTGCAAGTTGGGTGAAGAACTCATTGAGGGTCATGTGCTCGTAATTGCCATGCATTATTGCCGTCTCCTGTTTCTGGATCTGCTGCAGCAGCCAGCTCTTCTCGCTCAGGCGCTGTTCCAGCGTCTGTTTGCGTGCCTCCAACGATTCTCGTTTGCTTGCCGCATCCTCATTATTATTATTATTATTATTATTATTATTGTTGCTATTGTTATTATTATTGTTGTTGTTGTTGCCGCTGGTGCTAGCATTGCTATTGTTGTTGTTGTTATTGTTGTTGCTTTGTCGATTGTTCGCTGCCGTTTCATCATCTTTCAGACTGGCCATATTCCTGCTCTTTGGCGCTTTCAATTGCATCGCCAGGACTTCTGCTCCTTACCTCAGCTATTGTTGTTTAGTTCTGTTTCTGTTGTTGTTGCTGTTGTTTCGCTCTGCTTTCATTTACAGGGGGGAGGGCTGGGCACGGGTGGTTGCGGTGAGCGGTCGTTCTTATCCTGGAAAGACATAATCAGTCTTCAATCATCAAACGCCAGCTCAATCAGCTTAATCATTTCTTGTTTTTTTTATTAATTTTTTTTTTTTTAGTTGAGAGTTAGCAATCAATTTGGTTTGTTTGTTTATTTGTTAGAGACGTGCACTATAGCTTATTAGACTTTGTTGTACAATTTGCCAGCTGCCTGCTGTTTGCGTTGCCTTCACCACACCACCACACACCACCGCACCACCAACCAACCACTGTATCTTTGTATGTATGTATGTGAGTATGTACAGTATGTGTATTTATCCCAAATCCCCATGCTCTGTAATTGTAGATCAGTTCAAAATCACCCAGTGGCCCCCTTGCATATGGTTTTATGAAACACTTACTTAAAAATATATATCGAGTGTGGTTCAACTGATAAGGATTTAACATTTGTATGTGTGTGTGTATGTGTGTAAGCTTATTAAGAAATAATAACTGTACACACACACACATAAATCGAGGACGAAAACAACTTTACACTTAAAGAAATAGCCGCATAAACAAACGAATATCCAAACATAACAACAAAAGAACAAGGCAAAGCAATTGTGTATGTATGTGTGTGTGCGTGTGTATTTTTGTGTACTCACCAATAGGCCGCCTTAAATTATGTTGCGGTGCCCTGGCTTAATTTGATGCGCAATGTTTACCAAAACAACGCCTTCTTTGTATGCGTGAGTGTGTGTGAAAATGCTGCAAGCATAAGAAAAGCACATATAAAATATGCAAGACAAAAGCTTAAATAACAGTTACCGAGGTGAGCAGCCAGCGCCAGTAAGAGCAATTCTCGTCTTTTCTTTTGTTTTTATGCTACGCTGAAGTGCGGTCGCAGCATAGCGTCGCTGTGTTGACACGGCGTCGCCAAATTTTCCCCCAACTTCAAATGATCACGAACACAACAAACCGAATAAGTGGCGGAATGAGTAATATTTTTTTATCATTTACGTCAGTGTATTGCTAAATTAATATAAGCGTCACTTTAAAATAGTTTACAAATAAAAAACTAATTGAGAAAATGAAATTAGTAAAACATGCGAGAAAAAATGCTGCAGACAGCTAATAAAGAACAAAAATGAATTTGTATATCTTATCGATATATTGACACCACCAAGCGTGCGATACTTATCGGTTTTGTTTGTTTGGTCGTATGGCCCACACACGGTACAACGTACAAGTGCGGCAAGCTAGATTTAAACATTGGGTAGAAGTAAAAACACCGTTATTGCCGAAATTACTTTGAAAATTGGTTTGCAAAGTATTTCTTAACCAAATGCAATTGTATAAATAAAGTTGCGTGTAAGCTACCCAATTAGGCACCATGGGCACACACACGATACAATCCGGCTGACTCTCTTCAGTTGCAGTGTTGCACAGCAATCGCGGTACCTTTGTGATTCATCGAACAGGCCACTAAAAGGTATTTGTAGATTTTCCAAAACCGTCTATTAAAATTATATAAATTCTAGGATTGGGGGCATAAAAACTAACATATGTCATTGCAGTTCTTAAAAGCGCATCATTATCTGCGCACCACCAGTGGATTTCTCTTGCAGATCCAACGCAACAAATCACTGACAAAAACGTGTACCGAACGAAGAAAGAGAGAGCAAGCAACCTTTGCCAACAAAGCACAAGCGAAAGCATTTTTTAGCACTGGTGCCGCAACAGCCACAGCAGCAGCAACAACTTCTTGGGGTAGCAAAAAGCAGAAGCGAAGCGTTCAACTACGAGCACCTAACGATTTCATCATGTCCAATCCAGAGATCGAAGCACAATTGGCGCCACTGCGTGAGCGGGTGCAGGAGCAGGGCAATCTCGTCCGCGAACTGAAGGCAAAAGGTGCCGCCGAACTGGACGTGAAAAAGGCCGTCGCAGAGCTGAAGGTGCGCAAGAAAGTGCTCGAGGAGAAGGAGCTGGCGCTGACGCCAAGCGTCATCAGCTTTGATCGGGCGAAAATGGAGGATCTGCTCAAACGTCGCTTCTTCTACGATCAGAGTTTTGCCATTTACGGTGGCATCACGGGCCAATATGATTTTGGTCCCATGGGCTGTTCCCTCAAATCTAACATTCTGGCGCTTTGGCGACAATTCTTCAGTCTAGAGGAGCAGATGCTTGAGGTGGATTGCTCCATACTGACACCGGAGCCGGTGCTAAAGGCATCGGGTCACGTGGAACGCTTTGCCGATCTGATGGTGAAGGATGTAAAGACGGGCGAATGTTTCCGACTGGACCATCTAATCAAACAAGCACTCGAAAAGCTATCGAAGGCCAAAGATGCCACTGCAACACTGCAGGCCGATTGCGAGGACATCATCATCAAACTGGACGGTTTGAACAAACAGGAATTGGCGGATGTGTTGGCCAAATACAACATCAAATCACCATTGACGGGCAACGATCTCTCCGAACCCATAGAGTTCAATCTAATGTTTGCCACACAGATCGGACCCACTGGCCTGGTGAAGGGCTATCTACGCCCGGAGACGGCGCAGGGTATCTTTGTGAATTTCAAACGACTGCTGGAATTCAATCAGGGCAGGCTGCCCTTTGCCGTTGCCCAAATTGGCAACTCGTTCCGCAACGAAATCTCACCACGTTCCGGTTTGATACGTGTGCGTGAGTTCACCATGGCCGAGATCGAGCACTTCTGTGATCCCGTGCTCAAGAATCATCCCAAGTTTGCCGGGGTGGCCAACGAGAAGCTGACTCTCTACTCGGCCTGCAATCAAATGGATGGCAAATCGGCACAGCAATCAACCATTGGCGACGCAGTCAGCAGCCAGCTGGTGGTCAATGAAACCCTTGGCTATTATATGGCACGCATCCAGCAGTTCCTGCATGCCATTGGCATCAAGCCGGAGTGTTTGCGCTTCCGCCAGCACATGGGCAATGAGATGGCGCATTATGCCTGCGATTGCTGGGACGCTGAGATTCTCACCTCGTACGGTTGGGTGGAGTGTGTCGCTTGTGCCGATCGCTCGGCCTACGATCTGGGCCAGCATACGGCGGCAACTGGCGTGCGCCTGGTGGCAGAGAAGCGTTTGCCAGCCCCAAAGACCGTCGAGGTTAGCGAAATTGTGTCCAACAAGCAGGCGCTGGGCAAAACCTACAAAAAGGATGCCAAGGCCATAACGGAGGCGCTTGCAAAACTCTCGCTGGACGACATCAAGCAGGTGGAGACACAACTAGCTTCGGGTGGCCAATATAAACTGACGCTGCCCGATGGTGCCACGCACGAACTGGACGCCGAGACGATTGGTGTGAAACATGCCACCAAAACGGTGCACGTGGAGGAGTTCATACCGAGCGTTGTGGAACCATCTTTTGGCATTGGTCGCATCATGTACTCTCTGCTCGAGCATAGCTTCCAGTGTCGCGAAGGTGACGAGCAGCGTTGCTACTTCACCCTGCCCCCTGTGGTGACGCCCATCAAGTGCTCCATTCTGCCGCTGTCGAACAATGCCGAATTCCAGCCGTACACACAAAAGTTGTCCGGAGCGCTGACCAAAGCGGAATTGTCCCACAAAGTAGACGATTCGAGTGGATCGATTGGAAGACGATATGCACGCACCGATGAGATTGCTATACCCTATGGCATCACTGTCGACTTTGATACCCTGAAGGCGCCGCACACTGTGACGCTCCGGGATCGGAATACGATGAAACAGGTGCGCATCGATCTGGAGGCGGTTGTTGGTGTCGTTAAGGATTTGGCGACGACACGTCTCACCTGGTCGCAGGTGCTGCAACAGTATCCGGCCTTTGAGCAACAGGAGACAACAAAATGAATTCATTCTTATACGATATGATGACATATTCAAATCAACTCTCAACTTCTATAGCCAAGTTTCGTTTAACAAATGCATTTAAAATGAGTATTTTAATTCAAAAAAGCATTAATCAAGGCGCTTAGAATGACATTTTAAATAACCGTATATCGATATCATCGATATTTATTTAAAGCATCGATTTGTTCTTCTCAACTTTTTTATTACTCAATAGAAATCGCGAGAAAACTTGGCTTTTAGAATGACAAATTCCTTAAAGATGGCAGCAATCTTATGTGGTTGAGGATGAACGTGCAATTTTCAATGTTATCATATATCTAAATATGTTTTTGTATCTTGTTTTTTTTTTTCATTTTATTCTTTTGGTCTGTTTAATTACCTTTTTTTATTATTTTGTATATCTAATATGAAAAACCTAGTCAAGATATTGACAATTTTATAATAAGAAAACAGAATTTACAATTATAATTGATTTTAAATAAATAATCGTTTTACATCCATAAAGAAAAATTGAAAAATGAAACTTAAAAATCCGTTAATTGTAAAACATCGTAAACCGATGTCACTCCCCAAATAATATCGAAGCTTCGATAAACATCGATATTTCTCTTTATGGCATTTTATTCTGCCTCGTGCAGGGAGCACATTGTCTTAACCTCTGATTAATCGTTATTGCCGAAATTACTTTGAAAATTGGTTTGCAAAGTATTTCTGAACCAAATGCAATTGTATAAATAAAGTTGCGTATAAGCTACCCAATTAGGCACCATGGGCACACACACGATACAATCCGGCTGACTCTCTTCAGTTGCAGTGTTGCACAGCAATCGCGGTACCTTTGTGATTCATCGAACAGGCCACTAAAAGGTATTTGTAGATTTTCCAAAACCGTCTATTAAAATTATATAAATTCTAGGGTTGGGCGCATAAAAACTAACATATGTCATTGCAGTTCTTAAAAGCGCATCATTATCTGCGCACCACCAGTGGATTTCTCTTGCAGATCCAACGCAACAAATCACTGACAAAAACGTGTACCGAACGAAGAAAGAGAGAGCAAGCAACCTTTGCCAACAAAGCACAAGCGAAAGCATTTTTTAGCACTGGTGCCGCAACAGCCACAGCAGCAGCAACAACTTCTTGGGGTAGCAAAAAGCAGAAGCGAAGCGTTCAACTACGAGCAGCTAACGATTTCATCATGTCCAATCCAGAGATCGAAGCACAATTGGCGCCACTGCGTGAGCGGGTGCAGGAGCAGGGCAATCTCGTCCGCGAACTGAAGGCAAAGGGTGCCGCCGAACTGGACGTGAAAAAGGCCGTCGCAGAGCTGAAGGTGCGCAAGAAAGTGCTCGAGGAGAAGGAGCTGGCGCTGACGCCAAGCGTCATAAGCTTTGATCGGGCGAAAATGGAGGATCTGCTCAAACGTCGCTTCTTCTACGATCAGAGTTTTGCCATTTACGGTGGCATCACGGGCCAATATGATTTTGGTCCCATGGGCTGTTCCCTCAAATCGAACATTCTGGCGCTTTGGCGACAATTCTTCAGTCTAGAGGAGCAGATGCTTGAGGTGGATTGCTCCATACTGACACCGGAGCCGGTGCTAAAGGCATCGGGTCACGTGGAACGCTTTGCCGATCTGATGGTGAAGGATGTAAAGACGGGCGAATGTTTCCGACTGGACCATCTAATCAAACAAGCACTCGAAAAGCTATCGAAGGCCAAAGATGCCACTGCAGCACTGCAGGCCGATTGCGAGGACATCATCATCAAACTGGACGGTTTGAACAAACAGGAATTGGCGGATGTGTTGGCCAAATACAACATCAAATCACCATTGACGGGCAACGATCTCTCCGAACCCATAGAGTTCAATCTAATGTTTGCCACACAGATCGGACCCACTGGCCTGGTGAAGGGCTATCTACGCCCGGAGACGGCGCAGGGTATCTTTGTGAATTTCAAACGACTGCTGGAATTCAATCAGGGCAGGCTGCCCTTTGCCGTTGCCCAAATTGGCAACTCGTTCCGCAACGAAATCTCACCACGTTCCGGTTTGATACGTGTGCGTGAGTTCACCATGGCCGAGATCGAGCACTTCTGTGATCCCGTGCTCAAGAATCATCCCAAGTTTGCCGGGGTGGCCAACGAGAAGCTGACTCTCTACTCGGCCTGCAATCAAATGGATGGCAAATCGGCACAGCAATCAACCATTGGCGACGCAGTCAGCAGCCAGCTGGTGGCCAATGAAACCCTTGGCTATTATATGGCACGCATCCAGCAGTTCCTGCATGCCATTGGCATCAAGCCGGAGTGTTTGCGCTTCCGCCAGCACATGGGCAATGAGATGGCGCATTATGCCTGCGATTGCTGGGACGCTGAGATTCTCACCTCGTACGGTTGGGTGGAGTGTGTCGGTTGTGCCGATCGCTCGGCCTACGATCTGGGCCAGCATACGGCGGCAACTGGTGTGCGCCTGGTGGCAGAGAAGCGTTTGCCAGCCCCAAAGACCGTCGAGGTTAGCGAAATTGTGCCCAACAAGCAGGCGCTGGGCAAAACCTACAAAAAGGATGCCAAGGCCATAACGGAGGCGCTGGCAAAACTCTCGCTGGACGACATCAAGCAGGTGGAGACACAACTAGCTTCGGGTGGCCAATATAAACTGACGCTGCCCGATGGTGCCACGCACGAACTGGACGCCGAGACGATTGGTGTGAAACATGCCACCAAAACGGTGCACGTGGAGGAGTTCATACCGAGCGTTGTGGAACCATCTTTTGGCATTGGTCGCATCATGTACTCTCTGCTCGAGCATAGCTTCCAGTGTCGCGAAGGTGACGAGCAGCGTTGCTACTTCACCCTGCCCCCTGTGGTGGCGCCCATCAAGTGCTCCATTCTGCCGCTGTCGAACAATGCCGAATTCCAGCCGTACACACAAAAGTTGTCCGGAGCGCTGACCAAAGCGGAATTGTCCCACAAAGTAGACGATTCGAGTGGATCGATTGGAAGACGATATGCACGCACCGATGAGATTGCTATACCCTATGGCATCACTGTCGACTTTGATACCCTGAAGGCGCCGCACACTGTGACGCTCCGGGATCGGAATACGATGAAACAGGTGCGCATCGATCTGGAGGCGGTTGTTGGTGTCGTTAAGGATTTGGCGACGACACGTCTCACCTGGTCGCAGGTGCTGCAACAGTATCCGGCCTTTGAGCAACAGGAGACAACAAAATGAATTCATTCTTATACGATATGATGACATATTCAAATCAACTCTCAACTTCTATAGCCAAGTTTCGTTTAACAAATGCATTTAAAATGCTCTTTTTGCAGCTGATTGAATTTCAATACACGATAAACGCTTTGGAAAATTATATTTGTATTAAATGGCTTTTTTTATTTTTGCATCAAAGAAAAGTTGTTTAGTTTACATTTCTCCAGATCAGATTTACAAGAATTTTAATTTGAAAATTAACAAGCTCCACCTGTTCACCAACACTGGACCTGTCCATGGTTATTATAGAAGGTTGTATAACAGTTATTTTGTGGTTTCATACTTCAGAAATTATGAATGCGACAGTATTTGGCAGTATTTTAATTCAAAAAAGCATTAATCAAGGCGCTTAGAATCACATTTTAAATAGCCGTATATCGATATCATCGATATTTATTTAAAGCATCGATTTGTTCTTCTCAACTTTTTTATTACTCAATAGAAATCGCGAGAAAACTTGGCTTTTAGAATGACAAATTCCTTAAAGATGGCAGCAATCTTATGTGGTTGAGGATGAACGTGCAATTTTCAATGTTATCATATATCTAAATATGTTTTGTATCTTGTTTTTTTTTTTCATTTTATTCTTTTGGTCTGTTTAATTACCTTTTTTTATTATTTTGTATATCTAATATGAAAAACCTAGTCAAGATATTGACAATTTTATAATAAGAAAACAGAATTTACAATTATAATTGATTTTAAATAAATAATCGTTTTACATCCATAAAGAAAAATTGAAAAATGAAACTAAAAAATCCGTTAATTGTAAAACATCGTAAACCGATGTCACTCCCCAAATAATATCGAAGCTTCGATAAACATCGATATTTCTCTTTATGGCATTTTATTCTGCCTCGTGCAGGGAGCACATTGTTTTAACCTCTGATTAATCGCAATTTCGGCTTAAAATAGCGTCTATGTATTTGGTGCCGCCAGCGAAATATATAAGAAAGAAATGCCCAAGATGTGTTTATGAGAAACAAAGTGCTTGCCACGAGATCAAAAACTATTGGAACTGCTAATCAATTATTGCCAATTGTTGAGTGTGTTTGTGTTTTGCGTGGCGACGAAAATTCGCAATACACGTGCCGCGTGCATTTTTCCAGCTGAGAGGCGATAAGTTTGTGTGAATAATGAAAAATATGAAATATATCCTGGTCACCGGTGGTGTTATAAGCGGAGTCGGTAAAGGCGTCATTGCCTCCTCCTTTGGTACACTGTTGAAGTCCTGTGGCTTAAATGTGACCAGTATTAAAATTGATCCATACATCAATATCGACGCTGGGACTTTTTCACCATACGAGCATGGTAAGTTTATATAAATGTTTTAAATACTACATATATGCATGCAAAAAGAAACGACGCAAAAGATTTCTCCCATATAAGTGAACTAAATAGTTTGGCGCATTTTCTCTATCTACAAATGTATATTTCTGTGTGTGTGTGTGTCTATACAAGTCCGCGGGTATCTTTGTTTGTGTATTGTCTTTTGTTGTTGCAAACTGTATTTCTACACACACACATACAGTATGTCAAGAAAGTCTTTGGACACAGCAAAAAAATTCTAAATTTTATATTTGCAAAAAAAAAGTAATTTATTATTCACTTTAATTTTCTACTTTTAAGAGGACTTCTTTACATTTCTTGGACTGTGAAGTGTCGGAACAACAGCTGTTTACGATTTTGTCAATTCGCTTTTTGACTGGTCCCATTCGAAATAAGCGTTTTTTTTTTTTGACTTGGCTTATTTCTAAACATATTCTGGCGAAATTTGTGCGTGCAAGATAATTATTGCATAAAAGTCATGTCATAAGTCAATATAAAAAAGAACAGCATATGATTTGGCCGCTAAATTTTGATCACTTCCATTAAAGGAGGATATATGTACCGGTATGTATACCGGTGTCAATGATTCCCTTAAATGCTCTAACAATATTATACAAACGTTAAATTTTATATAATAATTTTAATTATACTTCCAAATTTTGGATTATATATGTACACCAAAATGTATATTATAAAAAAAAAAAGTATAGAATTCACGTAGAGGGTAATTTTCATGACTTCTAAGCGAAGATAAACGGAAATTATAAAAATTCCAGAAGTTGTCAGATGTGCGACGTGCAATGATAACAAAACGCGTGCGATGTGTGAAGCGATAAAAGGCGGGGGAAAAACAAATCTCGCAAATCACCCTGAATAAGAATGATTCGCATCATCATTAACAGTCTCATGTGCATTGCCTATGTACACTCATATATATTATATATATATTGAAGTGTATATATATGTGTGAACAGAGCAACGGAGCACACCCTTAAGCACGCTGAAGCGGCACTGAGATTGTCTTTTTACTGCATACCTTTCATCTTTGCATTCGCATTTTGTGCTTGACATTGAAAACGAAAGTTTTTTCATTGCGCTTCGTGTATCTTTTGTCTTTGCCTTTGCCTGTGTCGTGTTGAGCAGCAGCGAACGAGGCTATTGATTGAGGTATTCTCATTGGCAAACGGTTTTTGGCGCTCATATCTATGATAGCGTTGAAAGAGGAATAAGAAAGAGATTGTTGTTGAAATGTAATGTTTCGGTAAAGAAGCTCTCTCCATCTGTGTTTCATTTCAAAACATTCATTTGACAACAGAAATGCACTCATGAATGAATGGGTAAACTGCAATAACTAGAATGAAGAACTTGAATGTAATTAATTTTATCTTTTGTAATAAAAAAATTAAATAAATTACAAATATAATAAATTAAATATCCTTATGTTTAATTAAATATCTACTAAATAGTGAACATAATAAATTAAATATTTAATAATATATCAAGCATAAAATATATTTTAAATATAATAAATTAATTATTTTCAGTATCCTAATTATCCTGAGTATACATATAAATGCATTTATTTGACCATAGATCGATTCATGGACAGATGCACATATTTCACACATACAAACAAAATTGTGCTTATATGCATTTTATACTCAATTTTGTGGATTGGATGAGAGTCGGGCACATGTTGCCTACCAACAAGGATGTGCTTCCATCCCAGCCCCCACTTGATGGTTGGGTGGTTGGATGGGTTGTTTGCATGCATCGGTGCTTGGTTGGCTTGCATTGTCCGCCCGCATTGACGCCGCTGTCAACCACGAATTTCTGTCTGCTGCCCCTGCCCCTGTCTCTGCCTGCTGCCTCTGCTTGTCATTTGTATTTTTCGCATGGGCTCGTTTTCGGTTTTTTGGGGGTCGGTCTGCATTGCATTTTGTGTGCAGCTTTTGCTCATTTATTGTGCGAGGAGAGGCTCTAAAGGAGGCAGAGCAGGAGGAGGAAGCGACATAGGCACAGTGGTCTGAGTGTAACGGTGTCAACATCAACTGCGCTGCTAGCGCTGACGCCGACGTCGACAGTGCCGCACATGCGTGTGCTTCATTTGTTTGGCGTTAATTTTGAGAGTGGGTAGTCGTCGCATGTGGTGGCCAGTGGAGCTCTGCTGCCTGCTGCCTGCTGCCCGCTGCCTGCTGATGTGATGTGTGGCTGCCTGGCACCGGGGACGCCATTTTGGTCGTCAAGCCAGCCAGCCCAGTCCCAGTCCAGTTTAGCAGGAGTGAGTCCCTCGTCAGCATCGTATTGCTTAATATGTTTTTGTGGATTTTCGTCCTCGTCCTCGCCATTATCATCATCATCATCTCATCCTTTAGAGTGTTGTGCTGCTTAGAAGCAACTGTTGGCTTGTTGGCCTGTTGCCGTTTTATGTTTTGTTTTATGTCTTGTCCTCTACGCACCCTTGCTTCCACCAACCTCTTTCCCATCTCCTTCCGTCCGCAAATTCTGGCAACGCTAAGCGTTTTAAGTCTTTGCTTTTACTCGTTTCGCTCGCTGCCTTGCTTTTGCTTTTGATTTTGTCCTCCATCCACTCTGTCGGTGTTTGCTTTTGGTCGTCGTCGTCGCCATCAGCGACGCGTCAACATTGTTAGCAGCTGTTGCTCTTTGCCAGCACATCTCCCCCCTCCCGCCTGTTGTCCTTGGTGTTTTTTTTTTCATTTGGCATATGGTTTGTTGCCTTTTTTTTTTGCTGCTTGCGCATTCCGTTTTGTTCACGTTTTTCCACGGCAACAACGACGACGACGACGAACAATAATGTGCAAAAAATTAAATGGAAAATACAATTTTGCTGTTGCTGTTTGTTGTTGCTGCATGTTGTTGTTGTTGCGACAGCAGGATGTTGTCTGTTGTTGCTGTGCGTTAGCCAACAATGCTCGCTACGCAGTTAAACTGGCCATTTATATCCAACATAATATTATTACCAAATTGGTGCCTCAAAAAATTATACATATTAAATTATTGAACTTAGTCTGAAATAAAATACTTAAATTTATTTATTTAAAAAAATGTATATAAAGTTGGCTAAAAGCCTGCTCCAAATCAGAGTCCGCATCTCAAATCAAATCTCTCTTTTAATCAAGCTCATTTTGCTTACATTTGTACAACTGTTGTTTCTTCATACACTTTCCACAATTAATGTTGCACACTCTTTGCTCATTTATTTTTGCTTTTTTTTGGGAATGGCAATTAACGCCTGGCGTCGTCTGTCGTCTCAGCCAATGTCAGGCCGTTAGCCTACCAGCCAGCCAGCCTTGCCACACCGACCAGCTATCAAAAATGTTGCTGCATACAATGTTGCCCCCACCTCCATCCCCTCCTTCCCCCAGCACACACATACATACTCACACACACACACTCTCGCTGTGTCCGTCGCTTCGCGCTTTCAAAAATGTCTGAAAACGATTCGGCAACGTCAACGCCAGCCGGCGATTCCACTTCAGCGTTGTGCACACTGGCTTTGGCTGACTGTGCCTGCCTCGCTGCCTGCCTGCCTCCTGTCGCGTGATTTTAACAATCCTCCTCCCATCTCTGCATGGTTTATGCTTTTCGCTCGCTTCCGCGCGTTGATTGTCGTTACTGCTGTTGTTGCTTTAGCTGTAGCTGCTGCATGCGCAAAACGACGACGACGTCGACAGCAGCAGCAGCACAAGCAGCAGCAGACCAGGCCACCGGCACCGTACACCCGCCTCATACACACAGAGACCATATGTATGTATGTGTGTGTGTGTGTGTGTGTGCGTGCCTGACTAGCCGGCAAATGCCGCGCGCAATAAATGCCCAAAAGCAGCAGCAGCAGCAACAGCAGAGCCATTTGGCAGCAGGCTGTGCCAGCGACGGGGGGGCAGAGCAGAGCTGAGTTGAGCTGACACACAGGCAAAGGCAATGGTAATGGCGACGGCGGCGGCTGTTTTTAGCGATTGTGCGCGCCCCCCAAAACACACACACACACGAACGAACGCGGCCAAACGACACAAGCTCTCGCACACATGCACAAGTGTATATATGCATGCATGTATATGTGTATATGTATGTGTGTGTGTGTGTGTAGGTATATATGTATTTGTATGTCCGCATGTCGTCGTCGCAAAAGCTTGTGGCGTGGCTTTGGCTTTGGCTCTGACTCTGCTCTGCTCTGCCTGCCTGGCGTTTTTTGCGTTTTCTGTTTTTGTTGCCTGCCAGCCTGCTGCTGCTGTTAGTTGGCACGTTTTGTTGGCTCGCTGGCTTTTGGGCTTGGGGCTTGGGCTATGGCAATGGCAGCTCCTCTGTCTGCTTTGACTGCAGCCTGCTGCCTGCTGCCTGCCTGTCGCGGTCGCGCCACGCTCGCGCGCTGCGACGTCCGTTGTTGTTGGCGGCGGCGGCGGCGCTTCGCACTTTGCTCTGCTGAATTTTCAATTTCAGTTGTAAGCTGACTGCAATCAGCAGTGGTTCGCTTGCCTTGTTTCGTTACGTTACGTTACGTTTCATTTCGTTACGCTTCTTCTACTTCTTGTCGCTTTTGGCTCCGCGCTTCGTTTTTGCGATTCGGCGCCGCTTGTATTGTGTGTGTGCTGCTTACGGCCGATTTTCGAGTGCGCCGGCCACAGGCAGACAGTCATTCAGTCAGTCAGTTGGCCTGTCGAACTGTCCGAACGGTGGTGTGTGTCTGTCATAAAAGTTTTTCGCTAAATAATATTATAAACACAGCGCCCGATTCACCGCCTCCCACACACACACACACACAAAGTCGCGCGCAATTTTCGCATGTGTGTGTGTGTAGCAATCATCAACACACGAACACACACACAGGAAGAAACACCTATACGTACATACATATTGTGTGCGTGTTTTATTGATTTTGTAGGAGCGACAATTGTTCAAGCTGTAGTTAAGAGGCCTCAGCGGTTACACAGCCCCCAGCCCCCTCCCCTTCCCGCTTCTCATCGGCTTATGCTGGTTAAACACACACATACACACATATCTGCTGCATATTATGTCCTTTCCGAGTACCTCAACTTTTGTTTGTTGCATTTTCGCAGTGCACTCAATTCAAAAAAGGACACGTCAAAGGATTGAACCTATTATAATCGAGAATTTGCAAATGAAATCTAGTTGACCAATGGGTAGAGTAAAAGAACGCAAATGGAGAATCAAGCAATGAAATACCGTTTGTCAAGAATTGATTAGAAAAGGGGACCGTAATAGAATTTGAAAATGGAGATTTAAGCAATGAAATACCGTTAAGCAAGAATGCATTTGAAGAGAAAGAGAGAAGAAATGAAACAAGTGAGTTTAAGCAAGTATCCAAACAGGAGCAAACAAATTAATACCGTTAGTCAGGAATACATAAGATAGTAAAGTAAAAATGAAACGGCAGATTTAAGCAACAAAGACCGTTGGTCAATCAAATTTGAATGAGCTCAGGAAGCGTATAGTAAAGTTGGAGAAATTAATTCCGTTATCTGAAACCGTAACATCTCAATCTAGTGCAGATGGGCTCAATACAATTAACATATGATAGACTAAGGAATTCGCTTGTAAATCAATGTTAAATGAAAGCGTTTGCATCTAGTGTAGATTAATTAACATAAGATAGATGGAAAAGGAACGCTTATGAAAATCCTGCTCTATAAAACTCTAAAACAGTTGCTTCAGGGAAATGGCTATGTCAGATACATATGATGTATAAGCTGTGCTGCTTCGACTTCTTGCCTTCAACTGTTGTCCAATGGAATGGAGGCCTCACTGTGGCTGTCACACTGCGCTTGGCTTGAATCGGTTCATAACTTTATTGGTCGTCGGCCAGCCAAACTTGCCGAGTTTTCTTCTTCTTGGCAGTGTCGCAGCGAGCAAGCAAGCAAAGCAAGCCAACCCAAGCAGCTAGCTAACAGCTAGCACCTCAGCTAAAGCAGCAACAACAGCAGCTGCTGCTGCTGCTTGCCCCCAGCTCTCATTTCGCAGCTTAAGTGTATCCCCACACCCCTCACGTCTCCCCTTCCTGCTGCTGCCTGTCGCACATAAAAACGGCAACGGCTGCGACGACGAAAACGAAAATTTAACGACTGCGCAACGTGACGCATTATTTGTCTGCGCTGTGCCTGCCATTGCCTGCCATTCGCTGCCCCCTCTACCCCCTACTGCAAACCCCTACTCCCCTAACGCTCACCTCTCCCCAACGACCGAGCTGACTGGCGTCTGGCCTGGCCTGGCCTGCCTTTCAGCAGTTGTTCGGCCTTTCAGCCTGCAGCCAGCAGCAGCAGCAAGCTTGCCGCAGACTCGCGCCGCCAGAAATTGCTTTTGCTTTTGCTTTGCTGGCTGGCTGGCTGGCTGGCTGGCTGGCTGGCTTGGCTGGAACTTCACCAAACTGCTCTGCCTCCCCTCTGCCCATTTGCCCCCTTCTAACTGCCGTTTGCTTGCTGCTGCTGCTGTTTTTAGTATTTCGCACTCTGTGCACGCGGCAGCAGAAGCAGCAGCAGCAGCGGCAACGGCGACTGCAAGCATTTTTGCATGACTGACTAACTGACTGGCTGTGGCTATGGCCTCAGTCTGAGTCACTCACACACACACATATACATACACGTGCACATGCACAATCACAATCTCAAATAAATGCGCCAGTTTGCGTTATGCTGGCAGAGCGAAGCAAGTGTCGGGCAAAGGGGCTAGCAGTCATGGGGGGGAGAGAGGTGACTGCATGGCTGTCGCAGGCAGGCAGGCAGCAGGCTGGTGTGGCTGGCGTGGCGTGTGTTTATAATTTGATTTCGCTTCTTCTTTTTCTTTCTCCGCTTCGCGTCGTTCGTAGTGCGATGGCGACGGACCAGCATTTCCTGTCGCTGCTTGCTGCTAGGCCTACGAGCTTGACGACGTTGTTGTGTGTGAGAGAGGGGGCAGAGGAGTAGAGTAAAAATGCTGTCTGCTGCATCTGCTGTAAAAATTCGCTGGCACGCCAAAGCAAGCAGCAGCAACAGCAAAACTGAAACTGGCTGCAGCAGCGATGGATGGCAGGCCACGGAATCTTAATGAAGTTATTGTGTCGTTGTTGTTGTTGTGTTCGAGTTGAGTTGGGCTGTGCTCGTCGTTGTTGTTGTACCATTTACATACTTGCACACACACACACACATACACTCACACAAATCTATTGGCATTGCCATTTCACCTCCAGCTGCGCTTTTGGTTTGGGTGTCGGACCAGAACCAACGTGGTCAGTGGCCACCCAATAATAATTATAATGGCATTTGCCATGCTCACTTGGACTTCGAAGATTAATATATGGGAAATCTACAGTGTTTTGTTTATTTTGAAATTTATATGTGTTATGAGAAAACAAGTAGAAGCAAAGAAATAGTATTTGTGTGTTACGTTTAATAGTGACGTAAATATAACATTTAATCGCGAGCTAACTGATAAAGCTCCGATTCAAAACAATACACAAAGCATTCATTCATTAAAGAAAATTGATTATTTTATTTATGATATAAGACGACAAGTTTAACGTAAATGTTGCCATTTTATTAATGAATCGGAACTTTAACGATCAAAAGCATACAAACAGTGAATGAGCTTTTCTCTCGCGTTGTTGTCGCGTGCACAAAAAAGCACACACTGCCCAAAAACACGTGTTCCCCATTTGAGTTTCTCGCATTAAGAAAACAACAGTTAAAGCTTACGTAGTCTAGTGAAGTCTGGCTTAGTAGATCTGTGTGTGTGTGTTTGTGCTTTAGGGGAGTAAGAATAAGCTCTCTGGCGAGTGCTCTATCTGTATGCATGTGTGTGTGTGTGGCTGTGTGTGTGCTTGCGATGGTGAGCGGTGTTTTGAATTTGCAATTACATTCTTCGTTATTCAGTCAGCGGTGGTCAGCGCAGCACGCGTGTGTGTGTGTGTGTGACACAGGCTAAAACGTCGGAAAAGCAAAGTAAAAGAAAAAAGGGCAGCTAAAATGGCGCCAAAAAAATCAACAATTGTGCTAAATGTGGAACAATTTATACACGACATCGAGGAAAGGCCGGCGATATGGAATCGCAATTTTCACTGTAACAAAGCCTTCCTCGAACAAATGTGGGACGAGCTAAGTGGCACACACAAGCTACCAAGTAAGTAACAAATACAATCTACAATCATTGAGCAAGCACAACTCCAAAGGCACAACTTTTCGGCGAACTCTTCGAGACACGCTCGCACTCAACGAATAGACAGACAGAGAGAGAGAGGGAGAGTGGGAGAGAGATGAACTTTTGAAATGTGCTAAAAGATAGAGGAAGAGAGAGAGAGAAGAGTTGTGCCTATTGAGTAACTTATTCGATGAGCGTAGCACGTGATTTGAGATTCTATTTTGTGTGTTGTCTTTCGCTCTCTCACTCTCTCTCTCCGGCAGAAATCGTGCTCAAGGCCAAGTGGAAGGGATTAAGGGACAACTTTCGGGTCGAATACAAGCGCATTCCTCGCGCAGATAACGGTGATTTTCTGCTGGATCCCGCCACATTCGAGTCCAAGTGGCTGCACTATTATGCCCTGCTCTTTCTAAGTGAGCAATCTTTCTCTCTCTCTTCTCTCTCACTCATTCAATCTGTATTATCTCTTATAATAATTTGTATTTCTTCAGCGGATCACATGCGCCATCGTCTGCCCAAAAATGAGCAGGATCAGTCGTATTATTTCAACCAGCAGAGCGAGGATTGCGAGAAGACAGTGGTGGAGCCGGACCTCACTAACGGTCTGATACGTCGCCTGCAGGACAGCGATGAGGATTTCGATGAGGATGACATCGATGGCGGGGGCGATGCTGGTGGCGATGTCAGCGATGCCAGTGCGGATAGTTTGCTGCCCACGCCGCCAGCAGCGCATCAACAGACTCAAATGAGCACCACACCGCTGGCAACGGGCGCACTGAAAGCGCAGGAGGAGGCATTTGCCGCCTCCCATCAGCACGCACTGCTTAAGGCCGGTCTGTTGCGGGCCCAGCTCATGGAATTGGAATTGGAGCGAGAGGCGCAGGACTTGAGCAAAAAATCAACAACGACAACGCCACTTGCAACGGCAGCAGCAGCAGCAGCTGTAGCTGCAGCACTTGTTGCCAACCAGCCCGAAATAACCCCCGCCGCTCCAACGCACTGTTCGCCACCGCCGATGGTAACGACGACCACCACAATGCATAGTGCTCTGGTCACGGCTGCGCAGCTGGCGGCAGCGGGCACAGTGCTAGCGCCAGCGACCACCACATCCAGCACATCGAGCAATGCGGGCGCCATGCGTTCCGTGTCCCCGCCCCCGCTATACAACAAGGCGCATCATCCGCTGCCCACCCAGACCGTTGGTCATCATACGGCCGCAGCCAAGGAGGATTTTGGTGCGGGTGTAGTCAGTGGTGGCGGCAATGGCAGTGAACATTTGAATTTTACGCAACACTCGTACGCGAATGGTTTGATTCCGGCGCTAAAGTTGAAGCGACCACGTCTCTCCGAGGACAGCAATTTCAATGGTTCCTCAACGATGGATGGGGCGCCGCTGGTGCCGGAGGATGATGATTATCACTACCTGCTCAGTCTACATCCGTACATGAAACAGCTGACGGCTGCACAAAAGTTGCGCATTCGCACCAAAATCCAAAAGCTCATCTTCAAAGAGCTATACAAGGAGGATCTCGAAGAGTCCAAGTAGTAGTCCATCCCCATCCCCATCCCAAAATGAAGACTGTAAATAGGCATCATCCCGTATCCTGTAACTAGTTAGTTATGTAAGATTATTAAATCTAATCGATAGCTCTAACTATGCCATGCAACTTTATCCATTTCTAGTTGAGCGTTGCCACCACTTGCACCACCAACCACAAATTGGTAGCTGTTGGTGCTCGCCATTTAGCCTAAGCACAAAGATCTGCAAATAATAATAATAATAATAATATTATTAATAAAAAAGAAAAACTATAAATGTTGATTCTCTGCGTAGTTTTTAATTGGGGAATGCAATCCTATTCAAATGTGATTATTATATTAGCATAATATTTAATCTTATTCGCAGGTGAGGTTTTCGTGCTGGACGATGGCGCCGAGGTCGATCTGGATCTGGGCAATTACGAACGCTTCCTGGACATAACGCTGCATCGGGACAACAACATCACAACGGGCAAGATTTACAGTCTGGTCATTGAGAAAGAGCGCCGAGGCGATTATCTCGGCAAAACGGTGCAGGGTAAGTTTTTGTGATCTCATCATTGTTAGCTTCATTGGCTTTTGTTGTTAACGTTGATTGCTCCATTTAGTTGTGCCGCATATAACAGATGCTATACAGGAATGGGTGGAGAGAGTCGCCCAAACGCTTGACCAGGGCTTATCCAAGCCTCAGGTGTGCATCATTGAGCTGGGCGGCACTATCGGTGACATTGAGGGCATGCCCTTTGTCGAAGCCTTTCGCCAGTTTCAATTTCGTGTGAAGCGTGAGAATTTCTGCTTGGCCCACGTGTCCCTGGTGCCGCTGCCCAAAGCCACAGGTGAACCAAAAACAAAGCCCACACAGAGCTCGGTGCGTGAGTTACGTGGCTGTGGCTTGAGCCCCGATCTGATTGTATGTCGCTCCGAGAAGCCCATCGGCCTGGAGGTCAAGCAGAAGATCAGTAATTTCTGTCATGTGGAACCGGATCAAGTGATATGCATCCATGATCTTAGCTCTATATACCATGTGCCACTGATAATGGAACAGAATGGCGTCATCGAGTTTCTCAATGAGCGTCTCCAATTGAACATCGATCTGAGCAAGCGTTCCAAGTAAGTCGATTGCATCATTTTGTTCAAAACTCTTCTAATTCTCAATTTGCTTTCGCGCAGGAACATGCAATCTTGGCGAAATCTGGCTCGTCTCACGGAAACTGTACGCAACGAGGTCAGCATTGCCATCGTGGGCAAGTACACCAAGTTCGCGGACTCGTACGCGTCTGTGGTAAAAGCTGTGGAGCATGCGGCATTGGCTGTGAATCGTAAGCCGAACGTGGTCCTCATCGACTCGTGCCTGCTGGAGCAGGAGACACAACACCGGGAGCCATCCAAGTATCACAAGGAGTGGCAGAAGCTATGCGATTGTGCTGGCATCCTTGTGCCCGGTGGCTTTGGGTGGCGTGGCATAGAAGGCAAGATACGCGCCTGTCAGTGGGCGCGGGAGAAGGGCAAACCATTTTTGGGCATTTGTCTCGGTCTGCAGGCGGCGGTGATTGAGTTTGCAAGCAATGTGCTTAAACTGGAGGATGCCAACAGCACGGAGATTAAGCTCGATGCTGCCAATCCGGTGGTTATCGATATGCCGGAGCATAACAATGGCAAACTCGGCGGCACAATGCGTTTGGGCAAGCGCACAACGATATTTGCCGATAAGACGAGCAAAATTCGACAGCTTTATGGTAATCCCAACTTTGTCGAAGAGCGACACCGTCATCGGTTCGAGGTGAATCCGAAATATGTACAGCAACTGGAAAAACATGGCATGATCTTTGTGGGCACCGATGAGGAAAGGAATCGCATGGAGATAATTGAGCTGAAGAATCATCCATATTTTGTGGCTACACAATATCATCCGGAGTACATGTCGCGACCATTGAAGCCTTCGCCGCCGTTTTTGGGTCTCATTCTGGCTTCGGTGGGCAAATTGGAATCCTACATAGAGCGAGGCTGCAATTTGACACCACGTCAAATGTCGGATGCATCGTCGGAAGAGGACGAAACTGTCCAAAGCATGACAAACGGTTTCAAAGCTCTCAAAACACAAAAAATTGATAATCAAAGTAAACCAGCCATCAATGGCCTTGTCAATGGGAATGGCATAGATGTCAGTGAGGCTGCTTTGGACAACGTCAGCGATGACGCACGTGGAGCATGCGGAGGAGCTATGCGATAGGTATGAATAATATTCACACATCGAATAATATTCAATGATTTTTGTTATTATTTTGAACACTTGAAAAAATGATTTTGTTCTTTGTATTTGAATGTAAGCAAAATGGATTATTTTAAACTTATTTTGTAAAATGTATGTATGTACAACAAACCTAAAAGTGGAAAATAATGAAAACATTACATTTTTCATATTGTGCGGAAATGAAACGTTTTCGATTCTAAATTTATTATATATTCAAAATATCTAAAAACTTATATGAATAGTTCTAATTTCTTGCATTATAAATAATGTAAATAATAAATTATGTATCAAGTATAAGAAAACTGATTTGTACAGAAGTACTTAACAATATTTTCGATATGGTTTTCATGAAAATCTTCAATTAATAATTTGAAATAACTTTTTTATTCTTATACTCCAATTTATTTCCAATCCCGTTTGGGATTCGTCATCAGATTGGAGTATATGAATAAGAAATAAAAACGACACCCGGATCCGTCGAAACACGTATTGAAATTGCAAAAGACGGTTACACTAAATAATAAATCAATTTAATTAATAAATATATTTTATCGAATATTGAATCTTCGCCAAACTTATGTAGTATATATATACTTGAACTATGTGGAAATCGGCCAGAACATATGTATGTCTATAAAGTAGCTGATGAGCCCTTTGCGCTGAGCGTATAAACAATTTTACTTGTGTTTTTCTATATAAAGAATGCCACTTGACAAAGTAATTCTTATTATGATTTTTCAATTTAAAAAGAGTACAAAAGTGTACATGCGAGAAAGCCCAAATACAAATATATAAATATATATATACAAATATAAATATATACAAATATATATATATATATATATATAGACATATATATGCTAAATACAAATAAAAATTGTATTGTGATCTTTCACAGCACATGCAGCCGACAAATTTATACTTGTTCTGCTCGAAAGCAGAAATTTATGAAACGCTAATGATAAAACTTAACGAAGCCTTGACTAGACGTAGTTGTTTTTGATATTTTTGCTGTTGCTGTCGCACAGAGTTTGTGCTAGCCAAGTCCACAAATAGACGAGTATGTGCGCCTGCTGTGCCTGCTGCTGCTGTACAATTGTATTAGCTAATTATCTCGGTCTACATAGTATTTGCATTGGATTGAGCGGACTTGTATTGTTTCTCATTCAAATGAGCACATTCTGCGCGCATAGACGTCTTGGCAGATATAGGATCGTTGCGGATCGGAAATGCACGCCAGCCACAAGAAGAAGACGCGAGCACGTAATCGACCCAGAAACAAATGCAATCGCAGCGATCAGACTAGCCCGAAGGATGTACAGGATATGCCTGCATCAGTTTGCGACACGGTTAAAATTGAGCCCAGAACTGAGCCAAACAACAATGCAATCGCCATCATACAGAGCATAATTCGCAAGAAACTGTTGGCCAAAACAAAAAATAATAATGCTAGCTGCGGTAGTTCATCAGAAGTGCCGTCCAGGTCAACAAATGTAGTGCCTCTACGGAAAGTAGCAACGCCACCGCCCAAAATACCAAACGACGGCAAGAGTGATGAATTGAATGCGTTCCTCAAATCCATTGGCAACAAACTGCAAAAAGGTGCATGCAACAAAGACAGTTATATAATTGTGTCACACACACACTAATCCAAATGCCTGTGCATAGGTTCAGGTGAGATGCTGCCAACGGATGCTCTATTCAGTCAGCTGGGAAAAATGTTGAGCATGTCACCCTTAATCGACTCGGAGTCATCCGACGAGGAGGCCGAATACGTTGAGTACATATATAAGCCGCGACATTATTTCATAACATCGCTGTGCAATGTGAGTTGTTTGCGCTGGTGCTGGCGCTGGTGGTCATCATTAATCTCGTGAACCATTCTAAAATAAAACCATTTGGCATTTGCAGCATTGTAAAGTGGATCTGTGCAACCGGCAGATGCTTCAATGCAAGCATTGCGCCCTCGTCCACTATTGCAGCGCAGTTCACATGCGGGAGGATCAGGAGCATCGCCAGCTGTGCTACGGTCTGCGCCAGCTGGTCGAACGCAATGGTAGGTGCATTATTTATGGCACAACTAGAAGCAATAAATCAAATATTTCAAATGCCTATAAATATTTTCTTTATTTTTTTGCCAGGCCATGACATATTCTACAAGTGCGGCGATTTTAGTGGCGAACAGTTTCGCTCGTATCGCATTGTGAGCGTTCGCCAAGTGGAGCAGCTCATAAATCGAAAACTGACGGCCACGGAACAGGAGGTGTTGCTCTTTCCTTTCATCTGTGGCGAGGCCAAGTGCCGGGAGCACAGATGCAGGAAACTAGCAGCGTGTGTGCATTGTGGTGAGGTTGCCTACTGCAAGGATAAACCGAATCATTTGAGCGATTCCCATCGTGGATGGTGTGGCGCATATCGACTCTTCAAAGCATTTGTTGTGCTCCAGGCGAAATTTGGACGCCTGGAGCCACCGTTACCCGATAAGGTGTTGAGAGATTTACCCATTTCCTGCTCCAATACCAGGCAAATATTTAACAAGTTGAATTGTAGTAAGTTGTTGCATCTAACTATTGCTAGACAATATTTCTACTTAAATCCAACATTAAATATAGGTGTGGCCGATGAATGCGAGTTTGCTGCACTTACTCAGATATCCACAGGACCCTTGACGGCGTTCTTTGCCTTAAAGCTTTGCGAGCGTTTGCGATCCAAGGAGCTGACCATTCATTTGATAGGTGCAGAAATGGAATTCGAAGTTGATGTCTTTCAAAAATGGGAAATTTTCTTGCTGCACATATTGCCAGCGGTGAAAACGTTAAATGTCGTCTTCATTGGACCAGAACTGAACACCAACAACATTTCCCTGGATCAACTATCGAAGATAAGGTGGCTTTATTTCACTTCAATTTTATATTATATGTAAATTAGTAATTATCATTTGTTTTTCGGCTACAGATGTTGTCGTTTGTGCCGCAAAGCACAACGCACCGTGCAGTATCATTTTGAGAATCGACTTTATCATAATTATTGCTCGGCACCCGGTTTTCAAAGTCCAGATTTAGGTAATTATTATGCACCTTTAGAAATTCTTCTAATCACTTATTTTCTACATCAAAAGTTTGTTTCTTTAATGCGGGACTTTATCGTGCCACTGGCTATGCATTGGAAGACACTTGGCCAGAGACAATGCAGGCATCCTTGAATCTTAAATGCCCCATTGTAGTTACATCATATACCAAATACGAAGCACCATTGGATTTAAGCCATTTCCTTAATCAGTCTAATCGACATTTAAATGTCGTATTGCCCCCCACCACAAACCCGTTTAGGTCGGAAAAGCCAGAACGCAATTTTATATCAGACGATGATGCACCATTCATGTTCAAGAATTTTCAATGTTTCGTCGTTGAGTAAGTTTGAATGTTTGAACTGATGTAACGCCTGTGTTGAGTTTCTAAGCAAGTAAATATCCTTTAATCGATTAATGAAATTAAGTGCTGTAAGGGGTGGCAAAGGGAGACAATAGTTATCATGGATATTTTGGATGTTGTGTACTTAAAAATAATCAAATTCGAATTGGTTTAAGTTGTTTCAAACTTTATTATAAAGTTGTATCAATATTTTATGTGTAACGTATTTTATGTCAATAAATAACACCAAAACAGTTTTATTTGAATTCAAAGATAGTTCGATATCGGCCGACCACCACAGCTTATCGTTTAATCACCACAAACTATCGAAAATAAATCGGATAATTATAAATTATTTTAAGAGGAAAACAACGCGCGGTTTGCGTGTAGTAAATAAAAATAACAATTTTTCAAGATGAATATGAACGAGTGCGATTTTAAGGATTTACGCACAAAGCTCGATGTGATGGGCTTCAACCAGACATTGCCTGTGCTGGCAATTCCGCTGGTTGCAGCTGTCTTTGGCGATTTGATAAAAACAACAGAATGCCTTCGTGATACAAAAAGGCAGGTTGCTGATCTCCTGGAAGTAAGTGGCCGCCTTGGCCTTATGTGGCTAAAACCAGATGTAACATAAACATTTTTGTAGGAAAAAACCTGCTGGGATCTGGGTGTTGAGCCCTACAAATGCGACAACTCGCGTCTCCTCGCCGAGTGCAACGAGTTGCATTTGCAGTTTTTAAAAGAACGCGAGGGTTACGAGCTGCGACTTTGTGGTATGTTTGTTACTTGCCTTAAGTTAGGCCAAAATGTATATTTATATTACCATAGAGTCGGATCGTCGAATACGCAGTCTGCAGACAGATAAGGAACACTTGCAGAGCCACAATGTGCAATTGCAGAGTCAACTCGATTCGTTTCTCTCCAAGCAAATAATGACAGCGGCAACGACGGCCAAGCGAACACAACTTGGAACATTTAGGCAGGGTGAGCTGACCACCACTGAGTTTGTTTCTATTTTCTATTTGTATGCACCTGCTTGCAGGCAAGAAGCCATTCATAACGACTGTGCGCTCTGGCGAAGTGTTGCCTGCTGTGGGTAGTTCGGCAACTGCCACGAACTGTGCCCTAAAATGCACAAAATGTAATGCGGGCGTTGTCCAAAAGACCACAACTACAACAAAGGATGGCGTCACAGTCACCCAGACGAGTGGGCCCGAAGAGTTCGACAGGCTGCAAAATGAGCTGGCGAGTGCAGGCGAGCAGCTGGAATTCTATAAGCGTAAAGTGGAAGCAAGAAATCGTGAGATTCGACGATTAAACGATATGCTCTCTGGCGGGCGTCCACCCGCTGCATTAGCGAAAGACTGTTGCTACAAAGAGGTGGGTGCCCTCTCGCAGGACATTGATCTGTTGCAGCGCGAAAAGGGTGAACTGATGGCACAGGCACGCGACTATCAGGATAAGATGCACGACGCAATGCAGCGTGCGCTACGCATCGAGGAGGACAAACAAATGTTGCAAACGCATCTGGACGAGCTGAAGGAAGCGGCACTGCAGGTGGAGCAGCAGGCCAATTCCGAGATAGATGCCCGCGACTCAGAGCTGCGTCAGCTGCAAAATGAACTGAAACAATTGAAGCAACGTAAGGCTGGTGGATACGTGCCATCATCAGACACCGGGCCGAGTGACAAGCGTATGCTAAACGAAAAGCTCAATCTGCTCACCCGCCGCGAGGAGGAGGTGCAAGCGCTGAACGAAAAGCTTAAAAAGAAGCTGCTCAAATTGGAAGCCAAGCTGTCAGCGCTACAGAAAGAGCAGCGGGAACAGCAGCAACAGAGCAACGTTACGCTGGATGAGGAGAAAATCAGACTGAAGTCTGAGCGAGACTTCTTCCAAAAGGAGTATCTACGGCTGATGAGTAAATCGGGCTCAGACTCTGAGATCGCATTCCTGCATACCCAAATCAAATCCAAGGATGACGAGCTGCACGCACTGCGCTCCGAACTATGTATGGCTTCTGCGATTAGGTTGGACTTATCGCCACGCAAGGGTGTTCACTGTGACAGCCTGCCACCGCCGACAGCGTGCAGCTCGAATACGAACAGCGCACGCAGCGATTGCGTCCAGGCTGCCATTGGACGTGTGGAACGCGAACGCGACTGTGCCCGCACTGAGCTCGAACGGATGCGTTGCGAACGGGATACACTGCGTGAGAAGCAGTTGAGCAGTGTCCAATTGCATGCCGAGGAGCTGCAAACGCTGCGTCTGCGCAACGAACACTTGCAGGATCGCATACGTCAGCTTGAGCGAGATAATCGGGACTTGAATACGGCACGCTATCCCGCCGAGACGCACAATGTGCTCCTCAAGGAGGATGTGGCTCAACTGAAACAGCGCCTGGTCACGCTGCAATCGGAGTTGGAAACTGTGAGGAGGGAGAACGATCAAATAACGTGAGTGCTTTTTGCCACCGTTTGAAGTTGAACATATACCTAATTGTTGACTTATTGCAGCTTGATTAATGAGCAGAATGAACGCATTGTGGCCGACTATCAGAGCAAGTTGCTACTGTCGGAGCGACAGCTGCGGCAAGCTGATGTGCGTGCCAGCACCTTGGACTCCAGTCGCGAATCCAATCGCAACGAGGTCACACAATTGCGTACGGAAATTGGAGCACTTCGTCAGACATTCGGTGCCTTGGAGCACGAGAAGGATACACTGCTGGTAAGTGCGAGGAATGCTTGTAAGGATCAGTGGTCCCTTATTGAATTGTTCACAGCATCAATTGGATAACAAAACGGAGCGTCTCTATAAGCTGGAGTATGAGATCAAAGATTGTCGAGAGAAGCGAGATGCAATGGAGCAAACAATCAAAGAGCTCGAATCCCAAGTGGGGTAAGTCAATATTAATAACTCCTAACATATAATTGAACATTAAGAATTGACACAAACAAAAAAAACACGCACACATTTATTCATATTATCTACAGTTCACTTAAACATTTCTACATTTGCTGGTGTAATACATTCATGGCACAATCTCCCACCTTGGCGTCGTTAAATGCCAACTTGTTGGCTGCGAACGTTAGCCAAATATATCTAAGAACCACCTAAAAGGAAACGAAACGATTAAATCGATAGATCTAAAACGAGGACGATAACGTAAAGCATGCACATCTCCAGGCCCAAAAAAGACTGAGGGGGATATAGATAGAAGAAGAGCAAGCGCTGAGGATGGGGGTTAGACACGTGTTATGTTGAAATCATAGTAGTAGCTTCCGTTCGATTTAGTGGATAGATTAGAGGAGCACAATTGCCGGGGACGAAAGTGGATTGTCATCGAGGAATCTCGCGTTGAGTCGCTCAATGGTTAAATACCTCGCCAGGCTCACGCTGGGTGCACTGCAATTGTGCGTTCCGCCGTGATCTGTCTCGGCTGGCGTATAGCCCGGCCGGCAGACACATTTCGCCCGGCTGGCATAGCTGACGTGCGGTGTGCTGCCATTGTTTGGCTGCGTCTTCAACGGCTCCAGCCACTGGCCAGCACCGCACGGTCCTCGCGTATACAGTTTGTGGCACTGACCACTCATCTCGACCATGCCGGGAGTTGACTCGCAAATGCTCTTCTCCTGGTCACTGCTCGCCGAGCACTGCTGATCCAGATTGGTGATGACGCCCGCACAGCCACACATGCCATTGTAGGAGATGCCATCTAGCGATGGTCTGGCCGTAAAGTCAAACACCACCACTTGGTGCAACGAGCACGGTCCCTGTGATCCAATTCTGTAGCACGAGTCCTCAGCTGGAAAGTACAATCGATTCTTGCCACAAAAGTTACTTATACACGTGGTGCCATTGACAAGAAACTCGTTGGCCGCACAGGGACCGCGTGTGTAGAGGCGATAGCAGAGACCATCGTTCCAGGGCACATAACCCTCCTTGCACAGGCACTTGCCACGTGGCGAGAAGTTGCTCAGTGCGTTTGGCTCCTGACTCGCGTCGACATCGTCGGGTATGCGAAAAACATGGCCAGGTGGACAAGGACCGGGTGTGTCTGCAATCGATAATAATTAAGATTTAAGTTTGGAGTATGTTTTATGTTTTGTGTGTGTTGGTTCCCATTCTTACCCAGCTCGTAGCACATCTGATGTGGTGCATGATAGTGGGGCAGATGTCGCTGGCAATCACAGCGTCCGCCCGGCAAAAAGATGTGACCCGGCGTTGAGCAGGGTCCAATTGTGTAGTGCTCGTAGCACGATTCCTCTGCCGCATAGTAGTAGGGACGCAGCTCGCCCCGATCCTCGCAGCGGCACTCGGCCAGTTCATCCTCGTTGCGTGCCAGCAACTTGCCCCGGTTGCAGGGTCCCTTCGAGTGTTTCGGATAACACTTGCCATCGTTTGGCCAGAAGAGCATACCATCGCTGCACTGCAGCGGTCGCTTGCAGCTGCCCCAGCGATTGTCGGCTCTAACAAGAAATGTTCAGATTAAATCGAAATCGATTACAAGACGCATGCCCAACTGTTGCCTACCTTTTGGCCTGATCCGGTATGGGCTGAAAGTATTCGCCACGTGGACACGGACCACGTTCGTACAGCTTGTGGCAAGCATTGCTCACAGCACTGAGCGCTGTGCCTGGCGGACACCGGCATTCGGCGGCTGGCACATCTTTACGCTTAGCGCTCACTGGTGTCGGACTTAGTTCCATGGTCTCCGGACAAGGGTAGCCCAGAGTGAAGATCTTAAAGCATTTCTTTAGTGGCGTCCAGTAAAGTAATTGCCAGCCGCCGGCCATGCTGGCGCATGGATTCTTGGCCGGATCACTCCATGGCGGCGGCACAATGCCGGCCAATGCCTGTTGTTGTGTCAGCAAAAGCAGCAGGCAGGTGAGAATGCTGCTGCACGCCTGTATGGCTGCCCAGCAGACCAGCAACTTGCGACGATTCATTCGCATCTTGCAGCCGGCTACGTCTACGGCTACGGCAACGGCTACGGCTGTAAGCAAAAAAACCAAATCCAAAGCCAGTCAATTGTGCACTGAATTAATTTTGCTACTGTTCACTTTTACTCTCGTTACGCTGGCGCCAATTTTAAAAGCAAAAACAAAATAATAATAAAAAAAACCTGCTTCGAGACTCGTTTAGTCATTCATTAAAACGCATGATTGATGGATTTTCTATTGTGTGACTTGGTCATTTTACAAATTAAGTTTTTCGCTGGAGCAGAAGTACTTAAAGTTGCCTGCCGCTGCCTGTTGCCACCGCCGCCCCCTGCACAAAAAAAAAAATGGTCTTTCATTCGCGCCGCAACGTAATTTGTGCGAACTCAAAGCGGCTCCAATTTAAATTAGCCAACTTTGCTGGGTTTTTGGCGATAAATTAAGATAAAGCAAAACAAAAACACAACAAGAAAACAAAAAAAAACCAGTAAGCGGCTGTGTGCTGTTAACCATGACCTAAATACGCATTTATCTTGACTTCTTTTGCGGCTGGATGAACGTTGTCATATTGCTGCTGGTGCTGCTGCTGCGGTCACCTGGCAGAAATCTTCTGTTCGCTGCCGAGTTTTTTGTATAATCGATATGACGCCTTTATATAATCGGACTCGCATGCGGTTTGGCGGTTTGTTGTTTGTTGTTGGGCTGCTGACGAAACTGGCGGCGGCGGCGGCGGCAGTCAGCCAAGCGGTGCTTGGAAAAACGTGCAACACTTTGCACTAATTCCCCACATTTTCCACAACAGTTGTTGGTCTGAATGGTAGCCTGGGGGCCTGAACAACCAGCAAACCAACCAACAAGCGTCAAGCAACCAAACAGCTGCTGCTGCTGCTGCTGCTGCTGCTGCTGCCATGGCTATAAATAATGCATTAGGCTAACCACAGCTATCGTTGTTTTGACTTGACTTGTTTCGGTGGCGTCGACTGTCGTAACAAACAGCCGATGGCCAACAGCAACTGGTTTCCTATTGCCCATATTTATTCTCTTCGAGTCGCAAAGAACATGACAAAAAAAAAACACTACACAAGAGGAGACACAGCAGCTAACAAAAAAAAAAAAAAGTTCTGCAAATCCTATTCCATTCTTAAGTCTCTTTTGTGCACAAAGTTGACGCACAAAAGCAACTTTTTTTTGCTGGACAAACTCTATTTGTATTGGATTACCACACGCGGTGCTCACCTCGGGCTCCGTTTGTTGTGTATATTTGATTTGATGATGTGTGGATTTGTTGTCCGCCCGCAATCGGACAATATCAGACAGCAATCAGCAATCAGCAGCGACGATATCCGATTCGAATCCGATTCCGATTCCCCAAAATGCCATCCAATTCTCACCACACACAAAAGACGCGACCATTCGACTGCGCAGGTAGCAGACGTCTGTGCGTGACTCTTTGCGGCCTGGCTGCGGCTAGCGTTTAGGCCGGGCAAGCTAAGCAGACCACTCTCGCTCTCGCTCTTGCTCTCTCTCCATCTCGAATCTCTCTCTATCTCTCTCTGCACTTGGCTAGTTCATGCTCTTAGCGACAGTTGTTGCTCTTCTATTGAAACTAAAAATGGATAACTCTGCACTTCCTCACACATAAACATCAAGTGGATTCCATTTTGCGGAGTTCAGATTGTAAGGTTCTTCGCAAGCGCTGAGCTATTAATGATTGACGTTGATGGTCGTTAGCTTTGTACATGCCCGGTCAAGTAAGTCTGCTGTATATCTATATATATATCTATATATGTATATATATGTATATTTATGCCGCTGAACAGGGCCGCGCTTTGTTCTTGAGTTTTTAATATGAATTGCGGATATGTGTGTGGACGTGCCTAGGTTGTTAATGTGTGAATGTGGCAAAAGAGAAGCCAACTAGCATTAGGCATAAAATAAATGGGATTCTCCGACACAATTGATTGTGAGCAAGTTTCTTGCTTAAGTCATTTGACCTGACACCAATTTGACCATGAACGCAACACACAGACAACTGCGTGTATTATCTGTATATGTATTAGCTGTGTGCACAATAGAAATGATCCTAGAGTCAAAGTTTCTTTGTTGTATCCGCTTACAGCAAACTGACCACAAGAACCCGTCAACGCGACTCAGAATTGAATGAAACCTCAGCGGAAAGCAAAACAATGCGGCAACAGATTGTGGCACTCAAAGCTAGCCGCGATGAGGCAATTGCGGAAAACGGGTGAGTACATTTAAATGTGATATGTGCAACTCTTACACCAGACGCCAGACACCAGACACTCCGGCAAATTGCATAAGCCAAATAAAGTGCACAAGTTTTTTGTTTGCTGCTCGATCATCAGTTACTTTTTATTAGTAATATTAGTACTAAATTGTGATTTGATTGTGACTCAATAGGCGACTAACGGGCAGATTAAGTGATGCCCAAGTGGAAGCTAAGACACTGCAAAAGAAGCTGAAGGATGCGGAGCAGCAGGTGGCCGACATGAAACAGAAGCTGCACAAATACGTCCAGGAGGTGAAAAGGGCCGAGGATCTGCTCATGCAAAAGGTATTCAAAAAATTCCAAAAAATCTTGGAATTATTAGTCCATAAGGCCATACGAATTCTGAATGTTGAATGCTAATGCGGCTAGGTTTACTGTGTATTAAAGGAAAAGGATCGAGAGGAACTATTGGATCACTATCACAGCTTGACCCACGACCAAGTCGTCCTCGAAGGCAATAACCAGAGTTTGGAGTTCGAAGCGACTGAATTCAAGTGAGCATCGCATCATTTACTATATATCAGTAAAAATAATGTGCATATATATTACAGGCGGCAAATCTGCGAACTGGAATGCGAGGTGCGCTCCCTTAAGGACCAGATACTCTGCCGGCAATGCACCATTGACGAGCTGGAAATGCAACTGACTGCCGCTCGTGCCTCAATGCGCTGCCTGGAGCGGGAGCTGGAGAATGCGCGCGAGCAGAAGATTGAGCTGGATGTGCGCAAAGAGCTGTGCGATAAATTGGATGTTGAGAAAGAGAAGCTGAACGCTGAGCTAAACGAACTCAATGAGATCCGCAAGAAGGTGAGATTTTGTGCTTGTAGTTCGGGTCTTGGACTTGGACACTAGTGGAGCCAATTCTATACCAGATTCATAATAACAATACTCGCCGCTTACGCTTTGTATACTAACATGGGCTTGTAGAGTTGAGGAAAATGTATTTGCAATTAATCGTCGTCATTAGTTAGTCCGATTAAATAACGTTGAGTGTGCATCTTGCCAACAAACAAACACTTGCAGCTGGAAAAAGAATGCGAAAAACTACGCAGCGAACTACAGCAAAAGTCTGTCCTAAATCAGGTGACCACAGAGACAACGGAACAAATGCTGGGCCGAATACGCGGCGATCAGCATCGTCAAGATGAGGCCGAGCTGAGCTCCAAACGTGAACTGGAACGCCTGCGGCAGCTGCACGAATCAACATTGGTAACAACAACTAACCACAAATTATCTAAAAGCGCAAGACTAATTTTCATAATTTACATCGAAAACAGAGTGAACTTCAGGAAGAGCGATCGCGTTGCAATCAGCAGGAGCGTCTTGCCAATCAGTATGAGCAGCAGGCAAGAGAATTACGCAAGTGCTTGGCCGAGGATCGCTTTTGCCAGGCACGCTCAAGGGAGGCTAGTCCCAAAATCCCACCAACAACAACACTATAAAGCAATATGTGAATTGTGTTTTTAGTATGTTTATTTTGTTCATCTTTTTGTCTGTGTGTACTGTGTACATCGTATTTTACTTGTCCTTACTTTTACATGATTTTACATTTAGAGAATTTTCTTAAAATTAGTATTTTAGTTTAAGTATTTTGATCAAGAATATATTCTATGTTGAGGCATTTTAAACAGATGAGCTCTATCCTTGGCCAGCAAGCTTCAGATAGTCCTCGTACATGCAGGGACAACACGAAAAGGGTGGAATTTGATTGTCTTCCATATCCGTTTGAGATTCGTTGCATGTTAAAATATCCTCCTCGAATTTGGACTCATTGCATGTAAACTCTGCCGAGCTGTTTGATACTAAATTAGAGAAATGAAATTATAGTTTAATATTAATTAAATAAAGCAAGAAATTGACTTACAGTAGGACTCTGTTAATGAAACATCCTCAGCGATCTGTTGAAGAATTGTCCCCATTTCAGCAGAGTCTGCTCTCAAGCCCGAGTCGAAGTCAGTAACTTGCTCCTGATCCACGTAGCTTGTAACTGCATTGTTCTTCTCACTGAAGCCGATCTCATCTTTAAAAGTCACTAAATGGGTTGATTTGATCGGTGTCTGCTGGCTGTTAATTGCCAGCTGCTTGGGTTTAATCCTTTGCTTCCACTGGGACTCGTAGGTGTAGTTAAATGGCAGCTGCTTAGTTGATCTACCAATGAAATGTTGGAATTTAGTGTACAGTTCAAGGTTAGTTGTCCTTTGCTCCGTTTGCTCTGATACTGACAAGGGATTGTGGACTTGCGGGGATATTTTGCTTTGACTTTCCATAAAGTAGTCATGGTCGATTCGAGTATTACCAAGTTCTGTATTGTTATAGTTTTGCCCCCTTTCCACAGGATATTCTCGGCAATTATTGAACTGGCTTTTGAATTTGCCATTGCATGTATCGTAGATGTCATCCGTTGACTCGACGACTTGGCACCGGTTGTCAATCCGTGCCAAATGACAGCCTGAAGAACTGTCAGCTTTGTTTACTGAAGAATCTGGCGCATAATTAAAGCTCACAACAGCAATGTCTGCCTGGGGCTGAGATTGCATAACCTCTTGGCAATCTTGAAGCTCAGATAGCTGGTTGTGAGTAGGAGCCGAATTTTGTTGAAGGCAATTCCTGTATTCATCAGGCTCGATTTGGAGCCACTCGGGCGCTTGGAATGCTTCTTCTTGGTTAATTGATGTTTGTTGCACCGAATTTAACGCAAAATCATGCTGTTGGGTAAACTGTGGAACGGTATTTCCCCGCTCCAGATCATGTTGTAAATTTTCGGGTGTCACTTGAAGACTCCCTGTTGTCTGCCAGTCTCCAGGAGTATCGTCTACCTGGGCCTCGATTGTTATCTGTTTTCGAGTCGTTTCGATTGGCGAGTTCCCGTCCGAAACAAACTGAGCAGGTGTTATGGATTGGTGTGAGAACGTTTGGCCTGCTTGGGTATCCGTTGCCGGCAGTTGTCTACAATATTCTCGCAGAGAATGCTCCACGCTTATGTTCTTGTCATCGGCAACGGTTGATTGTGTAAATATTTCTTCAACTACTTCATTCGTTTGATCGTCTGATGCGGATTCATTGATTTTATTACGCGTTTGCAACTTTGTCATTTGTGGCACGCTGCTTTTTTCTACTCCCGTTTCTTGAGGGGGATCGCTTACGGGCGCAGCTTTTGCATCCTGCACTGTCTCTTCGAGGGCACTGTCTTGCTTCTCCTCTGTAGCTTCAACTTTTATCATTGGCAGTCTTGTATAAGTGGGATTGGTCTCAATACCAAAAGTATTTCGGCTTGAACCCTTCCTGGCTGTTTTCTGCTCCTCTTCCTTATACATATTCAGGTATTCACGATGCAGACGCAACTTCGTATCCAGATCCATGTAGTCATTATTAATGGGTGACTTTGTCGCTGCCACATATGCTTTAATAATCATTTTATCTTTTTTTATCTTCGACTTTGCCCATCTTTGAGCATCAGATTTGTCCGCTTCCTGTTTTCTAACCGATACTTTCGGGGGAGTGTCTTGTTTTTGTGATTTCTGATGACTAGTTGGGTATTTGGGCTTGGACTTCTCAATGGGGCCTTTTTGCTGTCGGGGTGTGGGAGCTCTGGACAGAATAGCCAATGGAGAACCGCGACAAAATTGTTCTGTATTTAAATCAGTTTTCCGCTTTTCATAGGACGGCTGAGGACTCTCATTGTACGACATGTGTTGGTAAATGGGTTCCAAAGGATACTGATAGCTCCAGGGATTGGGCGGCCTTGTTATGGGCTTATTGTAATAGCAAAAATATCGATTACAACCCTGGCAATAGCCAATCTGAGTTCGGTTTGTTTCATTCGATGAAGGAGGATAATCCAGCTGATAGACTGACAGATCATCACAGCGTTCATAGGCACTGCCACCAGTCAAGCGACTTGTTTCGTCTTGCACTGCCGGCTGATGTAGTCCTTGATATGCGACATCGTTCACATTCGGCAATTTTTTGACTATTCTCGGCTCCTCCTCGACGGTGTCTATGGTGCTAAAATTGGAATTTGCCTTCAGGTTTTGACGACGCTTGTCAATGGAGAACTCATCATCTTTTCCAGTTAGGTTCTGAGGACAATGCAGCGCTTGCTGTCGTCTTGCTCGATCTGGACTCTCAGCGCTCGAGATTGGTGCATGCTTTTTGGATAGGTTCTGTGACCAAGTCAGATTCTTGTTGGTCGCTTGCATCGTTGCCGGTTTGCGTTTTGTGTTTTTCCTTTCGAGTTCGTTGAGGAAACAGTACCGAAAGTTGCGTAATTTAAGGATTTCCTTTTCAATCTGCTTATCCACGTTGGCCACCTGCTGCATTGTCGCCTGTATCTGGTCATCGGTATTGGAGGAGGACTCTTGCAACTGTTGCTTGTTGACATTGCAACGGTAGAGCTCAAGTACCTGAGTCTCAATGTTCTTGATGAACAGGTCGCCTCGATCTTTGATGGATACCCGCTGTTTGCGCTCGCATAGATAACTGTGGTGATCTACGAGGTGTATTTTTTGTGTTCAAGGTAAGTGACTAGTTTTATAGGTCTTACCCACGCCGTGTTGACTGTTGTTGTACTTAGAATCCATAAATAGTCTTTAATAAAGTCTTTAATGATTTTACATTTATAAAATATAATATTCGAATCTGAAATCTGAAATTACTCTATTATTACAACTACAGACAACAACCACTGCCTATAATTTTGTACACTTTTCATGGCCTACTTTTTTGTACTGTGCCAGACTTACAACCACTGGCAATTTTGCCATTGTATTACACTGGCAACAAATGGCAAGCAATTGCCATTAATGTGAAATGCATACTGCTTTAGTGTTACCATAAAAATGCATGATGGCAATGATAATGTTTTCAATTATTTGTTAATAGAGGGCGTTTTATACTATTGTAACGACTTGCACTGCATTATTGGTTCCGAAAATGCACACCACGCTCGGATCCTAATACAATTAGATTAAACTTGCACTGCTTTAAGGTTTTGGCAAATATTTACATAGATGGCGCTTTAAACACAATGAAGATCGACCACTTGCACTGCTTAGATGTATTATAATTTTAGCTGCAAGGGGGCGCGTTGTTTCTGTTTCAATGGTTCCGAAAGTTAGTTCGGAACATAACATCTTCAGCTAATTATCGGCGAACATTTGCACTGCTCTCCTGTGTTCATCAAATGTGTCTTAACAAATGTTTTAAACTGCTTAAATGTTTTTAGCAAACATGTCAAAAGATGGCGTTTTGAGCATAATATTAATATATGGGATTTGATTAAACAATATGTTTTTGAGTTTATTTTTATTATAATTTTTTTCTTTAATTACGTTTAACAATTTGTAAAGTTGAGTTAAACTAGCAACAGGCAACTGGCAACTAATATTAGTTTGTCTCTCTGATTAATAATAAATACTTTACATCTTTGTTAATGTGGGAAAATAATAATATTATTTTGGCTTGCAAATGTATGAAAATGTCAAGCACAATGGTTAATACTTTAAGTGACTTAAGTTTTATTGGCTATTTGTGCGATGTCGCACCACTGTGCAGAGACTATTTGTTCGGTGCTTGCTGCTTGGCGCACACATGAAGATTAAGAGCCGGTTCATTCAGTCGCCGACTGTCAGCCAGCGCGTTCGCCGGTGTTGTGTGTTGTGTGTTGCGTGTGCTCTTCTCTGTCAAACGAACACAAAGTACAATTAACGGAATTATGAAAAAGTTTTGGTAAAATTTGAAATTAATCAAAATAAAGAAAAAAATTCTAAGGAATTGAAATTGTGAATGTAAAAAAAAAAACATATTCCATAATGTGGAATGTTAAGCGAAGTGCAATTTTATTGTTTTGAATTGTGCATTAGAAGTGAATTGCGGCTCTCTGGTGGCACAATGGAGTATCTGGCGTATCCTCGCGTGAACTGATGAGAAGTGGCGCCATTCGCAGTGGCAAACAGATACCTTTTGTCTGCATTGTTCTACAGATGCGTGGAGGGTTAAATCAAAGTCAGTCGGTGCTCAGTCAGCGCCCAACGCTTGCCACCACTGCGTGTAGTTAATATTTGTCTAGTTTTTGAGTGTTTCCCTTTTGTCTTCCGACGTTTTTTTTTGAGATCTCAGCTTATGTCAGAAAATGCATAGTCGACATCCTGCTGCTCCTGCTGCTGCCTTTGTGTGTGTGTAAAAGCTAACGACAAATAGCTCCATTTACACACAGACAGTGGGAGTCCTTTCTGCAACAGGACTTAATGCACTTGCATGAGGCATGTGGCATGTGGCATGTGGCATGTGGTATGCGATCTGTGATTGTGTTAGTGCCCGTGCCCGTGCCCGTTATGCTTGTGCCTGTTTGTGCGTTAGTAAGTGGGTGGTTCCATTGCACCGTAAAATATGCAATTAGAAGGACATCAAAGCGTGTCGCCGCCAGCCGCTGGAGGAGCTGAAGTACCAGAGCCGCCTCATCATTAGTGCGCAGTCGTGTGTACATACTAAGTATGTCAGTTTTGTCGGCTTCTCGCTTTGTCTCATCTTTTATCATTTTTTCTGCTTTTTTTGTATTTTTTTTTTGTTGGCCACCTAAAGCACTTTGTTCGTCTATGTTTTGATGTTATGCATTTATTTAAATTTCGTCTTTGTCATAAATTTAGTTTCTTTTGATGAAATATGAGTGCTGGAAGCTGTCGCCAGGCCGTTTAGTGGTCCGACTTTATACTTGCAACACTTGCGAATGGCTGCGACGAGGTCAATTGGCTTAATTAGTGTGTGACAGCGCGGGGTAGATAAGTGAGGGGTTGCTGTGAGGGGGTTTCGGGGTGTGTTGTGAATGATCTCGGACAACGTTTATATACATTCTTTTGAACAACATTTGTTGTTTCCAATTTCAATTTCAATTCCAATTTCAATTTCAATTCTTTTGCTTAACTTTGCCATCGCATTAAATTTAATGGACAACATTTTCCATTTATTCCATAGAAATAAAAATCACTTCAAAACTGAATTTGTATATCAATGTTCGGTAAACAAATTACGTCACTCTCTGGCCATAGTCACTCTCTGCTATCGAATATGAACGCAAATGAACATTCTGCATTGATATCCGTTTCCTGTTCCTGTGAGTGATAAGCCAATGTGTGCAAAATGCACTTGTTGTAGGCACAAAAACTGTTATCTGCCAGTGAAAAGTACAAGTAATCAAAGAAAATGCGCCTCTCTTGGCTGCTGGTCGGCCTTACGGCACTCTCGGCAACGCTCGGTGCCAGTGCATTGAGACTGGAGCAGCGGAAGGAGGCGAGCAGGGAACCAGATCTCCATGCGCGGCGACGCAACGATGGTGCCCCAAACGATATGCGAAAAACGGAGTTGCGACGCGGCAAGGACAGTCAGCAGCATCAACACAGCGATGAGGAACACGAAGACGAGGTGGGAACGGAGGAGGATTACGATTGGATTGATGTGGATATTAGTGGAGCTGCTGACCGCTCAAAGACTGATCTGGAGGCCACTGGCACAGCGAACAGCGCTTCCCATGGTAAGTGTCAGCCGCGTGTCTTATCAGCAGATACAGTAATACACATTCTATATATGGGTGACTGCCCAATGACCTTTTTCCCCATTCCGAACTTTAAAAGAGGCATCTGCTGATAAGTAAGTGCAACTGCGAGATATTTATGTGACTGACTCACTTGTCTGGATCACTTGTTGCTTGTGTCGTGGATCTGTTTGTAAACAGATTGCGACAGATGAATAGGCCTCAAACTATTGGAAGGTCAATGAAATTTGACCAACATACATACATACATACATACATACATACATAATAAATGATATGACATACGTATCTATATGTGTTTGTATCTCTTTTCAAAATGTATCTGATATGTTAGTTTTACACTCATAAATGTGAATGGCTCTCATCCGCTTTCTCACTTAATCAAAGGCAAAATTTGAGAGGGAATGAAATGTTTTAATTGAAAGTGCCTGATGATGAGCAACTACAAGCTTACCAGAGTCTATATGTACATCTCTAAATCCACATACAGTGGCGTAAGTTGGCTATTTTGTTGGGGGAGAATATTAATATATTTGTGTATTTAATGGTTAATTAGAACTTGCTTAAAGAACTTCTGAAATACTTAAGGGATACAAATGATGTGAAATTCATTATCATATAATTTGAATATGTTTGTTAATTAGGAAAGAGAATGTATATAATAATATATATTTTTTTGTTGCTTCATTTTATAAGACTTTGAAAATTCGCTGACTTTCAGTTAACAGATATTATTCCAATTATAAATATTTAAATCTAATGCGAATAAATGTTAGAGACTACTAAGTGCCTTTGGCCAAGTTGAATTGATCCCTTGCCTAGCAAGTGGTCAAAGTTCAAAGCTCCGCCCACTCACACCGACGCCACTGTGAGTGTGTGTGTACTTATCTGTGTGCGAATATGAATCTAAATTGAAACAGTGTTGAACACTTATTTAAACTGCTAAGCCGACGCCTGTTTTCAGCTGCTGGCGCCAGCATATTCTTCATAAATACACACACACACACATGCATACGTATGTATATATGCATATGTGTGTGTGTGCGCTGCAGCCCTAACCAAACAATCGGGCGTGAACCAACACTATTATAATCAACAGCAGCTCCAAAGCAGACCGCTTAATTTACGCGACTGAGTGAATTATGGCGAGTGTGTGATAAATGTGTTTGATTTCCAATGAACTGGCATTTTATGGGATGCACATATTTGTCACTGCTTGGCGCTGCTTAACTGATTGACGCTTTTGCATTTCGCATTTGCATTTGCAAAATGGCAAACACAACAAGTACAACAGCTACCACTGCTACTACAACTACTATTTCTATATGGATTCCAATTTCGTTGGCTGCGTAGCATGCTAAGGAGCAGTAGTAGTTGTCGGCATTATCAATTATTCATCGACAATCATTTGAAATGCTTTGCATACCAATAATTCAAGAGTGCCTTCTTCTTCTTTGCATTCTCCGGTTTTATTGTTTGTTTTGATGTGCGCGACACTAAAATGATTATTATTTGTGCATGTTTGTTGAATATTCGATGGGCCCACCCTCTTTGATGTCATTTGCATTTTAAATAGCCGACAGTTTTCTATGGCAGATGGATCATTTTATTCGGCAAATCGCAGCTCGAGAAACCAACTAAACGGACAAATGCTTGGCTCGTCTAAATTAGCCGCTATTGAGACATTTCCTTTATTTATAGGCTACATCTGCGCTGGCGTTCGGCCTGTTTGTCGTTCGTTGTGTTGACAGCCACTAAGATCATTGGCCACACTCTGTGACAGTCGACGGGCCGACGAGCCGACGGGCGGAGAGTGCCCAACTTTGCAAGTATGACATAAAAATAGCACTCGACATAGAATACATATAAAACAAGGGTATAAAAAACAAATCCCAACTGCTCGAGTTGAGACTGCTCGACCGGAAAATACCCTGTGGTTGAAAAATAACAAGCATTCGTTTGATAAACAGGTGTTTTTCCTATCGAATGGATTATATCACTTTTTGTAGTTTATATTTGGTCTTTAAATAGTTTTGTCTTTGAGAATATGCTAAATTTATGGCAAGCTATATACCCAATAGGCTCGCTACATATTCAGTCTATATCTTATCTGTGCATGATATCCTAGATTTTGATATAAATACACACATATGAAACTTTGCTTGCTAAATCACAGAGATCTTAAGGCAATTTGTCATATTGTGTACCAGCTATAATCGAGACTTATCACACGTATTTTGATTGCTGAATATATATTTTCCATTTCGAATCGAAATCAAATGCAGACTACGTTCGGAAACGGCGCGTGGAAATCTGAAAACGTTTCAGAAGACTTCAAAGTAAATGCTCTAAAATTAGTCATAGCTAAAAACGGTCGCAACCAGACGGCAAAAATGGATAGTATGCCAAAAAAGAAAGAAAATAATAATAAAAGAAAAGAAAAAGAAAACATAATAAATACGGGAGGTTGACGGTAAAAATGGGGAAATATTGAAACTGCCTGCACCACAGCAATTGCACACTTAATTAATGAGTGGTGCTTTTGATGTTTTGGGAACTTGAGCAGCTGGCCCCATCTTTACCAACAGAGACAGAGATAGACAAACAGAGCGAGAGAGAGAGAGAGAGAGAGTGAGAGATAGCCGCAGAAGCATGTGACAAAACGACATTTTTCACGCACCCAACGAAACTCTTTGAACACAACCCCATCGCACCGCACCTCCCTCAACATAGCCACACACTGCCAGTGGATGAATAGGATGAGGAGGCATGTGTCGCACATGTTGCACGTCATCTGCATTTCTGCCTGCCTGGCTGCCAGCATGCAACGCCAAAGTTCAACACCCAATGAGAAATCCCTTAATGATGCGAGGCAAGACATCTAAACGGCAAGTGCTTAATAAGTAATCAGTCAGAATACTTATGTACTACACATGTATGTACATGCTGCACTTGCAACATGCAAATGCATGTGAATGCATCTTGGTATATTTGCATAGATAAGATGGGCAATTGGGTTGAATCGAACTAATTGTGGCAATGGGTTCAGCAAAGTCATCCAGCGTAACGGCTTCGGAGGAAGCGTGAATGTCTGCGACTCGGATTCACATGACAAAAATGTGGCACTCAAACTGAGACTCACACTCGAAATAATAATGGGGCTGCTATAATATAAAAAAATGTGCATAAAGGCCTTTAATTAAAATCGCACTAAAAGCAAGATTTGTGCCTTAATCGAAAATCGTAGAAAAACATCGAAATAATTTATTGTTATTAATTTAAAATATATTTCGGTTGAGTCGAAAAGGAGTCAGCATTTTGCCCAACTGCATTTCCCAAATTCTTTTGCATACTGTTTCTCAAAGTGCACGATCAGTCATAAGTTTTGACAGGGTTTTTAATGAACCCGAGTTTGCAATGTTGCAAGCTGAGTTAAGCTGTTGCATTTATTTAGCTCGAACATTTTGTGAGCGGTGTCAAAATGCTTGACAAGTCAAGTCATTAAACCCTGATATGCAGTTCCATTTAACATTAAGATGATTAATTTGGTTGTTTTTTATTATTCTTTCTCATTTTTATCATTGCAGATATTTTTACATGTTGCAATCAAGTCTTTGGCTCATGTCGCACAGCATGCGAGAATGTAAGTAGCAAACATCGTTTTACTACATATAAATTGAATGAATTCATATTGAAAAAGGTTCAGCCAGATAACTGATCTTAACATGAAAATCTCGGGACAGAGATAGAATACATTATAACACACACACACAACACACACACATGCTCTTTCTGACTGATCTGATAGATAAGGCGAAAAACTACTGTGCAGCGAACATTTCCTGGTATATTTAATGCCCATCGTTACGAGTTGCATACTAAATACAAGCGCCAGTTTGTTATTGTTGTTGTTGTTGCTACAATAAGTTATTAGAATGCAATGTGTGCGATGCATTCACAAAATTATTATGACAGGTTTTCAATGTGTCGAAAGAACCTTTAAGCGCTGCTCGACGGCAACTTCCGTTCGAATTGGTTTTGTCGTTGCCTTGTCCCGAAAAGACTTAAGCATATATATGTATGTGTATGTGTGCCAAATCCAGGCTCGATTAGCCAGTTAATGCCATACAGATAGTTGAAATCTGGCCAATTACACTGTTAATATTAGCATAAGCTACAAACTGGTAATTTACAGGAAAAGCAATGGGGACGGCGACAGCGACCAACCCAACCTGTTCCGCCACTCAAAAGCCATTCATAAACTTGAGCATTTGACTTAAAATTCAATTGGTTTACAAGTGTATGTGTGTGTGTGTGTATGTGTGTGTTGGCTGGTTAGTTTGCTGTCTAGCCGACCTGCAATCAAATCACTGACATCATTTAACTTTGTAATCATAACAATTTCTAAAAACCAATTAGTTTCTGCAACAATTTCTCGTTTGTGGCAACAGCAGCAGCCACAGCAGCAGCAGCATAGAGTGGGCTGTGTTTTTCATTTATGAATGCAAATGAAGGCATTAAATCTTTGCTCAAATTGAAACTGACAAAATGACAGCTACAAGGATAATACTCGTTCCCAGACCGGTTTAACTCCAACTCCAACAACAACAATTGGGTGCAGCAGCATCATATGCGATCGAAACAAGAGCTGCAATTGAAACTGAAGACAACACTTAAATCGCTCCACACTGCGGCAACAGACGTGTGAAAAGTCGGTGCCTGATTCCAGATATATGATATGAGTGCGATTTCCGCACATTTTTATTATTGACAAAATGCTCGTTCCGATTGTCTCCAAACTGTCGCAGGCGTAGCCCAACAGTAATTGCTCCGTGCGCCTGCCAATCTTGATTGCAGGCAACAGCATTTAAAAGATGCACGAAATCTCGGACATACATATCTCCTTGTATGTATGTATGTATGTACACGTATGTGGGCAGTGTATGTGTTGTGTGTGTGTGTGTGTGTGTGTGTGTGTGTGTGTGTGTGTGGGAGTTTGTCTGACACTTCATTACCAACAGCAAAACTTGTAAAGGAAGTTGGCCAGTTGCTGCCTGCATTTGTATGTAAATAAATAGCGTTTAGTTCGAGAGAGAGAGAGAGAGAGAGAGAGAGAAAGAGAGAGAGGGAGAGAGAGAGAGAGAGAGAGAGAGAGAAAGAGAGAGAAGAGCACAGAACAGAACAGAACAGAACAGAACAGTATCTTTAATAGACATCGTTGGACTCAGATTACTGTGGCAGATAAGCGATCCGAAAGAAATTTGTTGCTTCGTTATTGTAGTATGCCCTTTGCTTATTTATGAGCCAGCGGGTTGCCCTCAGAAACTACAAGAACACTTCGTGTGTAACATAATACGCGTGCCACGATCAAACAATGAACCAAAGCAGACAACTGACAACTTGCAGTTTTCGGTTCACACTGCAAATCGTTAAGCGAGAGGAACCCTGATCTTTTCATTGCCAAATTGATTAAACATTGAGAAATGTTTGACTATTGATCGCAGCAATGAAAACCAACGCAATAAAGCCAATATAAAGAATATATCGTCTTCTGCTTGCAGTTATCGTTGGCGCAACTGGACGTGGCCAATGGACGCGAAGAGCATCGCACTGAATTAAAAAAATACTGCCAACTACATCAGTTGGAGTTTTGGAGTTGCGTCAATCGCACACTCGATGGTAACACCCTTAGTTATAAGGGCCATAAAATGGATTTCATTATCTTTTTGTACTTATAGCGGTGGATAGGGGTAAATCATGGTCGGGTCGTCGCTGCTGCCAATTGGCCGTTCTACCCAAATGCAAAAATGCTTGCGCAACTGCAGCCGCTAGCCAGGAAGTGACCGATATCTGTCGGCGCAGCGATGAGCAAGTGCTCTACGACTGCTTCGAGCACCAGGAAGCGGCAGACAGTTGCTGTGGCAAGGCCCGTACCTCGGAGTGTCTGCAGGCAAGTAGTAGATAATAAATATTGCAACACTGTCAATTGCAGCTCTTTACTTCATCTTGTTATCAAAAATTGGAGCTACAAAAACTACTCGAAAATTAATGCATTAAGGCAAACATTTCCACAGTTTCTGGATATCTACGATATTCTCAAAAAATCTGTACATTTATTATAATTTATGTCGAAAGAAAATGTTTTGTTTTCCCTCTAAAGATTTTATAAATATTTATTTTGTTATTGCTTAATTAATGTAAATAATTTTTAAAAATAGATACAGCTTCTACAATATAGGAAAAATATAAAAATAGATTCGAAGCAAAAAAAAAATAAGTAAATTGAGCGCCAATATAATAGTTAATCTGGCAAGGAAACACCTTCAAATGGAACTGCCATCAGCAGTTGGCCATCGCAATTTGACAAATCAAATTTCGTTTCACATTTTAATCAGTGAATATTTTTATTGAAGGCCTGTCGAGAAGTTTTTGAGCCACCGAATGAAACTGGCACAAGCAATGGGGATGGCAGCTTGGTGGATGAGACATGTGGGGAGCGCAATGCGGATGTGCTGCAGTGCATCCACAATCATACGGATATGACACCGCCACTGGACGTGGACAAATGTGAGCTAAAAAACATTGCTAATAATAATAATATTTATTGTTAAATTGAACCAATTCGAATAGATTTGCCTTGCTGTGAGTATAGCCATGAACCGATGTGCCACCGCACATGCAGCGATGTGTTGCAAGCATCGCGTTTGCATCGAAACGTTGAGCGCAGTGATGTGATATTTGCACGCCTGGAGGCTGGCTGTGGCATGCCCCTGCCTCACCTGCCCTTCTGGCAATGCTTTCTGACAGTGACTCGCAAGCTCTATGTGCCAGCGGGTGGACAATCCCAGCGTCGCTTACAGCTATCATCGAACGGCGGAGATGGTGGGGAGCCAAATAAGCTGGGCATCGATGCGGCCAAGCGTCAGTGCTGCGAGCATGCGACTAGCCACAAGTGTCGTCGTCTGTGCACCCAAATCTTCACGAACGATTGGTGGGAGACGCGTGTCAGCTTCGATACCGAGTGCCTGGAGCAGCCGACTGAGCTGAATCTGAGGCGCTGCATCGAGAGTGTCGATGCGCCATGTGAGCTGGGCTGCAATGGCCTCAGTTTCTGCAGCAACTTTAACAATCGGCCGACGCAACTCTTTCGCAGTTGTTCCCCAGCACACGATGCGGCGGCTCGCGAGGATCTGTTGATGCTGCAGCAGCGCGGCTATATACGGGTGCTCGGCCAGGAGCTGTACATCAAGAATACGACTCGCTGTGCGCCGGATAAGTGGCAGGCACTAGTCTGTGCACTTCAGCTCCAGCCGTGCACTCGTGTCGGCCTTTACAATGGGATTTGTCGTGAGGATTGCACAGAGCTGTTGGAGGAGTGCCTGGACTGGACACGACAGCCGCAGCGACCACAGGCCATCTGTGACCGACTGCAGCCGCCAGCGCAAACAGAGGATGAGGACTCAACGCCGTGCATCTCCTTAAACACCTACCTGAAAGGCAACGATCCGATTGAGGAGTCGGAGCTGGAAATACATTCACCCTGTGCCCGCAAGCCCTGCAATGCCAGTGAAGTGTGTGTGCTGCAAAGGAATGGCAGTCAAGGATACGCTTGCATTCCCGGCTGCAGTCTGGGACAGGCCTCCAATCTGATCGTGCCATTCGGAGCATATGTTCGCGTTGGCAAGACGAGCAGTCCGAGCAGTGGTGTTGGCCTCGCCAGTGGCCAATTGCTGAGCGCGGAGCATGTCGTCTGTCGCTGTGGACTGCGTGGCAATGTGGATCAGTGTCAGCCCCTGCCCAGCTACACCCATGCGCACTGTATACTGCCGGGTGGACGGAGCTTTCGTCACGGCACCTCCTTCTATCTGGAGTGCAATCTGTGCAGTTGCTTTGCGGGCGAAATAACCTGCACCAAGCAGCAGTGTCGCCTGCCCGACTACGTCGATGCCAGCTACACGAGTCTGCCCTGCAACTGTGCGGCACACTATGTGCCTGTGTGTGGCGCCAATGGCAACACCTATCCATCCGCCTGTGTCGCAAAGTGCTTGGGCCTGCTGGAAGCCAACTATGTCTATGGGGCGTGTAATGCCCGCAACGGCTGTCAGTCGAGCAGTGACTCGGCCAATCCCAGCTGCCCGAGCGGTACTCAGTGTCTGGAGAGGCGTCAGATTTGTTTGTCCAGCATGCAAAGACCATGTCCACAATATATATGCGGTAAGCTTGCATGTTATATACATATTAATCGGAGCTATTTCTATACAAGTTCACTTCCTTTTGCAGTTAATGTTTCCTCCACCAGCTGCGGCAGTCACCATGCCGAGGAGCTGTGCGATACGCTGGGCAAAACTCATCCGAATCCCTGCTCGCTGCTGCTGAGCAACTCTCAGTTGGCGTATTGGGGCGCTTGTCGCTCCAATCACGACAATGGCAACCAGTTGATGCCCGTCTGTGGCATCAACGGGGTCACTTATCGCAGTAGATCTGCCGCCTTGGCGGACTTTGTGCAAGTGGATTATGTGGGGCGTTGTCGCGAGGTTGGACTGCTCGTTGCGGATATGGGACGACGCTGCCAAACTGTTCAGTGTGGGGCACCAATGCCGCCGCTTTGTCGCCAAATAGTGCCACCTGGTGCCTGTTGTCCCATTTGTGGCGTCGCCGCCTTTCGCATCATCTACTCGCGGAAACAGTTGGACAGAGCATTCTATGCGCTGCGTGGCCAGGAGAGCTCTTTGCTGACATTGCATGGCGTTCTGCAGGAGCTGGATCGCTTGGTGCAGGTCAGCGAGTGCCAGTTGACTGGTTTCCTCACCATGGAGGTGGGCATCTTTGTGGCACTCGTGCCACGCACGACTCACACCACCCGGCTGCAGTTGAAGGTGTGCTTGGCGGAGGCGGAGAAAATCTCAGCCTTGATAAGCTCACAGTCGCCACGCATTACCACGAATCTGGCACTCTCCAGCCTGACGGTATCTCACATGCTCGAGCCCACACTGAATGGTGTGGCCTTGGTGTTACCCAGCAGAGTCGTAATGTTCGCCATTGGGCTGATCGGTGTAGCGGTGGGGCATCTTCGAATTGTTGGACGTAATATTTAAGGTTTCTAAGATTGTAGTTTAAAAAACGGTTTTACAAAATCAAGTGAATTCTTGGTGCCAACAAACAATTAGTGGTTTAGGCGGATGCAAGCCCAGCGTGCCTTTAAACAGGTAGGGATTGTCCCTCTGTGTGATGTGATATTAGCTAAAGTACTCCTAAGGCAAAACTTATTAAAGACAAACGGCAAATGGTAAGCTAGTAAATAATCCTAAGTTTGAATTGTACCAACCAAAGCAGCGTTCATTTTGTAACGCTTATCTACCTATGTTTACAGCTAGTCTAATTTAATACTCACTACAGTTAACTTGTTATATAATGTATACAATAACTCTCCTGATGTGTTCTTCCTTTTTATTCCTTTATATTTTGTGGGAAATCAATGCTTTATTGTTCACTGAACCATATCCAAAAATACGAGAATGACATTAAAACTAAACCGAATTGCCGAATTAGGCTATTTCCATGGGTACAGCCTGGACGCGTTCGGTGATCTGCAAATCCTTAATTGACGTGTGCAAGATGGGTGTGGTGCCCTTCTTGAAGCCATAGTTTAGCTGGCGTTCGCCCTTCTTGTTGGCCAACTCGTGGTTGCGCAAATACTCAGTGCTATCCTTGCGGATCACGCACAGATCTACGTTGGAGCCTGAACCAAGATCATTGAAGATACCCGAAGCAATTGCATCACGCACCAGCAACTTGGCCTCCTCCTCGGTTAAATCGGGTTTCCACCGACTCTCAAAGACGGCCATAGCTGCCAGCGAGCCTGATCCCATGGTGGCATAGGGCAATTTGTCGGCACTGCCATGGGGATGAATGCAATATATGTGTGGACCATATTTGTCGACACCGCCCAAAACGAGGGCAGCGCTAATGTGGCCCTGGTAACGGAAGAGCATCTGCTTCAGTATATTGTTGGCACACACAACGGGCACCTGTCGCTCCGTGCTCAAGCGATGCAGCTCCAGCTGAGATGAAATCAAATCGGTAGTCATTTCAGTATCAGCAGCAGTGCCAGCGCCACAGCAGCTGCAGAAGAAGCGATTAAATTAACATTTATACAAGTTGCATTGGTAATAATTAATAATTCCACTCACTAAATGTTGTCGGCCAGATAATGGATTTTGGCGCAGTTTTTGTCTGAGACAATTGGGCCTTCGGTAGCACGAGTGTCGGCGCCCAACACAACACCATCCTTGTAAATGACTCCAACGATGGTGGTGCCAGTTTTTGTGGTTGTCGGTGGCTTAAAGCCGCCCTGCAACAATGCAGCATTGCTGAAATTTACAGATTGCAAGTAAATTTAAGGAAGGATTTCCGTTATTATTTATTACCGTCGACAGTTGTCAAAGTTGAAGCCAGCGCGGGGCACTTCTGGAGCGGTATCCAAAGTCATTTTAATGTATTATTTTTACTTCTTTGCGAAAGCCGATGCGGAATGACAGTGCAAATGACAAGCAAGAATTGTTGATATTAAATCGAGACTCTTTATATCGATTAACTGCGGCAAACTCATTGCACCGATTTATCGAACTGCTGTATTTTTATGGAGCCCTGGAGTAACAGTTACTCAAGTGACAAGTGACCTATCAATATGTGGAAAATCTAATTCATAGTCCAAATAAATTAAGCTATTGTTTTGTGAGATAATGCATTTAATTATCAGTGTCAGTTTATTGAATGCACGAGTATGCGTTAATTATAATTTCATGGCTGATTGGTAACTGTGACTTTTGTTGCTGTTACTCATTCTGTTACTTGTGCCACAAGTGTTAAGTAACAGTATGCAAGCATTGCTCGTGCTGCTCTTCAATTCCCTTCCACAACAGCTGTAAATATCTCACGGATTTGTGTGGAAAAAGGAAAAACTTGTGATAAAACTACAATGGCAGCGGCAACCAAATTGTATAAAAAATCATTGGGCTTCTTCGCGCAAATACAACAGTATCGAAGCAACGGTAAGTGATCAACAGCAGAGGTTTTTTTAATTCAACATGCGGCACATTTATGTAATGTTGCCGCTATTTGATTTGTACCGTGTCGTAAACTGCTGGGTGAATAAAGTATAGTTAATAGCTGTTTAAAATATATTAACATTTGTATTATAATTGTAATTTCAGCAAACTACACTGCTGGCGCTTCAATCCGCACGCGCAATGAGCTATTCAATGAGGAGCAGCGACGCCAGCGGGAAGCCGTTGGTCGCATTGATAAGATCGAAGTGCGATATTTGGGTCTACCCGAGGATGTGACGCTGGTGATGAACAGTCACATCTCAACGCCATACAATTGCGCACAGCACTTGAGCGAGGGCCATTGTCAACGTGCTGTCCTGGCGCTGCTCGATGGCAGTGTTCCCTGGGATGTGCACCGGCCACTGCAGGAGTCCTGCACACTGCAGCTGCTCAACTTTAATGTGTCCGAGCCACACGTGGTCAACAAGTGAGTGTGTTCTCTCAGGAATAAACATAATACTAATTTATATTGTCCATTATGTAGAGCTTTTTGGCGCACATGCAGTTTTATGCTGGGCGCTGCCCTGCAACGAGTATTTAAGGAGGAAGCGAAACTGCAGTTGCACAGCTTTCCCAGTCCAAACAGTGAGCTTTGATTCTCCCTTTGCTTAAACAAAATATTAATTAACATTTATTCTAATTCTTTCAGTTAAATCGGGCAGTTTTGTGCATGATATTGTGCTTGGTGCCCAAAACTGGCAGCCGACCAAAGCTGAAATGCGAGCCATATCCGCAGAAATGGTTAAATTAGCAGCGCAGGATTTGCGCATCGAGCGCTTGGAGGTGGACCAGGAGCTGGCGAAGGAAATGTTCAAGGAATCACACTACAAGAGCGAGCAATTGCCGAGCATTGCTCAACAAAATCAGAGTCGAGTAACGCTTTATCGTCTGGGGGAACACATTGATATCTCGCGTGGACCAATGGTGGCATCCACGCGTTTCCTGGGCAAATGCACAGTCTCCACCGCCCACAAGTTGACTGATGAAGGGCCATCAAATGCATTTTACCGCATCCAAGGCGTGGCTTTGCCCAGCGGCTTTATGCTAAATCATTTTGCTTACGGCTTGCTGGAGCAACGCTCACAGAAATTGGTGAGCTCAAGCTGAATACTTGGAATATTCTATATATAAATTATTAATTAATTCTTTTTGATTTTTGCAGAATTCCGCACGTTTGCCCAATGAACCCTTTGAGGACCAACGACAAATGCAATTATCTTGAATAAAAACAAAGCAAAGATCTTAGTATAATTTCTAAAATGGTGTTCTTTAATATTTAAAGCTATATTCTAGTAATTGTTAACAAATACATTAAAGAGCCCAGCTCTTTTGCCGGAAAGAGCTGCAAGTCGTGCTTAATGCTTTCGTAGATTTAAAGAAAAAAAAAAAGAATTCGTTACAGATATATTTTTTACTATATACAACATATACTTATAGGCATATGAACACGTAGTTTTCGCTACACTTGCTGGGATATTAATCCAGCTAAATTTCCAACAACTTTACACATTTCTTAACAATTTTGAAATGTTTAACTGTACAATTGGCGAATCGAAACATTTAATCTTAATTACTTAATTAATTCACAAATACAACTTGAGCTGATTTTAACAATATTAACAACATTAACTGTAGCTGCTACTTTGTATTGAGATTCTGAACACATTCTGACTGACAACTAAAAACGTTTAAACAAACCCTCCAAATCATGTTCATTAACCGCAATTATTAACATAATGGCACCACCCAGAAAAATGCCCAATATTTGTATTAAGATGCCCTTGGGGTCGCGAGCCTGATCCGGATTGTGGGCCACACTCATCGTGGGCACCAAATCGGCAAAGGCAATGTATAGGAATGAGCCAGCTGTCGCCGCATAGATCCACTGCGTCATCCCATCCCCGATGCCCACCAGCAGCAGGCCAATGGACATGCCCACAAAGCTCAGCACCGAACTGACAATGTTCATGTAAACGGCTCGCCGTATGGAGACGCCCGTTTGCAGCAGCAGCGCAAAGTCGCCCAATTCGTGCGGCAATTCGTGGCAGAGAACGGCAAAGGCAGTGGCTAGTCCAGTAACGGGGTCGCTGGCAAAGGCGGCACCAATGGCCAGACCATCGGTAAGATTGTGCAAGCCATCGCCAATGATGACCATAAAGGCAACTGGCGTCAGCGGGCGATTTGGTGTCTTCTGATCCAACTTTGTCTCCTGCAGCATGGTGTTCAGTTCACGAGCTGGCGGCGCTTCCACTGCTGACTGTGGTTTCCCCGCATCGCTGGCGCTGTGATCGTGAACGTGACCATGGCCATGACCATGACTATGACCATGACTGTGGCCATGGCTATGTCCATGACAATACTTATCGCCTTTAAGCAGGGGAATAATATTCTCCAGGATATACATGAAGAGTGCTGCAAGGAAAGCGCTGCCACAGAGCAGTGCCGCCTCGGTACTGTGCTGGTGCTGCCGTTCCTGCGGCGACAGACGCATGTTATCCACGGCATGCTCATGTTTTTCCTCCGTGAACAGGGCATGTGGCAGCAGGTGCATGAAAGCATCGCCAGCCAATGTGCCCACCGCAATGGCGACAAGGAACTTAAGGATCTCCTGATAGGCGACCGTCTTCATGAGCGGCACAAGCAGAATTCCAAGTAGTCCACAAGCTGACAGAGTTATTTGTTTAATTACTAACTAAGTAAATTAAGTGATTTAGTAAGTTATTTACCTGAGAGCACAAACATTGAGATGCTGGCGTATATCCAGGCTGTGGATAAGCGTACAATTAGCTCGGGATTTGGTAGCAGAACTTTCACTTTCACTTTTACTTACCATTCCAAATCTTATCTTTTTTGTCAAGAATCTTTTGCGTTGGATGCGGCGCCGGCTGCATGCAAACCCCATTATCGATCTGAGCCAGCAGCGCTGGGCAGAGTTTCATGAATGCATTGGGCGTTATTAGCACACTGTTGATGAACTTGTCGTACTCCTCCTCCGAATTGTGATTCTTTGTCTCGACTATCTGACGGTACATGGTATTCCGATGCAGATCTTCGTGATCCACGAGCAGTGCGAGCAACGATTTCGGTGATAAACATGCTGCCTCCGGCAACGACTGTGCTCCATCAATGGAAACTGTAAGAAGAAGGAGGCATAGTTGTCTTATACAAGATTATAATCCCTATTTCCACGAATGCCAATCTTTATGGCACTTTATCTGTTTAGTGTGCTCTACAATTAACGGTAAGCCACTCAAAGTTGACAGTTATGGCAAAGTTTCGCACTTCCGTATCCATGTTACGACAGCTGACAATAGAGATCGCCTTATGGACATATCGCTAATGTCAACGATATCTGACTTACACATTTATGCAATCAAATGCATTTATGTGCACATGTACTTATTTAAGTTAGCACGTTTATGGCAACAGTCAACAGAGGAGGCAGCGTGCCTTTGTTTGTAGCACATACATTTTATTTTATTTTCTTTATTTATTATTTATTTGTTTGTTTTTTGCTCAGATTAGCAAATAAATAGTGTAATTAAGGTTGCAGATGTGTAGAGGAAGTCAGATGTGTAGACGCTCTATAAAAAGTTCCTCAGCTTGTAATTGGGAAATGATTTTGTTCTTCACCTTGGCATAATCCTCATTTAGATATTCCATAATTTTAGATTATGTAATACAAATGACAGCGAAATTGAATTGATAAGCTGCTTTAAATGGACCTCTCCACTTATTATTGCATTTGCCTTGCACTTGAAGTAGCCAATTGAAGGCAATATCGCCGCCCAGACATTGTTCAGCAGCTACAGTCTATTTATATAGTATAAGCAAATGACTACAAGATACCCTGGCAACGGGATAAAGAGACAGATATATGGGCTTATAAATGGATTTGATGTGCAGACAAACAAGATAAGACACCTCAGACGCGATAAAGTAGTGTCATAAAAATGCTTACAAACACATAATTTGGAGATAAATGCTGCTGCTGTTAATATATAATTCAATCTAAGAGCGTATTGTGTGATAGATCAATGCACCAAAAAAGCTGAGAGGCATGTGAAAAATTTAAATTGCGTTTATTATATATGTAGATACATATTAAACTTATCTAGAGATATAGAGACTTGATGCTAAACGAATCTATTAATGTGTATTCAAACTAAGTTAGATTTATCTGTCAATTTTTACCTAAAGTGTATTATATTTTATAATTATAACAATATTATTATTATTATTATTAGGCGTTAAATAAGATTGCTGCAATCTCAAGCGCCAGTTAAATAAGTGAGAGGCGAGCGTTATTTTGATTCACATAAAAACGTGATAAGAGCCAACTTCGAATAAGATAGTCAACCTGAACAACATATGTGTTTTACTCTGAGCGGGCGACACTGTATGAGAATCATGTGAACAATACGAAGTAAATACAGGCATGTGGGCCAGCTTATAATTATCGTTTAAGTCTCCATTTACTCGGTATTGTTTGCTTATTATTATTGTGGGCACCTTGCACTTCTCCGTTCTCGCATCTTGATTGTGGTGGGAATACTCACATAATAATATGCGACTTCATTTAAGCGATCTTGTTTTCGCAGACTAACTGCACGTAACGCGTAAGAAAATCCCTCAGGAAAAACAAAATAAAACTCTATAGCAAATCATGATTATCACTAACTAAATAAATCGCATTTCCCTATCTTCTATTTAAACAGAAAGCATTAAAGTTGTTTTGTCATCTTTGTGATTACAGACGATCAATATGCTTACCACTGCTCTCCCGGGGATGGCGATGCTTGGGATCGTGCAGTTCTCGGAACTGGACGGTCTGGTTGCGTCCACTGGAACCCATTTTATTGGCCACGTTCTCGTCCAGCTGGTAAATGGACAGTTGCACATCGCCAATTGCTTCATCATTGCTAGGATAGGCTCTGGTCGCATTTACCATCTTGCTAATATTGTAGCCCTTAGGTCGGTGCTCCTCTATGGTGTGCGTGGGTTCGAATTCGATGTGACCGAGTCCTAAGCTGTACATCAAATGCTCCAGACCCTGTCAGCGGCAAGTTGGCAAAGACAATATAGTATAGATATTCTTAGATTATTGGTTTTGATAATAACTTTAGTAACCATTTAAAAATACGTTCTAAATTTAACACACCTTTCACTTTTACACTGGTCTAATGCAATTTGACACAATTTATCAACGAGAAATTCAATTTGCACTTTAGGAAATTTGGCACATTTTTATGGTTGTGCTAATTTGATAAGAGCTCCGATTCTGCTCAGGTAAAATATTTGCTCAGAATCGGGAATTGCGACTGGGTCACGTGTTAAACGTACAGGCTGAGGAATCTGAGAAATAATTGCTTCATTTACAACTTGTCACCGAACACAACAATTATATTTACATGTGAATGTGTCGGCTTCAACGTACATATTAATGATGCAGAAAAAAAAAGTAAATAAAATAATAATAATAGGTTGGGGGGTTGGAACCGTGTCTAATTGAATTGACAGCGTCTGTCGTCCAATCATGTGGGCGTGTGCCCCATCTATTAAAAGTTGAGTTGGGAGGAAACTCTGTCCCGTATACATAATTATGTCTGGCAGAGGCGACACCTTTTCGACTTGCAATCTTTTTCATGATTTTGAATTAGTATGTAAAGTCAGTCAGTCAGTCAGTCAGTCAGACAACACGCGCTCAACCCATAACAAAGAATAAGCAAGAAACATGTGACAAACGATACAGATATAAATAAATTAAGCCAGGCTTTTACTTTCATTCAACCAAAATTCTATCTCGAATTCAGTTCGTTGCTATAATATTTTATGGTTACCGGGACACGCGTAACTCTGCCAAGCACTCAGTTAATATGCCAGCTGCGTAGCGGGCTCAAAAGCTTCACTTTAGCGAGTTCCATTTTGCAATTATTGCGTAGTGTTGCCGTCGCTGTCGACGTCGACGTCGACGTCTACGCATGAGTAATGCCAATTGGATTAGGCTGAATAGTTTATGGCGGGCGTTTGCATTGCCATAATGCATACACTACATGTATATATATATATATCCATAACCATGTATGTTATGGTCAGCGAGTGTTGCCTCACTTTTATTATAATTATACATGCTATTGAACGAGTGAAAACTCAACCTGTTAATAGTCTATTATCTTAATTATATTTTCTTCTGTGCAAAAAAAACCTTTGTAAACATATTATTTATAAAATAACTCGGGCAATTGGTTAAAAGGGAAGTATGTAATAGTTTCAAAAATAAGCAATTAGAAAAGGAAATTCATATAAGCTGGAACTACAAGATTTTCTTAAGCGATCTCTCACGATCTGAAATGAATCGAAAGTTCTATTATATTATATTTGACTTTAATATATGGAGTCAGAAAATGTTTGTTTGTTATATACGTAAGAGGAATTTAGTTTGTACATTTTTTTTATTATGGCATATCAAAAATATCAAAAGAAATAACGATGATGTGTTTTACACGATTAAGTAATTAACATTATTGTGTGCGCAACATCATTTTTTAGATATGTTGAATGGGTATATAAGATCCGAGCACTCTCGATAAGAGTAAACTATCATCTTGTGCTTATCAAAATTGCTCTTATCTTGATAATCCCACCTATTTTCTGTTGCAATCATTTCATCAACAAATCACACCGAGCAGCGGACTTGAGATCTGGTCCATCATATATAGATCAGATTTCTTCACTTCGTGTTGTTATCCACATCATAACAATTCAAATTTACAAAACAACATAAATAAGTCCGTGTATATATGTATCGCAATGTGTCTGTGCTACCCGACAGATAAAAGTACGTCAAGATTTTGATTAAATTTATGACAATGTTAACGCCTGACTACTAAAGACGACTAAAGACGACAAAAAAGACGACTAAAGACGACAACTGCGACAATAAAATGTTGTACACACATAAAGATTGCCAAGTATCGCGATTATAATGGAATTAAACATACATACATGAATTTAGCATTTCTTTCTTGATAAGACCAAGTCTAGTATTTGGCCAGAACAAGTGTTAACATTTGGTTAACTTTCACAATGCTTTTTGAATAGAGGAAACCCGTTGAGATATCATTCCGATTGTTGTTGGGCAACAAAGCAAATGGCCACTAATCTTGATAAATATATATAACAAAATGTTACTAATTTTTTGATTGTTATGTGTTATCGGCAAAGTTAAAGGTGTCAGTAACGGATCGTCTGTTTACAGTTAATTAATTTTAAAGGTTTTTTTTTTTTGCAAGGCTTGTTTTGAATTTACCTCAAAGCTGATTTTGTTACCGGTGCCATATTTCTGAAATATTTGCGTCACATAACGATTATATTCCGTCGATGAGTCTACGTTGGTCCACCAAACTGAGCCAAATAGCAAGCAGATAGCAATCTGTTTCAGTGCCATTGCAAATAATTATCCAAATGAACACTAAATATTTGTTTATTTATTTTTTTTTTTTTGGTTTTTGTCAATTTTCACTGAATCAACTACAGATTAAAACTCATTTCAATTTAAACGACTCGTCGAGCTGATCAACTGTTTGTGATCCCGTTTAGCGGCCGATTGAACGACCGTTTCGCTCACGCACAGCTTTTGTACTGATCCCATTCAGCAGCAGCAGCTGGCTATCTTCTCGCTCGTCTTTGCGTGCACTCGTTGGTAATTTAACTATTGTCTGTGAGCAGTTAAAGCTTTCGAAAGCTTTTGCACTCGTCTTTCTTTTTTCGCTTGTTTACAGTTGGGTTTGAGTGCAGATAACAGCAGCGATTTGTTTTTTTTTTCAAATATTTATTTTATTTAAATTTTATTCAAAATAATTCGCTTCACACAAGTATAAAATCCATTTTAAGCAGATAACAGCAGCTATTTGCTTTTTTTTAAATATTTATTTTATTTAAATTTTATAAAAAATAATTCGTTTCACACAAGTATAAAATTGGTTTCGGTTTAGGCTTATTTGTACTTAATGATTGTATATTAATAACTGAAAATTGTAATGCATCATTGTGGTGTAATTATGTAAATAAATATATATAAATATATATATATAACTTTTTTTTGGATATTGTGCTTAAATGCTGAGGAACTGATATATAAATATTCACATTATTATATATATTATTTGTACGTACTAATGCTATTTAGTAATTTAGTAATTTGCATCCTGCTGAATCAATAATAAAGACGAATACATCTGCAAAGACTTCATTCGAGATATGCAAATATTTACACTAAAATTCGTGCGATTTGTGCTTTTCAAGTATTCAGTTATTCAGGGGCAGTATTAATCTAATTACTTAGCATGCGAATTACATATCAAATTAATTGAGGCTTATGGCTACAAATAATTAGAAATTATTAATTTCTACCAGAAGGCACATGAAGCTTAATTGAATTTCTCCTGATTTGGCATACAAATGAAGAATTTGGAGCACCACATATTAATCGCCTGGGAGGTGTCCGCCATCCATTGAACCGGATTGTGTATTGTCAGATAGTATATCGGAATGCCGGAGAGTATAATGATGGTGCCCACGCCCACCTCGCCGGGTGACTGTGAACACGAGGCAATCACCAGGAACATGCACACAATCAGATAGATGATCGGCAGTGCCAGACTGACCCTTATCGGTCTTTCCGTCTTCGGCTGTTTGTAGCGTAACCAGAGTAGACCCGACACAGAGATTAGAGTGAAGAGCGCCTCCACATAGCTGACATAGTTGATGAGCACATAAATATCCTTGATGAACAGCATCATCAACGTAATCACACACTGTGAATTGAGTTGGAGATTGAGTTCAAATGTTGATAGTAAATAAAATCAATTCCTTACCAGAAATATCAGTGATGGCACCGGCGTCAAGCAGTTGATGTTTATCAGTGAAATCGCAGCTGGCAAATGTCCGTTGCGGGCACCGACAAAAAACAGTCGAGATGATGCAAAGATAGCGCCATTGAGGGAGCCAAATGTGGAGCAGGCGACGGCAAAAGGCATTATCCAGGACAAAAAGCCGAGCATCTTGTCCCCAAAGGTGACAGCGACGGCATCCGACGAGAGTATTTCATCCGTTGACAGCACCGAAAAGTATGCTATATTCGTCACCATATAAATTACGGTTACCACGGGCATCGATATGCAAATGGCACGTGGCAAATTACGATACGGGTCTTTCAGCTCCTCGGTGACGAAATTCAAATAGTTCCAACCGGAGTAGGAAAAGATGCCGCTGTAGAAGGCCAATGCTATGAATCCGGGCTCGGTGTGACCACCAATGAACGGCTGCTGCCAATGCTCCGTGTTGCCGTGTGCCAAATACCAAACACCAGCGCCAACAATAACCATCAAGGCGACCACCTTGGTTCCCGTGAATATGTCTGTCACCCGAGTCACCCATTTCACATTATAGCAATTGATGACGGTCAAAACACCTGGAAGAGTGCACAAGGTAATTAACTGAAGTCTCTCTCTCTCTCTCTCTCTCTCTCTGTCTTCTGTTTCATAACTTACATATCATGGCTGCAGCGAGGAGCTGCACGGCCTCGATGGGTGCATCACACGAAGGCCAAAAGGGTTTTAGTAGATACTGTGCAAATGTTAAAGACGTGATAGCATTACCCGTGGGCACAAGGATCAGCAGCGCCACCCACAGATAGAGAAAGGCGGGCAGAGGTCCAAATGCAGCACCTATATAGGCATAATCTCCGCCAGATTTGGGTATCATGGTGCCTGGAAAATAATAATAATTATAATAATATATAAAATATAATAATAAAGAGAAACTAATTAAAGTATACTATAATATATAAATTTAAATTGTAGGTTTAAGATATATGTATATATAATTTGTGTTAATCGCTTCTATATGTATATATGTTGGTTGACTTATGTTTTGATTTGGCTTTCTTATCTGCTGTGTGTAAATGTTGCTTCTCTTGATTATTTGCTGCTTGTCTTATCTAATTCTACTGGCAGATCTTGTCTATACTAACGGTCATTGCACTGTCCAGTGGTACTGTAATATTACACCTGATCCCATTGGTTGCCTTAGAATTAACCGCTATCTCTGAAGTGCTGAGGATTATTTATTTACAAACGTTTTAATCAAATTGTCTCTATTATTTTTATTTGATCAAAGAAACCGTTTGTCTTCTATACAAGTGAGCTCGACTATCAGATACCCTGTGGGTCCATTTTAGCATATATATTATATATACGATTAAATACAAATCAGAGACAAATTCGCTTTTAATCTTGAGCAAGAAATATTATATTATTATTAGTAAAGGTCATCCACCTGACTAGCACAACATTGTTTCACGCATTTTTCAATAGTCAGCACAAATCTGTCTAGACAAAAAAAAACAGGTTTTCAACTAGAAGATGCCCTTCAAATATAGTTAAGAGCATTATTATTACAGCTGCTACGCAGATAGATGGATAAAGTGATCTATTTCTTTTATTATCTTTTTATTTGATTAAATCAAATGTTTATTGTAAGTCAAATGGCCTAACAATGAGACTAAAGTGATCCCATTTAAATATATACAGTTAAAGTTTAAGTGATAGTAAAAAGTATTTATGGCATAGCTCAAAAAGTTGGTCAGCATATTAAAGCAAAAAATAAGCAATAATAATAATAGTGAATTTCGTGTAAGGAATTCGCTTAGTCGGCCAAGAGTTTTAGCTGACATGGCATTCTGTTGAAGGGTTAACGAGGTCATGAACTACTTAATTCACTGTACAGGTGTTACACAATGTTGTCATCAGCTACAACTGAGAACCGTTGTCATCACTAGCAGTAATTGGAAAATTACTTACCCAATTCGGCGTAACAGAGAGCACCCACCATGCTCAGTACTCCGCACAGAACCCAAACGATCAACGATTGCCCCACCGAGCCGGAGAACTTAAGCACACCTTTGGGACTGACGAATATGCCGGCGCCAACAATGACACCCACAATGATGGCGACACCATCGAGCAGTCCGATTTGTTTCTTGAGTTTCACGCCCGATCCCTGACTGGATGTATCTGTGGAGGAGTTGTTGCGGGCACGTGCCTTGCCATCGTCACCCGATTCTGCCGCAACCTCGAACATCTGGCGTGGTACCAGCGAATCGCTGGCTTGAATTCGTGTCATCTTTTCTTCTGTGCTGCTGCGGTTTATTACAATTTATTAATCCTTTGGTTGCGCTTGCTTTATTTATTATATATATGTATGTATAATTTTTGTAACAGATTATATTTGTGGTATATGCATTTGTTTGTTTTTAATTTGTTTTTATCGTTTTTATATATTTTGCAATGCGGTTTATTTTATCAGTCCGCGCTCTGATCGCTATGCGCTCTCTGCCAGCGTGGAGCTTACTCAAAAAATTGTCAAGCGGAATTTGTTGTTTTAGTTTGCGGTCGGCCACATGCTTTCATTTGTTGTATATATTTTTTGTATTTTACGTTGTTGCTTATTGTACACGTTCATACTCCATGCGTGCATATGTGCATGTGTGCATATGTGTGGTGTGCATGTGTGTGTGTATTTGTTCACTTCATATCCAAACACTCACAGAGAGAGAAAAGCACACGTGGTTCGTCCGTACGTCTGTCTGTCTGTGTGTTTGTCTGTCGGTTATTCGCTTCTATGATGTGTTGTTGTATGGCAAAGAGTTCGCCGGTTTTCGCCGCACACCATTTTCTGTTTTATATCTTTTTTGGTGTGTTAAACTTGAACGATTTCCGTTTTGGTGTGATGTGTCCCTCCTTCGCCTGCTTCTCGTTGTTGTTGTTGTTGTTGTAGTCTGCAATTGAAACGCACTCACACTTTTCACTCGCACCGCCGGCTAAGCCGATCGACCACACTTTACACGCGCCGATTCCAAACTAAGTTTGAATTATAAGTGTGCACTCCCTTTTATGCGATGCGGCTGCTTTTGCTGCCTGAACATTTAACTTTGGCTTTGCATTTGCTGTTTTTTTTTACCCTCTTTCTCTCTCCGTCTCTCTCTGAGTTCGCTCTTTCTCTTTAGTGTGCTACGCATTCGCTCTTTGTGGGGGCTTCGAAGGGCATGCAATAAAATCATGTATAGACTTGCGTCGATTTACCTGCCAGCCTGGCAGGTAAGTGCTTGTTAGACCTACCTAGATAACAATGCTTCGCATGCGTGTCTCTCTCATTTTCTTTTAACAAAAAAAAAGCGGTCAGCTGTAAGTTGGTTTTATATACAAATTTTTGTTTGTTGGTTAGCTTCGCATGATGCAAGAATCGGCTAAAATTGCTGCAGCATTTATTTTCAGCGGCAAACCAACTGCTTTCTATCTGCCGCTGTTTGAAGCATGAATGTATACATAAACACAGCCAAATACAGTAAGTATACATAAATACATTCAGTTTGTGTGTTCAACAACACCAACAACAGAGGAAGCTATGCATGTACATTTTTCTGCTATTATTGTTTGATTTTTGGCTTAAGAGATTTTATATTTTTGGCTAAGCTCTGCCAATGTTGACAATTTCTGTTTCTATTGTGTTTGAATGTAAGAAAAGATTAAGTCTTACTTATGTGACCAGTAGTGTACAACTATCCATATATGTATTTATAAATATATATTGTAAATAAATGCGACTGAATTTGATGGACAATACAACTTATTTATTTTAACAACGTTAGCATTGCATTCCAGGCCAATTGCTCAGTTTCCAAGCCATTTCCATAAAAGGTCGTTTTAATAAATTTATAAGTTGCTCATCTGTCTAAATGAATAAGTCGAGAATTATAATTGCTTGAGAATAATATACAGGGTGTATTCTAACTAACTACTCACGATTAAACTGATCTGATTTTCACGTCAATTCGAGCGTTTAATGAGTTAACAAAGTGTCAAGTAGGCTTTATGACACGGTTATAATAAATATTTAACTTAATAATTAACTTTGAATGGTGTTTAAATGCTTAACAACGATTCAGTAGCTTTTGTGCCACAGTTGAGTCTATGATTATTAAGTGTAAAACGCATTCATTTTATGTATATATATATATATATATATGGGGTTATGATGAACCCTGGGCGCGTGTATTTGACATTTCAAACTGTGATAATTCAATTTTGCGTTAATCGTAATCGCAATGAACTTTTAGTGGCGACTGTGATGCGTTATACACAAACACACGCACAGATATATATATATATATATATATATATACATATATATTTAATATTTAGAGAGAAAAGCCCATAACAAAATCGCCACCGTTGTGATGATCGCTGGGCGCGTGTATTTGACATTTCAAACTGTGATAATTGAATTTTGCGTTGATCGTAATCGCAATGAACTTTTAGTGCCGACTGTGATGCGTTAAACACACACACACAAAGATATACACATGTATGTATAAGAGTACAAAAACAAGCACATAAACTGTACTGCACAATTGCCGTAGCGCCTGCGTTTTTATAGTGTGGCCTGTGATTTTGTGATTGTCATCAACTAGAATGTTTTGGATGGACTGATGCTGACTGGTAATCCAATTGTAAGAGTCGCCAATGGGATATGTATGTATGAATGGTACATACAAATACATATTTACATACATACACTGTGGATTGTGTTGTGTTGTGTTTGTCGTTGATTAACTGTGCTTTTGACTTTTATTGTTTGTTATTTGTGTTTTTGGTTTTTAGTTTTTGCGCCCTAGTCATACCCAAAATATGATGGATCACTTCCATATGCAATTTCCATTAATATTTCTGTGTCGGTTCCTTAATGCCACTATGAATGTGCATACTGTAGACGTAGACATCAACATTTACACACATACATGTATCTATTTAACTATATTGCCGCAACCTTTTTTCGTGGCAAAGTCCTTTCTTTATTATTTGTTTAGATTGTTACCCTAAACCGATGATTAAAGTCACGCTTATGTATTACATACATACATACGTATGTTTGTACATTAAATTATAGATTGTCAGATTCGTTTAGTACCGTTAGACGAGCGTGTAGCGCACGGTTAGAAACCACGAATGGAACTAAAAGTGATTTTTGTCTACTGCAGTCTATGCACAGGGAGAATAAAATACAAAAAAAGCTTTAATAAAAATAATGAGAATAAAAATAAAACAACAACATCATATTCAACAAAATGTCAGGCAATTGTATAACAATGTGTGGGTAGATTTAAGTGTGTTGTGCTGTGCTTATGATGTGTGCGGCAGGAACTGTATTTCCATCTATTTATATGTGCAACAGACACAATACAGACACCCACACATACACATCATGTACATGCACTCTAAAGCGTGCTACATGCAAAAATCTAAGGCAATTCTTGAGTGAAACATTATGTGGTTTTAGTCGCCTCTCTCTTTTTATCTCTCTGCACTTCTGCACGCATGTCCAGTGAAAGCAGCGAGGGAAATTTTACTCAAACAGTGCAGCTTGCAGTTTAATAAATTTTCTCTCTTTTTGTCTCTTTGTCGGAGATCTCAACAACTCTAAAAAAACAACGATTGCCCGCGTATTTTTAAATATATATTTAATACATATTCTTTTACAATATCCTATTCAAAAATTAATTCTATCTATTCACCCAGTGGGGGAATTTTAAATATTTTCGCCGTGGTATCCTCCGACACGGCCAACAATAAATTCTCCTGAGGCTTATATGAATACTCATATATGTGGTACAAGTGTCCAGTGAGTGTGAATTTTAAAGCACCGGTTCGTGCATCGAATGCATTCAGATTTCCCTGAGCGGTCGCCGCCAGCAAAGTGCAATCGTTCAACCACTTGAGACTGCAAACAAATTGGAGGCAATTAACAACTGAAAAATATTCATTATCGTATTGGGGCATTTACCAAAGGACGCCATCATTTGGCACGGGGCTTTCGCAGACAGTGCGCAGCGCATACTTGGAATAGTCCCATATCGATATCTGTCCGTCCAGCGAGCCACAAGCCAACAATTTGAGCTCAGCTGTGGCAGGCGCAAAGGCAACGCATTCGATGCCATGCTCGGATTGGACAACATTCACGGGTCCATTGTTCGTGCAGAAAAGCAGTTTGCCTGGCAATTATATAAATCTTGATTATTTCCACTCAATTTATTCGTTGGGATGCACTTACCGCCACCTTCGGCGCAGACGTAGAAGGGCGAATCTGGCTCGCAGGCGACGACAACATGCGTGACTTCATCAAAGCTCAACGGATGCTGCTCGTTCACCTCCATTAGCACTTGGCATGTCTTTAGATCCCACAACTTCACCACCCCGTTCATGTAGGCGGTGAGCAGTTTCTTGCCATCGCTGCTCAGCTCCCCAGCTTCACAGCGTGCCGAATGACCTGGTAATATTTTGCATTCGCCGCTGGGAATGCGCCAGACGTATACCTCGCCACTGTCGCCGCCAGCGAGAAGAACGTTGGCGCCCCGATGCCAGAACAGCCAGGCCATATCGAACATAGAGTATTCCCAGACCTTTCGGAAAAGGGGTCGCTCACTCTGCTGTTCGTTTACCTTGAAGACGAACAGTTCGCCAGATATATCGGCGGTGACCAAATAGTTGCCATCATGGCTGAAGTGTGTTTCAGTTACGGTATCCTTGTGTTCGGTTATTTCGAAGAGCACCTCGCCATTCTCCGTGTCCCACACGTAGGCAGCATCATCCTCACCGCCGGTCACCGCCCAGTTTAACTTTGGATGCAGATGAGCGCCAAAGACTGGCCCTGTGTGCTTGCGAAATGTGAGCACTGCATCATCTCGAATGGCCGCAATGCGTTCGCGATTCTCCTCCTCCTCGCCGTCGTCATCGTCCATGACATTCTCCGGATTGTTGTGCAGTCCCAGGCGTGCTTCGAGCTGCTCCAAAGTTACTTCCTCCATTTCCAGCTCATCGTTGTCATCATCATCATCGTCAAGCGGCGCTTCGCCATCCAGATCGATTTCCTCGAGGGATTCGTCGTCGGCATAGTCGAAGTCCGGTCGATGCGGAGGTGTATTTTGTCGCATAATGTGTTGATTTCTTTTACTTTTCGTTTATATGCGTTTTACTTTTAATATGTTTTCACAATGCATGAGGCACGAATCAGCATGCACAGACACGCACGTGTCGGCTCGAACAGCTGTTTCTGTTAGCGCTGTCAACTTGTTTCAAATGTAAAACGGCAAAGCTCCTTTGATACTAAGCGCTTGATTTGAAATGAACTTCACGATTAAACCAAATAAAATAATATATTATAACAATATAATTAAAAGAGATTTTGTAAAATGAATAAATAGATATTGTGGCATCAAACTTATAAAAAGATATTATTTTATTTAAATGTTGTGTTTTAACTTGTTAGAAGCGAAATTTAATTAATGTTTTGTGCAAAATTGCATTTCTTAGCTGCTGCAACAGTTCAAGTTTGAACCGCGCTTCCAACATTGAACGCAGTAATTTTGTGGAGGTCAAACCTTAATCAAAAAGACCTGTCGCTGAAGATTGAGTCATTGTAACAAAGTGAAGTAGAAAGTTCTGAATTGTCCCAAAGACCATTTTTTGAGTGTTGAATTTTAACATGAATTCCGAGTTCGAATAGCGTTTCAAACTTTGAATGCAGTTCTCATATCATAAGACCAAAATATGATCAAAATGCCCTTGCGCTTGAAAATGCGATGAGTTTTGACGAAGTTATGGCATTTTGAAGTCATGACCTAACTGATATGTATAACAATCTAGCTACATATTTATATTTCCAAGCGGAATTATCCTTATAAATTTTAGCTCCACACTTTTTCATGTGCTTCGAGTAGGTTCTGGCAAGTTACTACAGAGGATAACAAATTTTATAATATTCGAATCGAATTGATTTTAAATTATTTATTGTTGCACTTGACCTTATATAAGTAGGTGAGCTATTTCTTTCCAAACTTGGCTTATCATTTCAAGATTCTCCTCATTGGTATATCTTTAATTAACTTTAATTTCCAGCTCATTATTAAATAATTTCAAATACTTTTACCATTTGGGTTTAACCACCCTGTAATTTGATTAATATTTTGGTATTTTATAGTAATTAAAATATCGATAAGTTTTCTTAATCGATAACATTCCGTAGATGTTGCCGGTGTCTGTGTACAAAAATAAACAAAAGCAAACTTAAAAAAAGGGCAATTCGCTAATGGAAGTCTGAGAATGCAGGGGTCCTGGAAACTGGTGCTGCCCGTTGGGTTTGTGCTGTACTCGCTGCCGCTGTTCCTGCGTGTCAACGGCACTGCCGACTACATCATCGACGAGGAATTTCACATACCGCAGGGCATGGCCTTCTGTCGCAAGCAATTTGATGTGGTATGTGGCAGACACTAACAGTTGCTAGTGCGAATGTTTGCCATGGCAATTGGCATGTTACTCAAATTTGCATTCGCATTTGCTTTCAATTACAGTGGGATAATAAAATCACGACCTTTCCCGGCTTGTATTTGCTTGCGCTCGTGCTGCATCCGTTTAACGGTTGTTCGGTAACGGGTCTGCGACTGCTCAGCCTGGCCGGGGCGGGCATTAACATACTGCTGATGTACAAGATACGTCGTCGCACACTGGCCGGCACCGGTGGTAATGCGTATGCCGCACATGAGGCAATAACGCTATCCGTCTTGCCACCACTATATTTCTTTAGTCATCTGTACTATACGGACACATTGTCACTAACCATGGTGTTGTTGTTCTATAATTATTGGCAACAGGAGGCACATCTGCCGGCTGCTGTTTGGGGTGCGGCCAGTGTGCTGATGCGCCAGACGAACATCGTTTGGGTGTGTATGTGCTGTGGCATTACCATTCTGGACACACTGGTGCAGCAGTGCACCAAAACGCGACCAGAGAGCAAGCAGCAGATACGACTCTTTGGCAGCGAGGTGCGTAAGAAGTGGACGATATATGGATATTATAATGTGTATAAATATATTATTTCGCTTATAGCTTTGGCTGCAGCTGCTCGGCAGTCCGCAACTGGTATGCAATTGTATTTTAAGGATTTTGGCAAAATGCTGCTTCTATGCGTCCATCATACTGCCCTTCATTGGATTCATCTGCATCAATGGCTCCATTGTCGTTGGCGACAAGAGCGCCCACGAGGCTTCACTGCATTTGCCACAGCTCTTTTATTTTACGATCTTTGCCGCCGGATTTGGCATCTCCAATACGCTACGCCAATTGCGTTTTGCTTTCGGACTGTTGCGGCGAAATCTGTTGCTCACATTGGTGGGCATATTGCTCATAGCCACAGTGGTGCATTTTAACACTGTGGTGCATCCATATTTGCTCGCTGACAATCGTCATTACACCTTCTATGTGTGGAGTCGCCTGTACGGGCGTTTCTGGTGGTTTCGCTATGCCATGTCGCCGATATACCTGCTCGCCCTGGTCCTGCTCTGCTGTGGACTTCGGCATATGCCGGATAGCTTTAAGCTAATGTTTCCGCTTTCTTTGCTGCTGGTCTTGTGTTTCCAGCGTTTGCTGGAGCTGCGCTATTTCCTTGTTCCATATGTGCTCTTCCGTCTGCATACACGTCCGGCACGCAAAGGCTTCGCCGAGTGGCTGGAACTTGGCGTCCATCTACTCCTGAATGTGGTCACGTTCTATGTATACTTCACCAAAGTCTTCTATTGGCAAAACTATCGCAAGCCGCAGCGAATTATTTGGTAAAATCAAATTTTATCATTCATCCACATAAACTGTGAAAACTTGTCATTTAAATATTGCTTTTATTTATTCATTGCATTGCTACTATAAAAGAGAGTGAGAAATTGCTCTACGTTTGACAGTTGATAAAATTGCGAATCGGTTGTATGTATAATGTATAATAGCGTATATATCCTTAATGTTTTGTGTATTCAGATGTTGTGCATGCAATCCCTAAGCACCCGATGAAGTTCGTTAATTGAGTCTTAATGGCTAGTTAAAAAGTTTTCCACATATATAATACTGCCGAGGCATACAGATACAGATACATATATATATATATATTTAGAGATTTAAATAAGTACACATGTTTACTACAAATATCAGTTAAAAACCTTGGACTTGAACACTACTTTGAGCATGCAGAGAAAAATCTATAAAAAATGCATTAATGAATGCTGATAAGTTATATATGTATAAGAGTGTATGTGTGTGAAAAGTATACAAAAAAACTAGGCAAGAAATGTTACTGGTAAATGTAATACTAATGAAAATACGCACAAGTCGAGCATTTTCCCTGGCCGCCAAAATCGAATCTTACAAATAGTTTGGCACACAACATATATATTCAACTGGCCGTATAATCGAATTTCGCCCGATCTCACTAATCGAAGGCCACCTTGCGCGTGAAGGAGGTGAGCGATGATATTTCGCTGGGATTGGAATCTGAGGGCAGATTACTGAACTCAATTTCCTCGCTGGCGGCGGAGGCGACAATATTCTCATTGGACTGCGTCGTCTCATCGCTGTGACGCATTGTCGGCCATTGCTTATGACTGGGCGCATATAGGATGATCAGGGCAAAGATATAGATGTTCCACATGCCATAGACGCCAGTGAGAAAGGCCGATGTCAGCTGAATTTCAATATTCTCATTCCATTTCCAATGTCCTTCGGCCATTTGGCCCATGATGAAGCCAGCGACGGTCAGGCCAGCACACAGCAGAGTGGCCAGCATAAGGAATTTGAAGCGATAGATGAGTCCTACAAATATATGCAATAAAATGAATTTAATATATAAATAAAATATATAATTAGAGGATGATATGCAGTCTTTATATTATTATTATTTTCCAATTAATTCGATGATTGCACACGTCTTCATTTGGTAAACAAAAAGATGGCCACAATTAGGCCATATAGGCCGAGTACTTCGGCAAAGATCAGTATCAGAATAATGCCAACGAAGAGCTTTGGCTGCAGTGCAGCGGCCCGCATACCAGCATCGCCCACAATTCCAATTGCGAAGCCGGACGCCATGCCCGAAAGACCAACGGCTAAGCCCGCGCCCAGATTGAGAAAGGCCCGATAGCTGGTGTAGTGATTTGTCAAGGAGCCGCCCAGCAGGACAGCAACAACGAGGCCATAGATGGCAATAATGCCAGCCATAACGACCGGTATGATGGCCTTCATAATCAGCTCTGGATGCTTCACCGACATGGCTGCAATACCCAACGCAGACTTGGCGGTTCCATATGCAGCGCCCAACACCGTAAACACAATGGCCGTTGTGGCGCCCATCACACAGAAAAAGCAAGCATATTGCGGCTGATCCAATGAGGCCTCAGCCTCAGAAACTGACATTCTGTTGGACAACTTATCGAAATACACAGAAATATAACACAGATATCTAATTGGATTGGACACTGCTCGTCTACTAGTTTATACAAAACTGGATCAGCTAAGGAAACTAATTAATAGGAACTTACCCTCGTAGTGCAGACGTCGTGCCTGTGACATAGATGGCAAAGAGGTGCGCTTATCGCCAATGTCCTTGAACACCTTCCACACCATGAAGCACAGGAAGAGGAAATAAATGGCAGCCGAGACGCCAGCGAGTACAATGAAACTCATCGCCACTTTGGCGCCCAGCGGCGTTGTCCAAATCGAGTAGAAGGGATTGCGCATCTGCACCCCACGCTCACAAATGTCGAACACAAAGAGCGAAATGCAACCGACGACAACAGCCGAGAGATGCTTCCAGTAGCGTGAGCGTATGGTTGACTTGCTGGGCGAGTCCTGGATTAGCATATGCTCGCCGGCAAACACGAGCCAAAAGGAGAGCAGCATCGCATAGAAGATGCCTTGACGCACATCGCTCAGCAGCAGCATGTAGGGCATCTCGACGCCCAGCGTTAGAAGCTCCAACGGTAAATTGAGGAAGCTCAATGCGCCCCCCAAATAGAACAGCATGTACTCCAGCAGTGCCGGCGAACGTTGGAGTATGTGAACGCGACGCCAGAACCACATCATGATGCCGATTACAAATGGGAAGAGCAGAGTCTTCAGCACCAGCCAAACCTGAGTGAAGCCACCGTTCTGATGTATAGCGGTCAATGTGAGATCGTGCATGTGACCAAACTGGAGATTCATCTGTTTGGGCGTGTCCATGGGAAAGCGCAAATTGAGCAGATAAAAATTGTGATGCAGTGCGCCCAGCTCGAACAATGGGATTATGTCGCAAGTGTACAACGTCTCCAGGCGGCCAACGTGCGAGGCATGGCAATCCAGATAGCGCTGCTCCACGCTGTGCGCATACAGCTTCCAGTCCGTATCGGCATCTTTCTGGTTGCGATACGCGAGCCGCGTATCGATTGTTAGCTGCAGCTCCTTGGGTGGCTCTCGCAACTCGGAGGCCGAGTCGTATGCAATATCCACCTGGAGTACACCAATTAGATTCTGTTGCCATCGCGAATATTGCAGCGTATTATTGTCACGGGGCAGCGGCATTTGGAAGACATACACCAATTGATTGGCCATCTTCAGTTCGTCCTGCTCAATGTCAATGTCTTGCAGAGATTTGCATGCCCCGTTGCCGCGCGAATACAGAAAGAAACTGGTGTCATTTTGACGGCCGGGCACATCGCGACACTTGCTGCCCAACACAGTCTGATGTCCAGCGGGCACCGGTGCAAAGAGGCCACCCATCAGGAAGCATACCACTTGACATAGCATCAGGCTGCTGACCAATATGGACAGCTTGCGACCGCTTAAATTCTCAAGTATCGTGCCGGACATTTCGTCTGTGTGGCGTCACTGTGGCAATCACTGTGCTCTATGAGACACGCTTCCTCTTTATCTGTCGGTTAAGGTAAACAAAATTTTGTATTTGTTTTAGCCGTTGCACGCTATAAAAAGAACTTGAATCTGTCGGCTGTCGTCTTTCGTCTGTCGGCGAAACAAACAAAGCGGCGTTCGTATACAGAATGCTAGGGCTGTCGCCCAATGCATAGTTTGCTGTGCCAACAGCTGTTGCTGCTGTATGTCCATCAACCATATGCAAATAATTTGTTATCAAACTAGTTTAGTGTTTAAATTTAATAGTTTACTGTCCCATTCATATTAGTTTGCATATTCATTAAAATAGTTTGTATTTATGTGTAAGTTGACAGCCCTGGCCAGTTGTACATAATTCCGATAGTTTGTCGTATATCGATGACATAAGCTGCCGGATGGTTGAGAAGTAAATTGGTTTTGTGGTTGCCTCAGTTTTCACATGTGGTACAAATGTACCAAAACTGTTATGCTATTTATTCAATGGTACATTATAACACTGCTGCTGTCTTACTTAGTAGCTACTTGATTTGGCTTAATTTTTTAAATAAGCATGTAGCCTAAAAAAACAATTAATTTATATTTGGAGCTAGTGTTAAATATGAAATTTAAGGAAATACTATAATTATAAATGTTTGAGACTATGAAGTCCAATTCATTAATGATCAGTCACTGCCCAGTCACTGCTCATATCTGGTGGACAACTGTTTCTATTGCAAACAGCTGTTTTCCAATGCATTGATAACAATTTAGCTCGAAAATGCAGCGAACACCTGTAAGTGCGTATTCCATTTAATTCAAATAAAAAAAAACATTAAATTAATACTATATACATAAGCAGCAACTGCGGCAGTTAATGGGATTTGCCAACCGGCAACTATCGAGGAGCTGGGAGTTTCACAGCAGACACTTCGCGCAGCAGCAGCAGACTTTGCAGCAAAGCAGATGGAGAAAAGCGCCCATTTTGAGGATGGGTTTTCTGCTGGCCGGAGCTGGTGTCATCGCCTACGATGGAGTGGTCAACGAGTTCACCTACTGCGGCTCCTCGGTCCGATTTGTGCGCTCGCTGAAAACGGCCGCACTGATTGCCATCGACTATCTGGGACTGAACGAGCTGGATCCGGAGTATGAGAGGAAGATAAAAGCGTTGCACAAAAGTAGCGCTGAACGTTTGCTGGATACGTGCCTGCTTAATGGTGGCCTGTACATTAAGGTGGGTCAGGGATTCGCGGCCGTCAACCATATATTGCCCATTGAGTACACGAGCACATTGGCCAAGCTGCAGGATGAATGTTTACCGACGTCAAAGGCCGATGTACAGAAAGTGTTTCGATCCGATTTTGGCCAGTTACCCGAGGAAATCTACAAGGAGTTCGATTATAAGCCGGTGGCAGCTGCCAGCCTGGCGCAGGTCTTCAAGGCGCGGCTGCCGAGTGGGGAGCAGGTGGCCGTTAAAGTGCAGTACAACGATTTGCAGAAACGTTTTATTAGCGACATGGCCACCATTATCTTTCTGCAGGACATCATTGAGCTCATCTTTAAGGACTACAATTTCGGCTGGATCTTAAACGATCTGCGCAAGAATCTGGTACATGAGCTCGACTTCTGGCATGAGGGCCAAAATGCTGAACGCTGCGCCAAGGATCTGCAAAAGCTGAACTATGTACTTGTGCCGAAGATCTATTGGCCCCATACCAAGACGGTGAGTCCTCCACTTTTACTCCATTTGCAATGCTTTAATCCTATTCTAAATTGGTCAGCGAGTGCTGACCATGGAATGGATGGATGGTCTGAAGATCAGCAATGTGGAGGGCATTAAGCGGCAGAAACTGAGCATAGCTGACATTGACCTGAAGCTATACAATATGTTTGCCGAACAGATCTTTAAGACTGGATTTGTGCATGCGGATCCGCATCCCGGCAACAGTGAGTAACCATAGCAAAACATTAAGAAAACACTTAAAATTCTGTTTTTAGTATTCGTGCGTAAGAATGCTAGAAATGGCAAGGCGGACATCATATTATTGGATCATGGACTGTACGAGGAGTTGCCGGCGAACGTGCGTATTCCACTCTGTGATTTTTGGGTGGCCACCGTGATGCGCGATGAGGCAAAGATGAAGGTTGCCGCCCAACAAATGAACGTTGTTGACCATTTGAAATTTGGCGACGTGCTCTTCCAGCAGCCGGTACAAATGCACGAAGGACCCATTCGTAGCAAGCTGACACAAGAGGACATTGACTATGTGCAGAAGGTGGCCAGGGAAAACTTTGATATCATAATGAGCACCCTAAAGGAAATGCCGCGCAGCTTGCTATTTGTCGTGTAAGCGAACCTCGCCTATATATATATATATATATATATATATATTATATATATCTATTTATCTTACAGTCGCAATCTGAATACTGTCCGCGCCATTGGCAACATGCACGGCGATGTGGTCGACAGGCCGTGCGCGATGGCTCGCCATGCTCAGCATTGTCTTTACGTGCAGCGTGGTGGATCGCCGTTGGAATATTTAAAATGGTTACAGCGACGCTTCTACTTTGAGTACTGCCTGTGGTCGAAGGCATTCAGAGAGCGCCTGCTTAACTGGTATTTAAATTTTCTGTATATTGTGGGACGTGCACCGCCATCGGCCAGGACACTTATGCGAGACATTAGGAAACAGGATCAGCAAATGTTGACATAATAATAAGATGCATGCAAAACAGTTTTATATTTTTCTAAATCGATTGTTAATAGGTCAATAACTAATTTTACTGTCAGCCGACAATATCTATTCCAATTTATTAGCGTAATAAATGCCATTTGAAGCTTCCAATGTAATGGATATATATTTATATATGACAATTGGGACGGTGAATGGGAGTATCTAAAGTCGATGTATTTTAATTAAATTGCAGCACATTTCTGCCAAGGTCGGTGCAGTCAAACAGTTATTGGTAACCAACATTCACTGCCACTTAGGAACAAATCGATATGTTTTTTAGATTAGCCAAATGTGCAAATGGGCATCCTCACCATTTGTATACCCTGTGATCGGCGACTTCCCAATGGAAAAGGCGTTTATATATATAGCGTTTTTGTTGTTGTTATGTTTAACGATTCATAATTTTCCGGTGTTAGTTTTCACTTGGAGCAAACGGTGTCCAAATTTATAGCTAGTTAAGTCCCATTCGATGCGAAACACGTAGTATTCGCATCTAGTGAGTAACACACATATTTCTGCACCGAAATAGGCACAAATGGGCGTCAACAACTACATATTTCCGGTTGTGTGGGGCGCCATGGCAGGCTTCAACATGCCAAAATAAATCTTGGCGCCCAACATATGCACGATTTGATCCACCGATGAGCACCGCCAACTTTCACTTATTCTACCAAACCTATGTATGTATTTAGTATGTAAGTATGTACATATTTTTGTATGTACATCAAGTGTATCAGGTATCGTGTGGTGTACACAGAACTAAATTCAATTCAATTTCATTTAAAGTTACTTTCGTTGACTGACAGACAAGCGAGTCCAAGTCCTCTAAGCCCGAGTCAAGCTGCACAGTGGGCCCAAAACCCATATATTTTTTTATGCGAATTGTATCAAATTTGATTTCATTTCGAGCTACGGATTAGAGTTAAGTAGGCTTTTGTATAACTTTAAAGTTGAGGTATTTTCATACAGAAAGTTGCTAAAAATGCCTATAAATTCGATTATAGTGTGAATTGAATGCAATCCACCACGATCAATTTAAATAAATACTTAAATTATGTATGCTTTTATACAATATCTGTATTACTTTATAATAATATTTTGTAGCCGCGTTCATTTCACATTTTCGACCATTGTTTGTGCCGTGTTGATGTTGGTGTTGTTATTGCTGGGCCCAGGCCTAAATATGAAATTAAAAATCAACGCTGAAGTGTGAAACGCTGGAAATGTCGGCCGTCTGGCGGCAGTCAGGCAAAGGCAATGCGATACCTAGAACCCATAGCGCTAGAGTCTCTATAACCAGCTGGGGCAAACATTTCGTTAGAGCATTTGCAGACAAGTCGCGGAACGAAGCAAAGGTCTCGAGCGGAAATCGAAATTAGCTGAACGGAAAAGCGGAAAAGGACAGTACCCATTTAGCAATGAACAAGGAGTTTACCATGCAGGGCGGCACGCCCATAACCCCTGAACTGGCAACGGTAAATGGCATCCCCGTTCATGCGAATAATCTAATCGAAATTGGACAAGTTTAGGATCTGCGCAAGCTGGTCTTTGGCACCGCTGCGATACCCATGCGTGCCGAGTGGCTGCAGACGTCCTTTGTCTTTGGTGCACCGCCCAAGGAGGAGCTGGCGTATGGATTGCGTTCACCCAGAAATGCGACGCGTGGTCTCCTCTCGGTGGTGCAGGGTTTCATTCTGAAGTACTTGCTGTTTGCCCGGAAAAACAGCCGTTCGACAGCCACAAATGAGTGCGTCACAAATGGGGATCAGTTTCATTGATGAGAGTTAATGTGTCCATTTCAGTCCGTTGCTGGCCACCGCTGAAATGCAGCGAGATGCGCTTTTTAGCGCATTAATCGAGATATTGCGCACCATATCGGATAAGGGCAAGGTAACCATTGTGCTGCCCTCGGAGGAAGAGGTCTTTGTGGATCACAGTGCCAGCTACTTTCACGATACGGTGACCGAAAAGGTAACACAATCGATTGCATAATCCATTTTCTATTGATTTCTTATCGGGCTGAATATTTTCGTTATTAAATATTTTCGGAATTGTTTCTAAGTTTTTAAATTGTACAAAAAATGAAAGTTCTTTCCATTAAATATGAATATCCGTGGATTGAGTTTCACTTGGGATTAGACATCTCTTCCATACTTTCCCTTACAGTTATATACGTTTACACTTTCGCCCAACGATGAACTGGAACACTTTTTGAAGCGCAATTTCAAATATGTAAGAATTGTACAGAATTTACAGAAGTAGCTGCAAGTTGAAACTTGTAAAGATTTCTGTAGCTAGAGCTAATCGTATTTTACATAATATATGTATATTGCTATACCTATTTGTTGCCTAATCCTGTCTAAAAGTTTACAGAAGAGGAAACGCCGGGCACATTGCTGTTCCTTTATAGCGCTGTACTCACACGCTCGATGGGAAAGTAAGATTTCAGCCTAGAATAGAGACAGAGAGTGTGTCTTTCATTCGAATATATTTTCTTTACCTTTGATAACCATTATGATCTACTTTTCCCATCTACTTGCGGCCAATTTAACTGTGCGATGGATCGCAGAGTGCGCACCGATTTGGACTCGACAAAGTCATCGCCGTTGACGATGAGCAATCACGAGGAGGGTTCCCTCATGATAGTCACCTTGCTGTTGACAGGCCGTGCCACGCCCTATATACACAATGGCGTTATCAATGTGGGCGACGAGAATAGCTATGTGCGTGTCGAGCAAATTGTTCAGATTTCGTTTGATCTTAGAACTGCATTCAATTCAATTGCAGGCAGTGGCACAGTACGGAGTACTGAAGCGTTGCATGGTCGGCTTGCTGCTCTGGGACATTGAATCTACCAGCGTGAGTAGAATTCAAACATATATATTTTTTTATATATATTCACATAGAAAATAAGACTTTAATCTTTTTTATATAATATAGGGCAAGTTTTGAAAGTACTCAATACTTAGAAAATATAATATAAAATATATTATAATAATTAATTAAGGAACGGGTGGTCTTAAATTGAGCCTTTAAGCCTCTTTAAAGCATTAATAATATGATATAATATATTAACAAAAATAACTATCAGAACATAAGTAAATTTGTACGCAAAACTTCTTTGGATTTGAAATTCTTGTATTTTGTTTATAGAAATCCATTTTCCACACAAAACATTTTAAGGTAAACTGTAAAATGAGAAATGTTTTACTATATCAAAAGCATAGAAAATGTATTACTTCGATTTGATTATTTTTATTACTATTATTATTTAAGGTGTAATAATATTGGGCTGTTATTCGATCCCACAGGCTGCTGTTAATCAGTCCCGGCAACCTGGATCGCGCCTAAAGACGCCCAACTATCCCATTTGGATAACCAGCTGCACTGGCCACTATGGCGTCATCTTCAATCGGAATCCGGATCTGTTGCGCAACTATCATGCGGAGTCGCGATTCGATGTCAACTATTATAGCTGTTCGGGCCATCAGATACTGATGACCATCGATAATCGCACATACAATGAGCAGGCATTGGTCATGTTGGAGCGACAACCAATCACGCCGGAGAGCACCTCAGTGGCGGGCAAGCCTGCCAAGGATGAGGCCGTTACGGCCGGAGGTGCTGCTGCCGGTGCTGGTGTGGCTGGCGCTGGCGGCGGTGTTGGTGGTGCTGCTAGTGGCGCTAGCTCTGGCAACGATGTGGTCGCCAAGGAGGAGTCAATGCTCAACACGCCATTGCAGCGTTTGATTCATACCAAGTGGGAAGAGGCAACTATAAGCTTTCACGTGCAGCCATCGATGTTGAGTTATCTTTTTAGTACCACACAGTAGAACCAAAAAACAAAAACAAAAAAAAAAAGAAAGGCAGACGACAAACATTATTACAAAAATGTAGCTAAATTTTGTGTAGGCGATCCTTATGATCCAATCACAAGATACTTTGACACTAAAAACTGAAAACTTTTGATTAGGTCATGATCACATTCACCATTCACCATTCATATATATCATTGAAGCATGTCAGCTTGTTATGTTGTCTCTTGATCTATGATATAAATCGACTTTCTTGGCGAATGACCAATACTACTCTCAACGAGTACATAGATGCCTGCGATACCTCTTCACATCCACATCCAAGTAAGTTCATTCAATAGTAGTAGTCGAAAATAGTCATGTTAGCACATAGTTTCACATTTTCAAATACTTACGAATTGAAATACTTATCCTGGCTATGAAAAACTAGCTAATGCATTTTAGAGCTAATTTTACCTTTAACAAACTAAATCTCTTTAATTTTATATTATGTGTGATTCAATAGCAAAAAAATGGAGGAGATTGGATAAAGTTATCTGTAGTTAAATAATAATTATTTCAATCTATTAATTGTACTTATCTTAATCGAATACTCTTGTTGTTAGCTGCCGAGACAATTTTTTGATATAGGTTAGCTTATTCCTAGTCTAAAATCAATTTTCTGCTAACTACTCATCTATAAGATGATAACTTAAGAACTATTGAATAGTAGCATAGTATAAATATTTAGTTATAATTAGTATAACTATATATTGCCGTGATTTGTAAGCTTTAAAGTAGTTGAAACAATTGCACAATTCCCTTTAGAAGCATATTTTGCACTTAGTTCAATGAGATGAATTCTACTGTTGCTGGTCTCAGAGCTCTGGTCCAAAATGTATGAAACGGGTATCGAAAAAAGATGAATTCAATTACAATTCGAACAAACAGCGATGGTAAATACACGTAAAATATTTCGAGTATGATGAAAAAAAAAAAAAACAAACAACTACAACAACAACTGGCAGATTTGTTGAAAACCGAAATCGAATTTTGACAAATATGTCTGTTACTGAGGCCTCTCTCTATACATAAAGTGCGACTGCAGGAACTCAAAGGTTGCCGCCTGGAGCCACTAGACGAATACAGAAAACAACTGCGAAATCAAATGAAAACACACCAACACGCTTCGAAAATTTCAAATGCACCACTCAATTAGTCAAACGCCAAACGTATAATGTCAACAGACTTATATTTAAATAAATGTTCAAGCTTTCTAAAAGAAACTCTTTGAATTTTACACTCATCATTTATGGGTAAAGTTAATTAATTGTAATTCTTTTGGTCCTTTGCTTTCAGAATCAAGTTAAAAAGTGGTCTTCAAAATATGCTTTCGATTTTAATATATTTCGACGATCCGACGTACACCCATAATAGAAATGAAAAATATTTTGAAAATATTTAAGAAATGTTTATCATTTTATTTAAATGTTGGTTGGTTTTGCTGTTGCACAAAAATGATTGAAGTTCCTTGTTATTCATTTGTCAGTTTTTAAAGAGTTTTGTTTAATAAAAAAATGTGTTTTGTATTTTTTTGAATAGGAGAATAGTTTACTCGTAATTGTAGATTGGTTTTCGTAATTGTATTTTGTTTGAGTTGAAATATTCAAGAATATTTTTATAATATATATACTTTAAAGAATTTATAAGAATATTTTAGTATGTTGCCATAACAATTCACAAAGATTTACCCATGAGATTAGTTTATAATTACTTTTTAAAGATTTTGTAATTGCCTAACTAAATATTGTTAATACTTGTACATAAATACTTAATTTGTATGTATATGCAATTGTATAAATTGTAGAAATTTTGTATTATTCTTAATTTTTATATTTACATATCATTATTTGCATAGTTTTTGTGCACAATGTTTGTAACTCATATTAAAAGTTTATTAGTTTGTTTGAGTGTTTTTCTGTTTTTTTTTAATTAATATTTATAGATAAGGTATGTTTAACCTAAACTTCAAATAATTGTATATATTGGTTGGCATTTATTTCTTTTTCTTTTATTTATGTTTCAGTGCAACTATTTCCACTTTTTGTAATTGAATTCCATCAGCAAGACCATTATCTCAAATGTGTTGTTGCCTTTTCGGTAATTTCTGAAACTATTTGCAGCTTTTCCTGTTCAATTGCCATTACCCACGGTATCAGTTGACACGCGATTTGTGCTCCACGCGCCCATCCCAACCCAAACCAGAGGGTTCTTTTTATTATTTGTCCGCCTCTCTGTCTGTCTGCGAGTTGGGGGTCTGGTGCAACGCCTTGATGTACGAGTGTGTCAACATGCATTATTGAAATGATTGCGGCCCACATTTTATGTACTGTTTGTTTTCAGTTCGGATAGCTTCGCCGTTGCTCTTTATTTAAATAAGTAGTTGGCCGACTTTAGAGCCAACACACCTTGTTCTCAATACGCGCTCTGTCAGAGCCTTGAACTATTGCCACAATTGCAATTTTGCGAATTTATGTAATTAATGACTAACTTTCACAGTGAAAATGAAATAATATAGTTTGTATTGTATTAGGAACAGAAACCATTGGTGTCGAGAGTGATTTAAGTGATTTACACAAAGAAAATAATGTGTAAGCGATTATAATGATTGGAGAGTTGTTCAACTTAAGAACTAAACCTTAACTTTAGGCGGTTGTCTTTCATAAAGTAATGCACTTAAATACTTTTTGCTTATAAATAATTTACCATCTTGGATTGAGTCTTTGCTTAAACCATGATCGTGTATTGCAAATATGTACAAAATATATATCGAGGACATTATAATATACAATTCAAATGTATATATATACATATATATATATATATATACATATATATATATACATATATATATATATATATATATATATATATATATATACGTACATAATATCTGTGCAGCTATGTAAATTATGCCGGCTGGGGTCAAATCAAGCTGGCCATGCTTTCAAATATCGTATAAAGTTGTGCGCTTAGAGCCTAACTAAGTTACGTACATATGTATGCGTCTATCTGTAGTATCCGTATGTGGGGTACATTGTGATTACGATTAATAATAATTTGCAGACTTTACACTGTGCAAAATGAATAATAGTCGGCTTAGAGGGACGACTTAAACACAAGATTGTACCTGTACAAACTGTTTAAAGTCATGGACACTTTGTGAGCTCACTCGCTGCGTACACAATCGTAATCGCAAATATCATGTAATATCCTAACTAATCCTAAGTCCCCTTTGTGCATCGTTCTACGGCCGCACCAGCAGCTTCTCAATGAACGCCAGATTCGTGTTGCCATAGCGCGTCAGGTTGAACGGCAGAGCAGCTGGATTCTTTTTCGTCTGCGTGTGCCAGGTGAGTATCTGCGGATACAAACATATTTAACCATATATTTCAGGTATAGGTTAATTGCATTGCACTTACATCCCGGCACTCATCGGCGAGCAGTTCAATTTCATTGTTCTGCAGCGGCGCCAGACTGCGCAGAAAGCCATCCTCCTCGTAGCCCGGCTTGAAGGGCATCTTTGCCTTCGGCCGCTCGTGCAGAAACTTGACGCTCACTGCAAAACCGGCCATATCAACCGGATACTTGCGTCCACCGATCCAGCCATCATAGTAGCCATCCAGCTTACCCGCACGTATAATGGGACTGCTGACGCCGGTTTTAGTCACCAGGCCAACGGGCCACATTGCCACCTTTTTGGTATAGCGCATCTGTTTGAGAATTCACATATATATATAATTATTGATATAGGTTGATCAATTGATTATTATTAACAAGTATGATTTTCAAGAAGCACTCAGTATTACTTTTGTTTTAAGTTTGCCAGTGCAAACTGAATTCATTCTAAATTCGTGTGCATTCAATGACAGTTGGATGGTATTTGTAGCTGTGACCTTTTCAGTTACACACCTGTTCAAATATGTTAATATCGTAGGTGTTATCATCGTCGGCAAAGTAGAGGACACCCTCGGTGGCATTGGCCCGTAGATAATCGAGTCCACGATTCCGATTGGAGACACCGCGGGGCTTGGCACGCTTCGTCAGCTTATACTGCTCGGGCATCGGCGCTGTGTGGGTGTGGTGTGTTGTGTGGGTTGTGTGGTTTGTATGCAAGGTCGTTAATAGCACTCAAATGAACGACAATCATGTTAATGACAGACCAATACTCACCAACCAGATACTCGTAGGGAACACCAATGCGGTCCAAAGTGTGCGCGACCAACGGATTCGTCCGGTTCGCATCCTCGATGACCAGCCAGAGCAGGTTGAGCACATGCTTTAGCGTGTAGCCGAGTCGTGTCAGCTCTGCCAGCTGCTCAGGACGGCGATAAGTGGGCGTAATAATATACAGTGGCGGCTATTAGGGTAGATAAGCGTTCCATATTATTTTATGCTACAAAACAAAAATGTACTAATACTACATGTTCTCCATGGTCGTTTATAAAGTGTGTCTATGTTTACATGCGTAACACGGCGTAAGCTCCCTTTTGATGAGCAATTATGCAAATTAATCCACAGCCAAGCTAAGTTAACTAGTTGAACAGTTCACTAGTTGACCGGGTTTTAGCTGCGTGTCAGTTGGAATACTCGCTATAAGCAGGCCACTCAAATGGCAAACATATGCATAAATATATATATATATATATTTATATATGTATGTGTGAGCTTGCAAATTGTCCACTGTTGGCACACAAAACTGCATTCAAATTTATATGCAAAATAAACATAGACATTCTAATAAATATAAGCGCAGCGAAGCACAGAAATGCAATTGAAAAGAACAAGTATTTATAATAATAACAGATTAGCATACAAAGTAGTTGTGACTAAAGAGAGAAGCATACAAAATGGTTATTAAAATAATTCAATTATTATCATACATTAGCTGTAAGTCTAAGAACATTTCCATAAAAAAAAAGAATTTATTTAATTAATATGCAAATAATATTGTTTAATAAATAGCATTTGCTGATTTGTCTTTTTGATAATAAAATGATGTCATTCATTAAATATTCTTTACACTCAAACTCAAACCCTTTGATATTAAGCAATGGACCTGCCTTTGACATTGACTGTAGAGCATTTTTAGTTATAACTGCCTGCTAACTAGGAGAAATCCACAAATGAGCGAATCTTTTTCAATTGGCTTGCATTTTTCATTGCATTCAGAATCTGGATCATCATCATCAGCATGGTCAGACCTGCCACATACACCCCTCGCTGGCCTGGTCCCTAGGTGGAATTGGAACACCCACTAGTTTGATGCCATTCAATGGCAGTAGTTGTTATTGTTGGCTGTTACGCGGTTTCGGTTCTTTCGGTTTCAATGTGCAATGCGCAATTTTCAAATTAGACTCATGCAAATTTTTTTTTTCTCTTTTTTTTTTTATTTTTATATAGCGTATCTTTTTGTTTGCATTTTATTTATAATCTGGTGTCATCTGACAATTGATTAACCTAAAAAGCCACGCCATGCATACAGTTCATAATGGGAGTAGCCATAAATTTGTGCGAATTTTGTACGCTTCACAAAAATGTAGTGAATAGCTAACAACACTCAACCAACTGCATAGATTTGCACTTGCGCTAGATACAGATACAGATACAGCTACTTAATTGAACAAACAGAGCTATGAATTTAAATTTGAATTTGAGTACACCCTTTTCACAGTTAACAATACTAATGAGTTGGATACTATGGTATTGTGTGCACATCTATAGTAAGGTCATCACCATCAATCAACGTAATGTGTGTGTGTGTGTGTACCAGGTAGGTAGAGCTAAAGCTACGTAAATGATGTCTAAAAGCACTTGACATAATCGCATTACATTTATTACGTTCCATACTGGAACCTAAGCCAAAATCAATAAAGCAAATGCTAACTGGTGCTCCTTCATTAACTTTCAAATTCCAACATGACAACATAAGTAAGTCAGCGAGCGAATAATAAGTAATAACAAGTTAGAATGCTGATACCCTGCAGATACCCTGGACATCATCTTCTAAACACCTAGTTGGCTTGCTGATATTATTGTACTCAATATACAAATACGTTTTGGTTAGTCAAATCTAAGTTTCTAATCCAATTTAAATTATGTATTTACAGCGAATCTATTATCTATTTAGGGTATAGCATTATACATTTAATGGGATTGGAGGGGGTTCTTTTTGTTATATAGTTTCACACTTTGTTTATTTTTAATGGGTTCAAGGTATAAAAATTCCAAAAACCCAATTCGATTATCGATTCATAAATGTTTACGAATTAAATTCATTATTTTATTTATATGTAGAAAAGTTGTCAGTTCATATTTGCAATTTTATTAAAACCAAACAAAATTCTACATAGCTTTGCAAACAAAATTGCATTCTTTGTGAAAATGCAATTTATTTGATCAATTTAAAATTGCACCACTTGCTAAATAATTGAAATTGTGAAAATTTAAAGAAAGAAAAAACGGGGACAGAGCGTAATATTATTTGATGGCAAACACTAAAATTAAAATAAAGAGAAAGAGAGAGAGAGAGAGAGAGAGCTTTGGCAGGAGGAGTCCTGTTTTCCAGCTTAAAAACTACATGTTAACTACACACAAAATGAACGAGTAATAGTTAAATCAAGCCCTGCAGGAAGTCTGCCACCTCCACCTCCATCCCCACAGTTGCAATGAATATGAAACGCACTTGTGCCTTGGGCAGACAACTTAAAAAGGAATTAAGAAAATTGGAAAATGTGCAAGGGAAACAAACAAAGCAACAAGACCAAAGCAGAATGGCGTCAATGAAGCGCAAGCATGGCAACTGCGGGAAATTCCAGCGAGTGCAAAAATTCCCATTTACAAAGTATATACATACAAGTAACTGAACTATCTGCATATTCTATATACGATGCAAGTATTTATATATACATAGGTTGTTATGTAAACGATGCACTCATATAACAGATACTTATTACAGAAACACGTACAGCAAGAACATAAAATGTAACTTAAAGCTAATTGGTTAGTTTGAACTGCTCTTGTAGTGTGTGAAGTTGTTGTAGTTGCATGTATGTATGTAATAACAAACAAATATTTACGGGATCGGAAACGGCAACAAATTTTGAACGAATTTTAAGAGTGACACCCGTTGATTTTCCCATTGAGTTCTGGGCGTGGCTTGGTTTGGAGATTCTTGTTGTTTTTAGTTTTTGAGTTGATGCTGTTGTTGTTGATGATGTTGTTTTTGTTGTTGTTGTAGTTGTTGATGTTGTTGCTAAACCAGCAGTCGCTGCTGCTGTTGTTGTTGTTGTTGTCGAGATGCTTTTGTTATTGTTGGCATCTGAGGCCGATGACAATATCAGTGGCAATGAAACCGTCGAGTAGAAGAAGTAGGACGAGCCGGAGGCATTAACAGGACCAGAACTGGTTGCGGTGGACGAGTATGTGACATTAGTTGCACCACCACCATGTCCCTGTCCCAGTCCCATTGTGGTATTTTGGGTGGAGTTGTAGAAGCTGTTTGGCATTGGTGCCCACAAAAATGATGCGATGTATGACGATGACGATGACGATGACGATGACGATGACGATGACGATGACGATGATGACTTTTCTGGTTGCTACATCATTAGTGATTATTATTTGATGTTGTTAAGGCATAGAGAGAACGTAGAGAACGAGAACAAAAGAAACATTGTCATATGAGGCTGATGTATTATGTATATAGACACATAGACCAAAAACTATCTAGATAGCTCGCTGGCCAAGGGAGTATTCTAAATGTTGCAAGCTTGACAATTGACTGTTAAATGTTCCCATACCACGACCACTACTCTATTCTTCAAGTAGTATTTTTTATATATAGTATTATATATATTTTTAATGTAATGTGAGTTGGGAGCATCAACTGAACTGAACTGTCAAGCATGCAAACAATTATTCAGTTTGCTTAAAGTCTATACCGATATAAATGGATATCTAGACAAGTAAACACGTTTGCGACTATTTTACTAAATGAATGGATGCATTCGAAAAAAGTGTGAATCTTCGAAACTATCGGTTATTGTCGTGTGCTATTTATTGTACTACTTACGCTAACACGACAAACTTTCAAGCAATTTCCTCAAGGCCAAAACATAACATGGGAAGGTATAAGGTGCCGGCTTATCATAAATGATATCTAACAGTTGGGTGTGTGTATCTATAACTTTCCATTTGGAATACTCACCTTGACGACCTCGTTGGTGGCGAGCGGCTGTCGGGACATGTGATACTGATATAGTACCATATAGATGCAAGTCGTGGCTACGAATATGGTCAGGTACATTTTAATGGATTTGCCCAGGGCCATTTTGTTGCTGAGATTTCCAGTCATTTTCGTATCTTTGGCCTGTATCAGAAGCATATATTGTTATATTTCTTTTTGTTGTTGTTGCTTTTTGGTTTTTTTGCGATTTGGTCTCGTAACTCGACTTTGGTATTTTGATTTCATTCGTTTGGCTTTGGTTGCAACTTTTGAATAATATGTTTACTCTTTGCAGATTTACATTTTTGTGCTTGCCTCAGAAGCATTATTCTCCACCTCTGTTTTTTTTTCCCCTTTATTTTGTGATTGTTTTACGCTGTTGTCGGGGCAATAAACGACTACGCACTGGTATCTAAATAATATTCAAACAAAATAAGGCAACATATTATTTTATTTACTTATATATTACTCACATTTATTGCATATATTTCCATAGCTCCATTTAAGCGCATGACGCAACTGGGGAAAAACGTAAAGAATATTTTACAAACATTAAAGAATCAATCATTGATACAAATTGTACCGTAAAGCAAATCTTATATACGCACTATGAAATTAAAAGTATACAAAAAACCCAACAGTCATATAAATTTCAATTGTGGTTGATTGCTTTGCACAAATAAACGAGATTAAATATCATTTCATTAATTGAAATACGCAACTGTTGAAAACATAGATAATGCTATCAGGCATTATATATAAGATATATTAATTAATTTAAAAAATATTAATATTCAAATCCAAATCAAAACCACAGAGGAAAATTACTCAAAAATGTATACATCAAATTGTGCTGTTTCCACTAATTGAGTCTGATAACTGGGAAGCAGCGATAACAAAACTGTGTTTCGTGTCTTCTAATTGCTAAATACAAATTAGTTGTCAATTGTGTCAGTATTCCATCAATATGGCAATAAACCAATAAACAAATTAATGTTTAATGCGACCAACTTAAAAGTTTTGAATTGGATAGTTTTGATTGTATTTAAGCAAGGAGTTTAAGAATTTGTTAAGTGATGGTGCTGAGATACCCTGTAGACAAGAAGTTAAATTATCTGTTGTATAATGATAAATCAATATTAAACAGTTTTCCGCATTTCAACTATGTGATCCAAGTCGATTTGTTAACTAAGCCTTGTTTAACTTTTTCGCCCACTTTTATGTTGTTTATTGTTGTTGATTTTCAACAAGTCTGCCCCTTATGCATAAGTGGGCGTGGCTGTTGCTTGTTCGCGTGTTTAAGCATTTTTACAAAAAAAAATAAAATAAAATTCATTTCACCCATTGCTGATATGAAAGTTCAATGGCCAATTTAAAATCTTTTTGCTTTGTTTGCAGCACGCTTGTTAAAGTTGGGCGCCGCTTTTTTAATTTTTGCCATACGCAACTTGCGTTAGTTCTTATATGCCACAATATATATATATATATATAGTTCAGCTGTATGCAAAGTTAATAGCAAGTTTGCCTTTGCAATTAACACTGCACGCGAGATCTGAGTTCGGCTTTAAGCATGATTTCAGTTACTCTTTCCTGCGAACATAGAAGTTCGCATACACAACTCAAACATTTGTGCAATTTTAGGAAATTTTCAAACAATTCAATTTGAAATTGCATTCAAAACAAATGGCAAATATGTAAACAACAAGAACAAGAGCAATATCAAAGACATACATGTTTCTTGTAAATATGTTGCCAATCTTGTTATTGGCCATTGAATGAAAATGGCGAAATCTATGCTGTAAAAGGGTCGAAAGAAAAACGTTTTCAGGCTGCTTGACAGACCGGCAAAAATGTTTAATGAAAATTCATTTAACAACATGTCAAAGCAATAAAGCCAAGAAGAACAAAAAAAAGCTAAAAACAATTTAGTGTCAGAACTTAACCCATTTACATGACAATTCAGTCCGCCCTCTGTGCTCCATGCAGACACACGGACGCACGGACATCAAAAATTACAAATAAAGGGAAAGAAACAAATTCACACACACAGATACACACACATACACACACACAGATACACACACAGAGATATATACACAAAATAAGAACAGACATTCGCATTCATAAACAAGAGCACAATGCAGATAGATATTAAAAGTGGAAAGCCAAATGCGAAAAGTGGGCGCCAACTGGAGAACTCCGAGTGGAATGATACCTTTGCAGTCTGCCTTACGGGAAGCGAACGGGAACTGGCTGGTTGGCATAACAGCAGGGCGCACAGTTGTCGCTCTTTAGACCCGGATGCCATGTCCTTGAACGTAACATTGTCGGATTGCGATTGCGATTGCGATTGGGATTCAAAACAGTAAAAATAACCACCCACATAATATTATGAGAAGCGAAAGCAATTTGCCTTGCAAAACGTAGGAAAGGACTGTATCGCCTTGTCATTAACCATATATTTATAGCCTGAATCAATTAAAAAGGAGAGAAGGAACCATCTCTGCCATAAAGTATATATCCAAATAAGTAAAAACTATTTGATGCATATTGCTTCAGTAGACCACTGCAAATATACTGCACAAAAAGGAGAAATTTGAATTTAATTTCAACTGCAAAACCAAAACCAAAACCCAAAATGGATAATGCTCTGCGAATGTGCGACGCTTATTCATTTTGCGGCATGGAATGCGCTGTTTTCAGCTCCATTTCAATTTACTTAACTCATAATCCCGACGCCGGGCACACACCACTGTGGAGAGCAGATCTCAGCTGGATGATGCCATCTATGTTCATGTGTGGGTGCCCACAAACAATTGCGTAATATTTGAGGTGGCCTTGTGTTCGATGGGGGTGGAAAGGGATTCACAAGCACAAAGAAAAAAAAATGGAGCCAATGTGAAATCGAGTCTTGTGAAGAAAGCCAACTCTTCGCATGATTTGTGTGTGCCCTGCTTGGCCCTGACTAGCCCTGACCCAAAACACATACCCAGATCCAGTTCTCAACTTGGCACCAAAACTTATTGCATTTGTCGCTGGCGAAATCATATTTCAAATTTAATGGATTAGCTACGAGAACTCCAAGTTTCGTTTTCGTCCTACCAAACATTGTTCATGCCCCAATGAATTATAGTATATCAGGCACATCCGTATATCATATCGAATAGTAAAGCTTCTGAACGTGCTACGTGCTAGTAATATTTGATGGCATGTTTTAATGCTCGTATTGTAATCGAAATGAAATGAAACCAGTGGGAACAATGACAATTATTTTACGATACATTAGATACAAGTTACATTAAGGTAATTAACCTCACATAGCTGGCAACAATAGTATTCTTTATCCAAATATTAATATTTGTCTTCAAATTGTAATTATGCTTGCATATTCGTCATATTTAGGCGGGGCAACTATAAATAATAATAATAAAAATGTTAATGAGCTTATCTATATCAATTCGGTTATTCATGAAAACATTTCGATAAGATAGAAGTAGCTGGAGGTCGCTTGTCTATTAAATCAATTTGCATGGCTTATCTTATGATATTAAGTGGTAGTAATTATTTAACAATCTATATTTATATAATGTGAAATGAATAAGTCCAAAAATACATTTTTTTGCCATGGTTTTCAAACGGTTTTGATTAAATGATATACACTTTTGTATATAAATTTACTAGAGCGATAATATTTATATTTGTGCAAAAGGAACTAGAAATATCCAATTTATATAATGCGCAATAAAGTAAAATAAATATCGATACAATCCAATTGATGGAGTTAAGCACATAAGAAAACCACAGAGGAAAAGGACAAACACATATCCAATATACAAATCGATTAAAACAAATATGAACAGAAATTGAAAGAATTAAATGAGAAGCCCGAATTAGATTGCGATCCTTTTGGAGATGCTCCGGGTGTTCCTGGATGGACAGTTATCCAGCAGCGAATCAACGGTCAAGAAGATTTCAACAGGTCTTGGGCAACATACCGTAAAGGCTTTGGTTCCCTTGATGGCGACTTCTTCTTGGGCTTGGAGAAAGTCCATCGCTTGACGAGCACCCAACCCCAAGGACTGTTTATAAATTTGGAATACTTTAATTGGGAAAACGAATATGAGATATCATCGATTTGCCATTGCTGGCTGAGTTGAAGTGGATTCAGTGGCAGTGCCACAAATCGGATGTCCGAATATAACAATAATCAGCAATTTGCGACATATGATCGTGAAAACTAACTACACTGCAATATGAATTGTATTCTCGATTAGAAAATATAATTACACTAATTATCAAATAAATAAATTGCAAATTTTTAGAGCCTGATCGTCACTTCATTACGGATAACAATGTAAATCATCAGAAAAAGAAAAGTTCCTGCTTCGTTAGAAACCTTTTCACATTTTCAATGGGTTCAGGACATATAGGTTTTGGAAGTTGCCGCGTGTGATTCAAATTGGTAGCTTAAATATCACAATAACAGAAAATGATTCACATAATTATATGAAATAGCTCATTCAAAGTTATTTAACAGTTAAATGACCAAATCAAAGCCAACTCCATAAATCTGATGAGAAGCAAATTAGGCTGGCAAGGGTAGCAGGGCTTAGGGCTTATCGCTGTTTTTTTTTTATCAATTAGCCTAATGTCCAGCATTGTACAGTTGTCAAAACGGGTGTTTAGCTGGACAGAAAATATATAATAATATGATAGAAATTTATTCAGCAATCTTTAAAACTCCTTTGGTTCGCAAATACAATCCAATTAACTAATTTTCGTGATATTCCTAATAGACAAAAGTTACGTGAACAATTTACAAATTGTTATCAACATTTTTCAAATGCAACCCATTGTATTTAAAGGTTGATTTCCGTGCTGAACAAAGGAGGCCCAAAAAGCCATCATCAATTGAAGGCACGCACAGGCCCAGGGACAGGAATCACAAATGTTGTCTACCATTCTTTTGGGGCAGTCGATGGGGCAACTGTTGCTACTCGCCCCATCCCACCAACAAGTTTGTTTGGGCCCCAAGGTGCAAAACTGAAAGTTAAGAGCGCAACAGTTTATGGAAATGTGAACGAAGAGTGGGAAAAACAGGTGTGGCAGGAATATTATAAGATATTGGATATTACCTCGGGTTAATTTACGTTGACTCAACAATCAAAGGAAATTCATAATAAGATTAGATACTTCGGAGTCATCAGGTCTTCAAATCATGTGTCTATTAGTTCCGTACCATTCCATTTCGTATCTATTGCTGCACATTGCAAAAATAGTAATCAATAAGTGTCGATCAATTATGTACTTGTCTTGAATGTTTGTGTAACACTCTATAGAGCTCTGCGTTTGATTACAGACAATCTACAGGAATTACTAGGATCTATCGGTGTGCAATATTTCTTTTCAACTCAAACTGTCGCTTATCAATATGTACATACATATATACAAATATATATTTATATATATATATACAAATTACAAAGTTGTTAAAGGATTTATGTTCCAATGTAAGCCAATTAATACTGCTTCTACTCAAAAAAAAAAAAAAATAATAAAAATTCACGTAACGAAATCTTTTGGCTTAAATAAGAAGTATTTGCACAAATTTTTTGTAAATTATAAGTAAATTTAAGCCATAGAATAGATAGCTACATAATTAATGAAATTAATGCAAATAGGGAATATTTTTTAAATTCATATTCCTCTGAAAGAAATACTAAGCTGGCAATAATAAACTAAGAGATTGGATCCTTTTTTCTAATCTAGCTTAATGACTTTTTAGCGACGATTACGATGACGATTGGCGAATGGCTATATAAAGTAGTTGCTAAGATACGAACAAAGGTAAATTAAGTCGGATGACACAATTGGCTAGTCCTTTGAAGGGTTCCGTATCATAGCGATGTACAGCAGGAGTTGGGCCACATTATTCCACAGAAACTGAGAAACGCCGAAAGACATCGAAGTGGGCAGAGGCTTCAAGTCTCAGGCAAGCCAAATATCTATACATATACATTATGCATAATGCTTGAACCTTCGCGTTTAATTGCTATAGAAATGCTGTGTTTGCAATTTTTTTTTGGGTTCAGTAGTTGCCTTACCTTTTGAACACACAAATCATCAAAGCAAAGCTCAAACAACTGAGACAGAAGTACTTTTTCTCTTAATTAAAGAGAGTGCTATTGGTCTTTTATTTATTTTATTTTTTTTTTTAATATTTTTTGCAGGCACATATTTTCAATCCGAACGATTTGTGAAACATTTGCAATTCGCAAAATTACTTGTATATGGAATTTGGAATTTTCTGTGACATATGCATTTAAATTGCACTTCATTTTCATGAGAAATTGCAGTTTTGACTTAATGATAAGTATATGTATTTTTTGTTTGTGTTGAAATGATAGCAAATTGATAAAGAATGAATAATGGTTGAAGAGGCGCAACAAAAATCGATTGTTTAGGTTCCGTCATTTAGTCGTGAGTACTTAGAAAAGTATTTGTGTATCTAGAAAAACAAAAAAAAAAAAAACAAAGTAAATAACAATGCGACTTAAGCGGTTCGACAACTTGTGATAAAATAAAAATTATATATGCAAAACAATATATGAATATGTAAGTATGTATTTAGGTCTGTAACCATATACAGATAGATATATGTGCACATACTGATATGGAAAGGAACGCTTAACCGATTAGAATTCATTTTCTATAGCGGTTCCTAAATGGTTTAGCTTTTGTATGAGTATATGTATATATGCTTTTATATATATATATATACTGATAACCATAAATTCATAATGTTGTGTTAAGGTTTAGCTTTGCTTTCATTCGTATTCTGTATTCTTTTTGTTTTTATTATTATTGTCGTTGTTGTTGGTGCTGTTTTTTGTTTTATTATATTTTTTTGCTGTTCGCATTCTGTGTTCTTGTTCTGCATGAACATCAAAAAAAGCGGTCTATAAGCATTATATATGTAAAAGTACATATGATGTATACGTACTACACTATGCTACTGTGCCTCTACAATGGAACGGAAGTTTCGATCCGTTTGTGGCTTATAATCGTACAATATATGTATATATATACATATATATAGATATATATTTATCACATATATCACAAGCGACTCATTGTGAGGCAAGCAGGGAATTGAAATTCCAAATCTTTGTAGCAACATAGCTTTTAAGCTTGCAACCACTCAACTTAATTCTATATTGTACTTTAATCGATATATAATTTGTATCGAAATTCGAAAAATGCGGGCAGTTATCGATAAGCTGAAATAAACTCAATCTGCATATGGTATTTAAAATTCATCATACAGGCTAAATCGTCTAGTCGGTTAACGCTGATCAGGAATATATAAGAATAAATAAATAAATGTAAGAATAAATAAATAAATCATTATTCATGATTTAAATGAAAGCCCGCACTCAAAAGCATACAAGTTTGCTAAATTGGCAAATATGCCGCCTTCAAACTGAACTTTATAAGCATATTTATAAATGTACATCTGTAGTAAATAATATTAAATGTAAAATGTGTGCAAAATGTGTTTTGGTTCTTGCTGCGAACTCAAAATATTAACCTTGTGTGACGTGAAATGTGAAATGTCTGTTTACGAAACAGTCGAGCTATTGAATTTTGCCACTAAGGCCATTATTATCAGTGGTACTTGATAACAGCATCGTTCGCTCTCTTATTAACATCTTCTAACCTGTTTCTGTGTCTCTGGCCAATGCTATAAAATGTTACGAATCCGATTTTAAACATTCAGTCTAAATCTGTTTCTCTTGAGACCAGACCATAGCAGAAAAAGATGAAATTAAATTGCGTTTTCTTCATTTTAAGCGCAACGCTGATTCTGATCGTAGCTGCAACAAACCAAAATGAGGTAAGCAAAGAGGAAATAAATATATTAGACAATCGAGGCTTATAATAATACTTATCAGTCATCGCCAGCAACGAGAAGAGAGGAGGAAAAGTGCGGATCATATGTTCAAAAGGCTGTGGAACCACTACTCAACTATATAAAAGCGCTGAAGGCAAAAGTGGAAAGCAATGATAATAAAACATCCATTCTGAATGGAGAAATTGAAGAACTACGCGAAAAGTTGGGTGATCATATATTAACTAAAGGTCTGAATAATGACTTGAGAATTATGTTAGATCTTTTCAAGTCTACCAGCGTGCAGCAAAGCAGCGTTATAAACGAAATGAGCAACAAATTAAAAACATACACCACTTCGCAGAAAAGTCCTCAGAGTTGTGCAAGAGATGTTATCTCCAAGCAACATCAAATCGATAGCGATGCGATCAAATTGAAAGAGTTAAACTATCAATTGGAGGAACATAATAAAATCATTGAGCAAAAGGACCAACAAATATCCAATTTACAAAATACACTACAACGTCAAATCGATAGCGATGCAATCAAATTGCAGGAATATAATATGCAGTTGGAGGAACATAAAAAAACCATCAGCCATCAGAACCAACAATTATACAAATTACAAAACAATGTCATAAAAAGTGATGTGAAATGGGAGAATTTAAGTGAGATAACCAAAATAGATTGCTCTGCCTTTGGAGATGTGGCGGGTGTTCATAAAATCAGTTTTTCTAATTATACCTTTGATGTCTTATGCGACTCGGAGACAGCAGGTCCTGGATGGACAGTTATCCAGCAGCGCATAAGAGGCAATGAGAATTTCCACAGGAATTGGACAACATACCGTGAAGGCTTTGGCTCTTTTGATGGCGACTTCTTCTTGGGCTTGGATAAAGTCCATCGCTTGACGAGCTCCAAACCCTATGAACTCTATATACATCTGGAACATTTTAATGGCCAAACAGAATATGCGAGATATCAACAATTTGAAATTGCTGCCGAACGTGATGAATACCAACTGAGCATAAATGGATTCAGTGGCGATTCCAGAGATACGATGTCATATTTTAACAATCATCAGAAATTTACGACATATGATCGTGATAATGATAACTGGATTAATGGCAATTGTGCATTGCAGTACTATGGTGGATGGTGGTATAACAATGCATGTATTTGGCAGTAAGTAAATGAGACTCTGCATCATCTCTCAAATATTTAACTGTTTTCTTACATTCTCTACAGTAATTTAAATGCAAAGTACTATAAAAGTTACCATAACTGGAGGGACGATGGTCTATATTGGAATGGCGCAGTCAAAAGTGCCAAAATGCTTATACGCCCAGCAATAATATAAAAGTGATACAAATGATGCAAATATGAATTGTACTTTCGAGTTGTAAGTATATTTACATAAATTCTTAAATAAATAAATTGGCACTGCAGTTATAACAAATTTGATGAACTTCTACCTGGCAAGCAAAATTTAGAAGCCCCTTAGTGATTCTGATTAATAATATATATACACTTTACCGGATCATAGATGCATCGTTCTGTTATATACTTTTTTATTTATATTACTTATACTCTTTTTACACATTTTTAATCGGTTCAAGGTATAAACTGGTCAGTTTTAATGTTACTTGGTGTTTATGCATGCTTTTTCGAGTATTTTTTTGTATTTCATATTCGGATTCGTATTACGCAAAAAAAAATTATACTTTTCTTGTTCTCATTACTGCAGTTCTTTAAGGGCTCTTCATGTGCAAGTATTTTCAGCAAACTTTCTTAGATAATCAATTTCGAGTGCCGCAGCAGCTATTGCGAATGTCTTTCCGTCAAATTATAAAAGAAAATTCCATTTCTTTTGGCAAATCGAGCTGTGCGCCAACTGAGAAAAAGTGAAAAATTGTCAAAATTGCCAATTCAATTACAATAAGAAAAACAATGTAGCCAGACAGAGAAAGACAGACAGAGAGAGAGAGAAAGAGAGAGAGAAAGACAAAAATGTGAGAAATTGCAATGCAGGCAAAATTTCGCCCAAAGTCCCAAGCGAAACGAGTTCAAGTCGAATCGGACTTTGAGAAGGTGGGAAGGTGGGGGTGAGAGACCCACTTGACTGGCGGCCAAGAGGAGCAAGCTGGGACTGCATTCGAGCTGGGTCCTTGAATGATCCAAGGGGCAACTGCTGCCACTGGCCGACGATGACAAAGTTGGCACCAGGCGACTCAAGTAATGCAGAGCGGCATGCGAAAGTGGCAAGCAAAACAAAGGCGCACAAAATTGAATAACCTGCAGCCACATAAACACATACATACATCGCTTGCCTCCGCCAGCACATGAGTGCCAGAGCTACACTGGCAAAAACAAAGAAAAAATCAAACAATGTGTGACTGGGTTGTGTTTTATTTTTTGGCGTCAGGTTAGAGGTAAATTCCAAGTAACAAAACATAATAATTAAGTTGCTGTTGCAACTTGTAAAATTGTAATTCTGACTAAGGATGTGCAAGGTTTTGAAGCGTTTCCCGAACACTTTTTTGTGTTCATAATTTGAACATGCAAATCGAGCCAGAATCGCGTCTTTCAACTTTCAATGCAATATTAAACTAGTAACAAATTCATTATTAAAAAGTATTTTTTTTTTTTTCGAAAATCAGTGGATAGCAGACTATGTTTGTTCAAATGCAGTCGTATTGTTGCTTCACAGCCATCAATTCGTCGAATTCAATTAAGGCGCATTTTGTGTGAAAATATGACCAATATGCTGCGACAGTTTTTAGGAGGTAGTCAGTCCTACTTTTTCGTCGTTGCTTTCGAAATGGCATTTTAAAAATGTAATTGCCAGTGGCAGGCAGCGAGGACGAGCATAGCATAGCATGGCATAGCTAGGAGGCAGGACAAGAACAGGACTTGTCGCGCAGTTGCTCAACCGCTTGAGTGTCTGTCCTGGCCAAATTGCAAGTCAGCTCCGGGGCTTTCTGTGTCATGTTTGTCAAATTGAGTGAAGTCCTCATCCTGCTACAGTTTGTTGTTGTTGTTGATATTCATGTGCTGTCCGCAGTCATTCCATTCAGTTCAACTTACGCAGTTACTTTTCACTCGGACCACCCCGGGGTCGGAAACGTCTGGAATGGGACACCGAATCCATCAAATGACTTGCGTGCCCAAGAAAAAGAGAGCCCGAATCGCCGAACCGGAAAATTCTTGCAAAGGAAGATATATACTGAAAACTGAAATTTATGCTATTCAACTTGTTAAAGATCGAATTCGAGGACAAAGAAATATTTAAAGCTCAAATTGTGTTTGAAGCGCAATAGTTTTCTCTCTCTCTTTTAATTTAAAAGTATTAAGTCGAATAAAACCATTAGAAAGTTGTATGTTCAAACAATACTTGTCTTCCAATAAAGTACACAATTTGTAGCTAAAATATTTTGCCTTCCGTCAAAAGCTGAAGTGAAGTGATGGGAAGCAAAGATGAAAAAATGTCGCCTGCGGATAGTTTTTGTCTTGGTTTGTTGTAGTTTCTCCTATAAACTTTTGCTTGACAGCTGACAACAGAATTCTGACTGGTGCAAAACAGTAGAATGAGCAATTCGAGCATGTTTGCATTGTGCTGCATAAAAAGGATTTACAAATAGCTTAAACGTTGCCCTGGCATATTTTGTCATCTTTTGTGGCAGCAAGCAAGCCAGGCAAACTATCTGCCTTCGAGCTGCTCCTTTTGCTCCATCATCTTGCAGCATTATGAGTCACTTTCGCTAAATAGTCCACAATGTTAACCAAGCATTATGACAATGATTATTTCTAGCTACAACGTTTAAGAATGCGACTCAAAGCGAAATTTGAGAAATAACATACTCTTCAATACAGATACAGAAATGAAAATGTATGCTTGATGTTTTTACAGTTTTCAATAATTAAATTAATATTTTCTATTTTTTTTTACCAGGAAATTCAGAACAGAAATTAAACATTAAGCCAAGTTATTGAATTATTAGTCCATTAAAATAGCGAAACGCTAAAAGCAATAATTGAAAACAATTCTTTACCTTCACTTTCGGTTTCGACATCCTGATTATTCACACTTAAGCGAAAACTTTCAGATAGTTCTCCTTAAAGCTTGTAAAATGTACACAAAATACAATTACTCGGAAACACGAAACAAGCATTAAAACATAAAACAAAGTACACAATAAACTCTTTTGAATTTTGAAAAAAAAAAAACCAGAAACAGAAACAGAAACTAGACTAGAGCTCTACGCAATCTTAATTGTCATAATCACAGCGAGGGGAGGCACAACACATATACGTACACACATATATATATATATATATACTCTGAAATACTATATGTATATATATATTTATATATATATACAATATGTGTGTGTTAGTTACCATATCCTACCGAGCTGCGTGAAAAATTAAAACGTGACACAAATTACTCGACTCTTTGGGGCACACACTTACTCACACTTACACGCACGCACACACACACTCACACACACACACACATACTAAAATTCCATTAACCGGAGCAGAGGTGTTGCGGGGAACGGGGCTCGGGGCTCATGCTCGACAGCCGCACTGCGTCTGTCCCGAGGGCTTGAAGGCGACGAAACGCCTCCCGCATTTTGTCTACATATGCACATATATAGGTGTGTGTGCGCGTGTGTGTGTGTGTGGATATCTCATCCTCAGTCGCACCTCGGGGGGGCCTTTGTTAATAATTTTTTTGTGCGCGTAGATTTCGCAAGCACGCACATGTTGCAAAGGAGAGGAAGGGCGGCAGAAGGAGCACTAGGCCAGGCCAGGACAGGCCAGTCAACAGGACATCCCCATCAGCCATTTGCATATTAAATGTGGCCAGTGGGAGTGAATATTCCTAAAGCACAAGTCCCCTGTTGTTCGCGTACCGATTTGGTTTCTTTTTCAAACATACATTGTTAAGTACAAAGTGGTAAATTATATTTTTTGTCAAAATAAATCACAACTAAATCGATGGAAATGAATTGGAAATAATCTGAAAAAACATCTATTGTAATATATGTATATTGTAATTGTAATATATTCCTGAAGACTTCAACCACTAGTTACGTATATAGTATTACAGTTATAATAATAAAATAACAATAATTTTAAAAAATACTTGCTTCCATTAAATATTGTTCAATATATACAAATTAAGTAATTTTTTTTTTAAATTTAACCCATATATTTTTACAGTGTACTCGTAAAGATTAGAAACTTACTTGAATCGATTTTGTGAGTCAATAATCTTAGTGCTTGTCAATTGATGTTCTTATTAGCACTGGGTCTCTTCAATCCCTAAAACAATTGCCGCCTGTGCTCCCTGAGGCACCACATACCCCATTCGCCTTCCATTCTCCTATTTTCTTCAGTTAGCAGCGTTTTTTTCACAGTTCGCCACCCCAATTAGCAGCTGCTTAGCTAATTTGAACAACAACACACGATGCTAATGGGGATATAACATCCAGAAACAGAAACAGACAAACACATACACACACACACACACACACTAATACTAACACATATGTGCACTTACCTCGAGGGATGGTTGGATGGCTCCCAGTCACAGTCTGGTTGGGCGGAACACGAACGTTTCGCACGGCGGCAGCAGCGACACTTTTGATGGCTCCACTCTGTGCCATTCTTTTTAGGCAAAAAATCGACTACTCTCGTTTTTGTTTCGCCTGATCATTTGCAGGTGTGCAGCTGCAAATGTTTTTGTTATTGTTGTTGCGATAAATTCAAAGCGGTTAAAATGGTTTCTTTTTTTGGCACGTTCGGGTTTTTTGAATCGAGTTTTCGTGTTGTTTGATACATAAAAAGGGAAGTAGAAATAACATAAGCTCGCGACTCGTGCTGTTATTGTTGTGTTGTTGTTGCCAGAGCAACTTGCAAACAGGGGCAGTCGACAAAAAAAAGCAAAAAAAAAAATTAAATAGGAAAGCAAGAGTCAGGTGTGAGCAAAAAGCGAGCCCCTTTTCACCTGCAAAGCGCGCGCACCTTTAACCGAAAAGTGTAAATAAAATAGTAAAAAACAAAAAAGGTAAGCAATGAAACAGGAAAAAGCAGCAACTACAACAACAACAAGCAGCACACGCACACGCGGAAGAAACAGAAGGAAAATCGAATGAGCCGTTGGGCGGATGGATAGGGATAGAGCAATACGGCAATACGGGGGAGACAGACCACAGAGAGAGATAGAGAGAGATAGAGAGAGAGAGAGAGAGAGAGAGAGACAGAGAGGACGCATACGAGAGCCTGCGACAAAGAGAGGCAATGTCTGCTGCCAATAACAAAAATTCTTTTTGCCTTGCCCTTTTGCCGTTTTTTTTTTGTTTCACTTTTCTCACAGGATGCGGCGTTTTAAATACTTATTCAATTGAGACGCATACATACGTATATATATTTGTACTTGTATATATATTTATAATTCTAACGGAGACCGCACACAGAGATAATTTGACGACGGAGTTGCTTGTTATGCTTATTTAGAGACACTCCAAACGCAGTTTACGTTGTCGTTGTCCAGGCGCGCCAACTGCCTAGCTAAAACTAACTGTAGATTTACGAGAAATCGCACGGCGATACGCACGCTGCTATCTCACCCGCACGTACTGTTATTCCGAATGCGACTGAATGCAAAACGAAACGGAACGGAAACAAGAAACCGCTGCTCGACCAGCATTTTGATACCCCCATTTTACACTGAACGCCAGCAGTTTATGCTCGCATGTATCTAAAGTGTTATTTACATATGCAAACATACACATAGTATAAATTGTAGAACCTTTTCCGATTTGTATATTAAATAAATACACATATTAAGAATTTAAGTGCTCTTATCTACAGCTTTTACATTCCACTGTACATTTGTGTGGGGGTGTATGCTGTTAAAGGCTTATGGATGACACAGCTGTGCTTGCGTTAACAGAGCGCTGCCAATAACAGAATGCCCAACGCTGTTATCTTTTAACACACATATGTAAAATTACAGCTTTGAGTTGCGCGGTCGATTTTAAAATGTGGATATATATATTTTAACTGGGGAACTTTCATAATTCGTTATAAGTAAAGTCAACGTAAGACTTTAACAAATTGTTATTTAATATTGCTTTTATTTATAAGTATTATGTATTAATATTATTTTCTTTTTAAAGAGTTGAACACGATTCGAATAAAAAACTTAATGCTTAAATAGTTTTGTGTCAGACCCTGGAGTTTCGTGGCAAACGATATGCTTAACCAGGAAGTTTTTGGCAACTAAGGCAAAATTGACCACATTCCAAACAGTAAACTAGATTTGATTCGAGTTGCTTTTACATATTCCGCCTACTTTAGACTATAGATAAATTCTTTGGAGCGTGGCCATTATGGCAGTATAAAAATATGATTAGCACTTGGCAGCAAAAATCTATGGGTCGATGAACGATATCATAATGTAGCGTGTGCCCCTAGTTACCAGCAGACCCTCATGGAAATGAGTCAAACGGCCAGGATGCATCAGCATCCAGCCCTTCTTTGTCTCCGTCACGGAGCAGTTGTAGCGTAAAAAGCGACATCCACCGCCCTCATAATCGATGCCAACATTGTTCATCGCAATGTTTATCGTGTACGTGGATGAATCGTGGTGTGGCCGCAACGAGGGCTGCTCATCGGGCCTATAGCGCACCATAAAGTTCATCAGTGAGCGTGGCGGCTAAATAAAAAAAATCAAAAAAAAATATAAATGTATAAAAATAAAAATCAAATTTTTATTTTAGATCAATTCTGGACTCACATTGTGGTAATAGCCGGTAAAGATGCGCTCCTGCAGCGGACGCACAAACATTTGCAGGAACTTCAGATAGACCTGATCGAGTCCCACCTGACGCATATGGATATCACGTGTCGGCACCGCCTCATAGCCGCCCTCCAAACGTTTGTCCTGGTTCTTGCCTTCGGACCATTTGCCAAACGCCTCCATTATGGCGACCAAGTCATCGCAAAACGCATCTGTCACAATGTGCAACCAGTAGACATCTGGACACGGCTGTGGTATAACCATGCTCTCGTTCAGCTGCGCCGAATAATTGGGTTGTATATATTTGATGGTCCAATCATAACGATTGCTGAACAACGTATGGAAATCGGGACGAACAACGGTGCTATTGAAATTCTCTGCATTGACCAAGTGGCCGAGATAACGTTGATTGCTCACATACATGAAGATGCCCTAAAGATGATATAAATATATATATATATATATAGTTAGTAGAGTTATAATATAGTATAGTAGTAGTATAATAATACTAAATTTGCTGTTTAATATTCCTTTTAAGCAGGAAAAATTAATTATTAATAGTATGTACAAAAAAAGTCAAATATAAATTAAACTGAAAGAAAATCAAACTTTTGAACAAATAGTTCGAATATCCGAAATAAATATATTAACCAATTACTTACCGCATCTCGCAGTGATTTGCTCAGGGCCATATCAGGGTCGAATTCGTTGTGATCAAATTTGATAGCATCGAAGGCGCTACGCTTGATCAGATAAATGGTCGTCACATGTGGCACATTGAATATGCCTCTAAAAAAGCGAGAGAAAGAGAGAGATAGATATATATATATATATATAATGCGATTATGGACTATGTGTAGGTTTCACAACAATGTTGTTGTGGAAATGGAAAGTAGCGAATACAGCGAAACAGACTCGATTAAATTCAATTTGAGCATTTGAACAAACAAACAAAGAGCACATTTGTCAGGGGGCTACCCTGAACGCAGTGTGTACAAAACATTCGCCGCTGGCATACGAGGATAAACGGATCGCTATCGGATTCGCAACGATTTAAAATGACCAGCATCTGGTTTAACCAGTGCTGGCTGCTGTTGCTGCTGCTCTGCCATGTGCAGGCACAAAGTGAGTGATCGACAGATCATCCAATCTCTCACAATCTCTCTATCTCTTTAACTGTCTCTCTCTCTCTCTATCTGTCACTCTTTCTCTCTCTGTCACTCTCTCTCTGTCTGTCTCCTATAGGAAGCACCGGTGGACGCAATGTTCTGCGTCGCAATTATACGGGCAAGAAACCAGTTGTCATCCAGCACAGATCACAGGATGCCGTCAACTACTACGATCATGAGAATGTAAGTTACCCCCACAAAAAGGAACAAATATTTTTAAAATAATAAGCGTATCTTTGTGATCAGGGTGCCAAGATAATAAAATCATCACACTTTGAACTGGATTACACTTTGGGCCGCAAGATAACATTCTTCTGCATGGCACAGGGTGAGTAAAAATTCAAAAATATACACATAAAATGAACTTGGAGATATCGACGCCTCTATTTGCAGGTAATCCACGTCCAACAATAACCTGGTTCAAGGATGGGGCCGAATTGTATCAGCATCGCTTCTTTCAGGTGTGTTTGTGTGTGTGTGTTTGCACAGAGAGAAATTCGTTGGCAGTTTCAAGGGAATTGATTGGTTTTCTTCTTTTTTTTTTGAAGGTACACGAAACGCATCCGGAACCAGAAATAATTAAATCAAAAATGGAAATCGATCCAACAACACAAATGGATGCAGGTTAGTAAGAAATCGAAGAAACGATATTGAAAATAATATATATATATATATGTTGAATATCTAAATGTGCATATAACTTTCATATTTGTCGCTATTTATTCACTATATCTTTTTCACTTTTAGGCTATTACGAGTGCCAGGCGGACAATATATATGCGATTGATCGTCGAGGCTTTCGCACGGATTATGCCATGGTTAATTTTTAAGAGCCTTTCAATTTTTGTGTCTGCTTTTTTTCTACACTAATCGCAACTCAACTGATTTTGCAAATAAATGACAATAAAGTTTGGAATTTTTTTTCTTCGAAAATTCAAGTGCGTTTCAAAACACTTTTTGCGCTTCAATTTCAATTTCAATTAAGTTGATTTTGTGTTCTCGACCATTCGTCAGATTTTGTGCTCTGCCCTGTGGCTGTGTGGTGTGGTTTGGGGTGGTGTTGTTTGGGGTGGTGTGGTGTGCGTAACCGACAAATTGTCTCAATTACCCTATTTAAACAATTTTTTTGCATTTATTTTATTAAAATGTGTGCAAGCAAAATAAGCAAACAAACTGTTGCATGCAAATAAACAACAGTTATGCATAGTCTGACATCTATTGCACAGTGGGACAAATGTTTGCGAAAATATATTCAAGTTCTAGATCTCAAAGAACTAAAATTTGAAACTTATAAATTTGAATGAAAACTATCAAATACCATAAACAAATTTGAAGACAAACTATCAATATATATCAGCAACAATAAATAATATTTACGAACATAACTGTTAAGCATTGAATACAATAAAAATCAGCATCAATAAATCATATTCACAAACATAACGAATATATTTGAACAAATGTTTTCGGTATACTTGCACCACTGTGCACCACAATTCAGTTTCACCGAGTGGGCAAATCAAATCAAACGAAATTGAGAGAAATATGTAATGTGGACAACCTGTGGAGCTGCAGCTGAGTCTAAAAAAAAAAAAAAAAATATCCGAAACGAGAACCAAAGCCTAAAAAAGCGAATCACCCTGGCTGGATAAAATGCGAGACCCAAGCGACGCCGCCAATTGTAGCAAATTAGATGGATGGAGATGAGATGAGAAGATGCCAGAGCGAACAGCTGCCCAATCAGTTGCCGCACAGACGAGATTCGCACAGCAACGTGGGCCGCTGTTTGTTGTGTGTGTTGTGTTCAACAAAATAGGATGCAAGTGAAATGCCTGCTAATCTGCATGGGCCTGAGCCTGGGCCTGCTGCTCCTAATCGCACCAGTGGGCGAGGCGCGTCGCGGCCGTGGACGTGGACGCACCAAGTCGCGAGTACAGATTGGTTTGCCCATAACGGGCAAGTATCGTGATCCCGAATCGGATCAATACTATAACAATAATAATGTGAGTGTTGCAAATTGTGCACACAAAATAATTTACTCAAAATAACAACAACAAAACAATCTTTCGTTGGTAGGGTGCCAAAATCTTGCAGGCCTCGCACTTTGATCTCGAGTACGTGCTGGGCCATAAGATAGCGTTTCTGTGCGTCGCCAAGGGTAATCCCCGTCCGCACATCACCTGGTACAAGGATGGCGCCGAAATCTATCAGCATCTTTATATGCATGTGCACGAATGGCGCATTGGCGATGATCGCGTCAAGTCCAAGATCGAAATCGATCCGGCGACACAAATGGACGCCGGCCTCTACGAGTGCACCGCAGACAATATGTATTCGATTGATAGGCGCAGTTTCAAGACAGATTTCTCCATTGCCTTCGATTAAGCGACGATCTACTCTCATGTGCCCATTTCCATAAGTTTAAGCAATAAATTTGTTTGTAGCCCCGTAGAAAGATGGCTGCTTGTTTTTTGGTTTTTGGCTTACATTAGATCCCGCTTCACAATGTCCACGTAGTCGTGGGAGCGTGCATAGTAACCGTTCTCGGAGAGCGCACCCCAGAAATTGCTCCACAGCTCGTGATATTTGGAGAAAACGGGCGCCGCAAATTGCCTGCAACGATTAATTTGCTTTATATTATTTGCTTTGATTGAGTAACCATCGAGTGGCAGACTTACTTGTTCAACCGGAGCAGCGCACGGAGCAATTCGCGATCATCGATATGTGCATCCCCATCCACATAGAAAATGTAATCGCTGCGTTGCAACTTGGCTTTATCGCTGCCAAAAAATAAATGGGTATTCGTCAGTCAATAATTTAATACTTAATTAAATACAAATAAATGTTAGATAAATGAATTACTTTCGAGAGTAGAACTACTCTTTAGGCTTTTAAATTTTAATCATATACTCATCAACAACTGGAAATATACTCACAGAGCCAGCTGCCTGCCTTGACGTTCATCCAGTTGATCCGTGGAGAGGACAAATTTGACGCTGGCATAGCTCTTGCCTTGCTTGTTCACATAGGACGTGATGAGGTCGTCGTGGAGAGCAGCTCCGCTATAAATGAACAGATGCAGATTCTTTTTGGGATAGTTGAGCTTCTCAATGCCGGCGAGGAACAGATCGAAGAAAGGCACCGGTTGCGGCACCATCACAGCCAACGTAATAATTGGCAAATTTTGTTCCTGCCAAGAGGAAACAAAAAGTTAGCAACTCATAAAGGAGCCATAAAGATCACACATACATCCAAATCGAGGAGATACTCCATGCAGACGGTGCAGATGCCGCTAAATGTTTTGGCCAGATAGTTGCCATAGGCATTCAAATCAACCTTGCTCAGCCCATTGCCATGAATGATATTGGGCTTGGTCAAGAAATTAACGTTCTCCAGTATGCCCTGGTTGCTGTCCAGATCCACTCTCAGTTTCACATCATCCTTGGCGCCATGAAGATTCTGAAACAGTTTCGACTGCGTGTCCAGCTTCATTCCCAGCTTGGCACGCTTTGTCTCGTCGAGAAACACTTTGGTGTAGTACAACTGATCATCACCAGTGTCCTCGATGAGCTCCTCCAGCAGCGCATTCACCTGCGGCGCATAACCAATGAAGGCGCCTGAGTTCAAGTAACGGGACTCCTTGCCCCCCACCTCGGGATACTGATTGGCCAGACTCTTGTCGGGCCAACAGTATTTCTCGGCCGAGAAGAGCAACTTCGCGTCGGATTCCTTAAACTTTTGCAGAATCTCCTCGAGCGTAGATGTGATGATGACATCGTAGCTGCAAAACAACTCATATTAAATTCCATTTAAACAAAATTAACGAGCAATTTCTCACCTGTCCGTAAACAAGATAATGGTATCCTCAGCATCCTTAAGAGGCTCAATTGCTTTGCGCAGCAGATTAATCTTAAAGCCACCGCCAGCACTCTTCATATCGCCTCCTTTCCATTCCTCGCCCATGCCAAGAGTGGTCACCTGTTATGGCAAAAGACACCGATTCATTTAGAATATAATATAAACACAGCTTATATAAAAACTCAAATGTTTTCTTGAATTGATTAAGAGCCAGAAGGAACTTTAAATAGTTCAGATTTTAGGCAGTGCAAGAGACTTGGTAAAAATTTATACAGAGAATATTTCTGCTCGCTTGGCTTATTGTATGTATATAAAAAAAATATATATATATATATATATTCTTGAAGAGGAGTCAATCTAGTTGGTAGATGCTTACTTCCGCCTATTGCATACTCATTTATTATACCAGTTGGAACCATTTGCAATAGTTTATAATAGCAATATTTAAATTTAAATATCTGAAACAACGGGCTTACCGACTTTAAACATTGAAAGCATCTTCCAGTAGTCAATTTGCAATTACATTTTAATTCAAGTTTCTGGAACTGATTCGTATATATATACACATATATATGTATATAAGCCTAATATTGCAAAGGCTAAATGGCTAAGTTCACACAATTCTTGAAATACACAAAAATTAAACACCAACATCAAAAAAAGATGAAGCAAAATATGAAATTCAAGCAATGCTTTAGAACAAAAGCCGGCTAACCAGCTTATCAGCCATGTGTTTTTTGCCTTTTCTTTTTTGTTTTTGAGTATTGTATTTCTGTGAACATGATCGTAAGACTATATGCGACATTCACACACACACACACACATATATATATATATATATATGTATGTATGTACAAGAGAGAGAGAGAGAGAGTAATTAACATAAGGGAGCCGGCATTGCTTTTTGGTGATAAGTAAAAGTCATCTAAACAATACATAAACGGAACGTTCCGACTTCTATCAATAGCACTACATAATCGGGAACTGAATTGTGCTAATTAGCCCGGGGCTCTAACTGGTCGATTGGTTAATGCCTATGGACGACGTGATTAAATACACATCCAAATATGTGCCACAAAGTAAATAACGAGACGAGACGAGCAGAGACGACCAACACATGCTGCCCCAGAATAATTCTCAGCCAATCTGTGTGCAGCACATCAGAGACGCAGTCATCTGGAAGCCAGTGCCGGATGCTTGGACATACATACATACACATATATATATATATACATAGAAATACAGACCCAGATACAAAGGCGACAATACATAATAATAAAAGTGTGCCGCAAACCGAGATAGGTCTCGGAAAGAGTTCATTTTCGGGTCAATAGCTTTTTATATATATTACAAATATAATATATATATATATATATATATATATATATATATATATATATATATATATATATATATATATATACATATACATACATAATCAAATGCAAAATAACCACTTAGTTGCTGTTTTAGCAATTCTTAAGTTGCCAACTATCAAAACAAAGAATTTTCAGTGCTTTCTTTCAAGCATCATTTCTCTTGTTTTTTTGTGTTAAGAATTAAATTTAAATTTGCATTGCAAATTTTAGACAATAGATGAAAGAATTTTAACGGTATTTTTGACAAAATGTTATTCATTTCAATATGCCAATATTTAATTCGATAACTCACCTCAATGTCATAGACTTTGGCAGATCGTATATAACGGCGATATCCATCGGTTGGTTCACTGGCCACAGTGAAGACTTTGATTTTATCTGTTCGAAATGCGAAGAATAAATTAAAGAAAAAGAAAAAAAATCGAATTTAAATTAATAGCTTTGATTAATAGATATTAAATTGAAAATATTTGTATGTGCCTTTTGTTACATATTTATATATTTTTAGTTCAAGATGTCCTACAATAAACTTTTAACATTTTTACTTTAAGGTAGACACATTATAAATATACAAATATGAGTTTAAACAAAGAAACAAATTCAAATGCAAAAATAATATAAATTATTTTCTATTTATGTGCTGCTATAAATTTACTTTTTGAACTTTTTACTGTTACTTGTGCGTAATATGGGTCATACACACATATGTACATACATACACAACCCAATTTATGTGTGTCAGGGACACGAAGTCCTGTCGAAATCCTTGGCAAAATGCGCAAAAGGAGAATCCATAAAATTAATAGCCATGTAAAAGAGCTAATTAGAAATATTCTAAGAATTGAAACTAATAATAAAAGCTAGATGGAATCTGTTGCACATCTTGCAGCACTCAGCATTTCCGAGTGCCAACGAACGCGTTTGAGGGGGTAGTGCTGGGAATGGGGGAATGGAATAGAATGTAAACAAAAACCACAAGACAGAGAGATGCACACATTGAGTTCTGTATGGATGTGTGTGTGTGTGTTTGTGAATGCAATTTAATTTTTTAGTGCTTATGTCGTGCTAATTCCAGTGATGAACTCATTTCTCTATATTCTAGAAACTCAATACGAACCATTCAAATCTTTTTTGCTACTTGCAGCTGCATCCGCAACAACTTCGGGTGCAGCATCAACATCTTCGGCTTCAGATTTGGAGTGAGCTCCTTGCACGAACAACAACAACAGCAACGACGCCGAAACGAATAACAAAAACAATGCACTTTGTTTAAGGTTTTGCATGGCGCTTATTTTCTTATAAGCAATAAACACTCAAACTGTTTCACACTGCTTTTAAATATACAATTATTTGTTATAATTGTCGCATATTCTGCGCTGTAAATTGAATTTCAAGCGAATAAAATCCAAAAATACTATTCCGCTGCACAAGCGTACACAACAACGCAGATAGGATGAATGAATGAGTGGAGGGCGACCACGCAGTGTAGTAGTGTTGTAAGACTTGCACAGACAGCGGCCTTAGTTATCGATAAAGATTTATCGAACGATATTAAATGAAATAATTGGCGCACAACTTAAAATTTATTCAGCAAAATCTTCCGCGTGCCGGATTACATATGTAGATACATGAGTGTTGTTAGGGTATAAATGTAATTTAGGATATATATATATATACACAATTAACTGAGCGACAGAGTTAAACAATATATATATATATATATATAGATTCAATGAAATCAGGGTATGCTTAGTTTGCCAGCTTGTCAACGCGTTGTATTGAGCATGTACACATCTATATTGTCTTATTTGAACAAATTGTATCAAAAATAAATTGACAAATACAAAAACAAACAAAATGAAAAACTCTTCAACTAATCAATTTATCATCATCTTCATCATCATCTTGTATCGGAGGTGGTATCAGTTGCGATGCTGGAGGTATGTAAATCAACAAATTTGGACAGCTCCTTTGCGACTACAGCATGCCAAATCCCTTGGAGTAGTTGATTGCCTTTAGCAGTCGCTCTTCCAGTTTCTCCTTGCTGCTGTACTCCGGCAGCAGCAGCACATTGAAGCAAGTGTGCGAAGTGGGCAAACGATCGCTGTCCGGTCCATGGCGCGTTATCATCAGCCGCAAACATTTCAGGCCGCCAACGGGCACCCGGTCCGAGCCCGTCGTGAACTCGAGCAGCTTGCGCTTGGACTCGTGCGGCATGGCGTGCACAATGCTCCAGAAATCCTGTACAATTTGCGTTTCCTCCGTGTAGCCACCCTCGTACTCTGTCGAGTGTTCTAGCTCCACAAAATCGAACTCCTGCAAAATGCACAAACACACACACACAAAACAATTATGTAGACGAAAAAGAAACGCAACTATTCCATTAACTTACGCGGCTGCCGCAAACAAGCTTCTCTATCTCCTCGGGTCGGAAGAGTAGCTTTAGTGGCGACTCATCGGTAACCATTTCGAAACCTTTACGAAAGGCATTAAACTGCTGCTGTATGTTCACGTTGAGCAGAAAATCGCTGTACAGATTGACAAACAGCCGCTTGTTATGCTGACCCACAAGCACCTCGCTGCCATGCGGCACCAGTTCGTGTTCGACCAGCTCGCCAAAAACATTGCTATAGCTGATCTTGAATGTCTGTTCGAACACCTCCTCCATGTCGTGACCCTGGTAGTCCAGCATATCATTCAAACTCTTGTACAGCGTCGGACTCCAATCGGAAAGATCGTAAAAGGTGCCACGATAGCCCATCAGTTTCCGATAGACGACCATGGGAAAGTTCACAGCCAGGATGACATTGTTGTAAATGGCCAGGCCAATAATAATGCCAATTAGCGTGAATTGTGCGCCATTCTCAAAGGGAGTGGCATTGAACCTATAAACGTCACATATGAATTAATAAACTTGGCAATTATTAATATCTTCAATGATAAATTGGTAATATTTGCTCACCACATATTGTTGGTCTCCTCCTCCTGCACAAACATGCCAAAGGCTGGATTGAAAATCTCCTCAACGATCAGTTGAAAGAATTCTTTGGATACGCCGCCCTCATCGATGCCCTGCTCACCGACAAACTCCACAACGAGCTGTTTCTTCAGATCCTTGGGATTGCTCATCGCAACCAATTCCAGCTGCAAAATCAAATTATACAATTATCTCCAAAATATATATTACTGCTGCCGACTGAATCTCACCCCGATGAGTGCATCGTTGATTAGTTGATCGCGTCTCACTGTGAGCTTGAGATCGGGCCGTGCTCCTTCCTGGCCATCCTGGCCGTAGTTATGGAGTATCGAATAGAGCGAGGAGTAACGTTCGCTATACATCCGCATGCGACAGTCATAATATAAAGCATCCACCTTGGTGGCAGGCGTTAGGATGAAGGCGTACAGCATGAAACAGAAATAGTTGGTGTGACTGGAGCCCAGTTCGCTCTCCATGGCCAGCGTTTTGTATGACAGATAATCTTGATGCATCTGGATGTGTTCGCTAAGCGCCTCGTTGTAGAACTCCTCGAGCGGCACAAGTGGGCTGCGACAATCGATGAACGATACCTTTAAGAATTTCTCGAGCGGATCCTCAGCAAACTTCGGCATATGCGGCTGCTGCAATGAGCTATAAGCAAACAGATCTTCGCCCTCCTCGTTGGCGGCCGCAGCAGCAGCGGCGGCTGCCTCGCTCTCGACCACCTCCTGCAGTGGCAGCCGGCACGAGGGTCGCTCCAGCACACTGGCCAGTATGTTGGCATAGAACACAATCTGTGCGAAGGGAAGTTAAATGAATCCATCAAATGGATGGCTGCTGGAGGGTGGACTCACCTTCAGCACTTTGGTCAAGCTTATGATATGCGCATTCTCGCGCACACCCTCCTCGTTGAGGAGCACCAGGAGCGTTATCTGCTGTTGGCAGGAGGACAACAGCGACTGCAACTGATCCGGACAATATTCGCCCCATATTAGCGCCAGACGGGCTTGCGCCTTCACTGGAATCGTGGCAGTCGCATGGCACAGTCTTGGCAACACTCGATCTAGATACTCCATGTCCGTAACGCTATTGTTGGCCGTCGCTAAAATATAAATATAATAAAATAAATATATCTAAATAAATGTAATACTGAAATGGGTTCTTCTCACTGTTGGTGGCCATGTCGAAGCAGATGACAAGGCAATGGATGGCCTGCTCCCAGGAGAATGTCTCCCACGTCTCCTGCCTGTAGCTGAGCGAGCGAATTAACTCCGTTAGCTGGATGACGCTATTTGTCAGATTCTCGGAAATGACTTGACAGGGTGCTCCAAAGAGCAGACGCTTGATGCGTCGCAATCCGAGAAAATCGATTTTAATGCCCCTATGTAGAAACTTGTCGTTTAGCTCGTGTTGCGATGGATCCATTGGCTCATCCTCATCCTCCTCGTCTTCAACGTCGTCGCTATCGTTATCGCCATGTGTATTCTCGGTTTCATTTAGTTCAGCATCCTCGTTGCGATATTCGTGAACCGTTTCCGTTTCCGTTCGCGTCTCCACTCTTTGTGTGCTGTCCTCATCCTTGTCATGCTCGCCCTCCAGCTGACGCAGCTGCTCCTTGTTCAGCGTCTTGGTCGATTTAGCCAGCAGATGTCGTCGCTCCTGACCAGGACGACACCTGAAACTCTTGCTCAGCCGTTCAACGCTGGAGAAGACATGACAAATGGCCGATTGCAGACGGTCGTAACTATCCGCGGCGACGCACTCCTCGTACAACGCCTCCAGCGTATCAGCGTCAAGGAACTCGGCCGGTGTCAGGGTCGGTGTGCGAGCACCCGAATCATTGCCACTCGATGTTGCCGGTGGCGTCTCTGATGTCTCTGGCTCCGCCTCCGCATCGGGCTCAGATTCTGCAACTGCAACTGTATCCGCATCGGTAGCTGCTGTTGTTGTTGTTGCGGGCGTTGTCAATTGCAGCATATCGATGAGCATTGGCGGCCTTTTCTGTGGCTGCGATTGGGATTGGGTGCTGGTTGTGGTTGTGGTGCTGGCAGAGGTGATGGTGCTGGTGGAGCTGCTGCTGCTGCTGCTACTGCTGCTGCTATCATTTGGCGACAACATGTCCACATCCTGGTGTGGACTGCAAATCGAATGGTTGGATTGAATTTGATTAGATTTGACGTGTGACTTGGAACTTACCTGTTAGCTGCTGGCGCCAGCGACGGCGTCGGACTATTGCACAATTGTGCGTCCTGTGAGAGGAGCTGGAGTGCTCGTGCCGCCACCTCGTTGGGTGTCATGGGCGCCACCTTGCCACTGGAGGCGCAATTCGCATTGCTGCACTGGGCATTGCCACAACCCGACTGCAGCTGATGGAAATAGCGCTGTATCAGATTACGCACCGCAGAACGTTTCATCTCCGGTGTAGCACGCCCATTGCCACCGCCAGTTCCTGCTGTTCCAGCTCCAACCGTTCCTGCTGCTCCAGTTCCAGTTCCAGCTCCAGCTGTTGTTGCTTCCCCTCCACCCTGCAGTGCTGCTGCCGCTGATGAAGTTGAGGCGCTGCAAAGTAGAAATCATTTTAGATATATATATTTCTCTAGAAATTAATTCAGTTTATTCGATTGAGGCTCTCTCACCTTGAGACGCCTGGCAACGGCGCCTTCTGTTGCTGCTGCTCATGTTCCTCGCCCCCGCCGCTCATTGAGCGTCCGTCTCTCTCTCTCGGTCTGTCTGCCTGTCTGTGTGCTCCCTTTGGGATCAAAGCGCACTTAGCTGTTGTGCTGTGTGGCGTGCAACACTTGTCGCGCCTGTTTTGCCTTTGTTTGTGTGCCAATTTCCCAACGCAAAATATATATATATATGTGTGTGCACACACACACGCACAACCAAAAGAAAAAGGGTGCAAAAAAATCGATGTCGATGTCCCTTTTCTTCGCTGGCAATTGTTGTTGCTGTTGTTGTTCCTATTGTTGTTGGTTGCCACTACTTGCGCATTTTAGCAACGTCTACTGCATGACACTTGAAATTCACAGTGTTTTCACTATTTAACAACTACGCATAACATAATATATGTACGCCTTTTTGATATTTTAACAAAAGTTGTGTTTTTAGATCAGAACAGAGTGCCTTTAATATTGAAAATCATCAACAAGCAGTGTTGGTAACGTTTGCAACATGTTCATCATCTGTGTTGCGAAATGACTTTAGATGTCTATCGATTTGGCGCAATTTATTTCTCATTCTCTATCGATTTTAAGTATGATAGTTTTAAGCGAAAACGGTGTGTTTGAGAATTTTGCTTTTGGCAAGCGATTATTCTAAATATGTAGCAAGTATTGCTTTAAAATTTAAAATAAAACATTATTTAATAAACAAATATTTACATTATATTATATGTATCTGTATTTACAAAGTAAATTCTATTATTGAATTTTGTTTACTAGTTTTGAAAAGTAAGTTTCCGAGTACTTGGCACCTTAACACAAAAATAAATCGTAAATTATTTGGCTATTTAAAAACGAAACAAATTTGTAGGACTGAGATATCAATTTTACAAGGTAAAACTGGGTATCTCACATTTGTTTCTCGCAGTGTACCGTATAATCGAACCAGTGTTGGTAAGCAGTTGCTGCCACACCGTCTGACGACTGTTTTTATCAGCTGTAACTCATTTGTCGTGTGCTAAAACATAATAAGAACAACGACGAAACGAAAAAAAGGTAGAACGACGAGCGCCAGCAAGGAAAACGAATAGATAAGAAATAAGAAAAAGACAAATCACAAAAGTCAGCAAAAGGACACACACATAACTAATTGCAAACAACATGAAATGGTGCAAAGGCAACAACAACTGACTGCGACAGGTAAACAAACAACAACAGCGACTCCAACGGGAGGATGACGTCGACAACGACAACGACGACGACGGAGAGTGGCAACTGTCAGTTGCAGCTGCAGCTGTGTGTGCGTGGGAATGTTGCATGGCAGGAGCTACCTGTCCATTTGCGCTCCGTGCTGCACAACAATCAGCGCGACTATGAGAAATACGTGTTCAACTACAGCTTGAGGAATCAGTTACGTTTCCGCGGCAATCTCGCCTCGAAGGTGTTCCGTCAGGAGCAACGCTACTACGAACTGCTTATCCAAAAGAATATCAATAGCCTCGGCGTCTTTCCCTATCATCTGGCCGACATTGTGACGAAAGGATTGCGTGTGACACCCTTCAATTATTATCTGGATGTGCTCAGTCAGCTGCTGCGCAGCGATAAAAGCTATGACACTTTACCCAATTTTACAGCGGCCGATTGTCTCCGTGTCCTCGGCATTGGACGCAACGAGTATTTGGCACTGATTAGCGAACTGAAGACGCATACGCCGAGAACGCTGCTGTTCAGTGGCAAGCCAAATCCGTTGGACTATTTACCGAGACTGCCGGTGCGCGTTCACATGGAGCCCTGGTGGCGTTTGGACATTGGCTATGTCCTTGAAACGGATATACGTCTGGTGACGCCCGGTGAGCGTAGTTTGCTCGATGATCTCATCGATTTTGGTGCACAGCCGACGGGCAAATGTGATTATCATGTCGTCCAGAGTCTCTATCGCAAGGGACTCATCTATTTGGATGTGCCCATCAGCGGTGAGGATCGCATTTCCATACCGCCATTGCGTAATTTTGTCATGAATCGTGTGAGTGGCGATTATTTTGAGAATTTACTCTACAAAATCTTTGTGAGCGCCGATGAGCACATGACCATTGCGGAACTGGCGCAAATGTTGCAACTGGAACTGGACAGCGTTAAGCAGGCGGTTAGCTTTATTTGCCGGCTGGGCTTTGCACAGCGCAAGCACACAGATCATGAGTCCGGGCAATATCATCCCAGTTGGGCAGACAGCAACGAACAGGAGTTGCCACAGACGCCACAAATCACGCCGCTCAACTACAATATGTATGCCAGTGGCAGCAATTTTGACTTGCAACAGCAGCAGCAGCAACAGCAATCGAGTCCCAAGAGTCCCAAAACGCCAAAGCAGGAGAAGGATAAAGACAAAGATAAGGATAAGGATAGTAGCTCCATTGGTTATCTATCCTCGGATGGCAATACCAGTGACTTTAGCTTTGCCAACATTACCACGCCCACGGCACCGAATAACAGCAGCAACACCACCAACAACAATAACAACAGCGATGAGCAGGAGCTTAGCTCCGAGCTGGAGGATGGCAGCGAGCGCACGACAACCACAAAAGCCAAACAACAAACAGCAGCAGCTCAATCCCAATCATCCGCCAAGAGTGGCAAACGCGTTGGCTTCCTCTTCGATTCGACGCTGACGGCATTTCTGATGATGGGCAATCTGTCGCCAGGCTTGAAGAATCATGCCGTCACCATGTTCGAGGTGGGTAAATTGTGCGAGGAGAGCTTGGACAGCTTTTTGGCTGAACTGGAGCAGGTCTCGCTGCTGGATGCCGAGGGTGAAGGCGATGTTTCACGCTATTTTGCACACGCCGTCATCCTACGTTCGACGATCTGTTCGCTGCGTCCGCTGTTGCCCGGCGGCTTGGATCTGTTGCGTCTGGAGTGTCTCGAGGGTCTCGATTGGCAGACACGGGATCGTGTGCTCGAGAAGAAGTACAAGCTGATCATCTCGGCAACGCCACTGACGGCCACCCTAAGTCACATGTTCAGCATTCCGTTCTTTGGACAATTTGTGCGCAGCTCCGATGCGACACCCATGTGGAGCAAGCTGTTCTACAATCATATCACTGGTGAGTTTGGCGGTTTATATTTATATTCATATTGAAATTAATCAAAAATTTATAATATTAACAGCAGTAGGTAAATACTTGGATACAGGGTATATCCTAGTCCAGTTCTCTCTAGTTTTTCGATTATATTTATTTTATATATTATTCTATTGACACATGAAATCTGAATCAGATTTTTCACACTTTGCTTTTCTTTCACAGGCTATGGTCCGCCCAGTTTGTTGTTGTGCCGGGGCACGGTGCTTAAAACGCTGCCACGCCTCTTTCTGGGCTATGGCAAGCTACTGGTGAACATTCTGCATTCGGATGCGTATGTGCTCAACTCGGAGAACTTTCGCAATCTGAACGACCAGCTGAAGAACGGCTGTGTCCTGCTGCAGGGCTACGGGATACGCACCGCCGGCCAGCTACACTATGAATCCTTTCCATTCCACGCAACCGATGCCAGCCAGGCCAAATGGGCCAATCATCGTGCCGTACAGAAACTGGCCGAGCATCTGGATTTGCGCCATCAATGTGGATACATCACATTCCTGAACACGGGCGTGCCCGATCTGGGCTGTGAGGACTACGAGCTGCAGGTGAGACTGAAGCAGCCGCAACGGAAGCGACCCAACACCAAATCAAATCATGTGCCAAATGATCTGTTGACCAGTCCCGATGAGAATCATTTTGCTGCCACGCCGGAGCATGGACCGGCCAATGATTACACATCGTCCGATTGCGGACAGTTGTTGGCCAGCGAATTGGCCAAATGCACTGACAACAGTCGCGTAGAGCTGCTCTCGCAGAGCTCCGTTGAGTTGCCCATCGGTGATGGTGCTGAGCCACTGGCGGCTGAATCGCCGTCGCCGGAATTGTCCGGCGTCGAGGATTGGACGCTGTTGGATGTGAATTTTGGTGTGCCGCTCTTCGATGTCGATACGAATACGCGGATCTGTGAGCAGCTGGTGCATCGTCTCTGCAGCGATGATAATCTGCGCCAGCTGCCCGCCAGCGGTCAGCATACCCAGCAGCTGTTCCTCGAGTTTGTTCGTCAGTGCATGCACTTTGAGGAGGAGCAGACAGCGACACAGCTGCGTGAGCCACTGCAGCCGACAAGAAACTTACCGCATCCACGCATCAATCTGGCATTTGAGAATGGACGTGTCGGCTCGTGGAATGGTCGTTAAAATGCCGACGACAACCTATTGTATTCCAGCGAAATCCAGCATTCAAACATTCCAGCACTCTCAGCTTACAAGTATTTTGTATTTTTTGTATGTATATCCAATCTTTTTATCAGTTGGGCCTTGTACAGTTCGAGCTAGCCAAGATATTTATATAAAAAAAACAACAACAACAACAAAAACAAGGAAAAAAATACCTTATCAACAATTAGTCAGCTTATTAGTTCTGTAGAATTGTGCAATATGCAGTCAGAGGCAAGATACCCAAACAAAATAACCAAAACATTAACTGTGTATGTGTTTCCAAGTTATTTTAACAACAAATTACATATGTATGTATGCATATATATATATATATATATATATATATATATATATATACATTCCAAATGAACAGCGCTGCAGTTGTGCACTGCAATCAGATTTTTATGTTGAAATCAGTCAGCTCAGATAATTATAACATGTTTTATTTATTTTAGCTGACATTTAATACAATTAATAAACGTTACCAGCTGACAAACCGTGTCGTATAATGCAAGTTTAATTAATTTCGATAAGTTTGAATCATATATGTTTGAAGCTGTCATCCCATAAAATAAATCAGAAGATTTTAGCGATCCTCGTGCAGTTTCTGTTATTCCCACAAATAGCACAGCTAAGTAGTCTTCTTTGTGGAGTTTAGACTTTGAACATCCAAAGATCTTCAAATGTTGTATAGATTCTGGTTTTTATATCCTACAATTTTTATCGGATTAGATAAAATATAAAATTTGTTATGATAGCAGTGCATATTTATTTTTACAATTTAAAAATACAAATCATATTTTATATTTTAGCTGGGTGTATTTCTAACATCGCTAAGCCAAACTATGCCATTCTATCTCCTGGTATCGGAACTACCATTTATTGTTAGAATATGACATCATATCTGTATCATTGTCACTGAATCCACGTCAACTCAGTTGATATTTCGCCATTCAAGTTTTCCAGATTATATAGACTTCATGGTTGATTCTCTGATTCGCTGCTAGATAAATGTCCATTCAGGAGCTGCTGTCTCAGAGTCACATATAGCATCATATAGCAGGAACTCCAAAGGCTGTGTAATCTATTTCGGGTTTCCCATTTCAATCTGCCAATTTCATTTCACTTTTTTTGATATCGTTTTGCAATTTATATATTTGTTGGTTCTTTTGGTTTTCTATATATTTTAAAAACACTTATCTTATCTGTAATTGGGTTTACAATGTGTTAACTTGACTTCGACGACGGCTACAATAATAGCGCATGTACTCAAATATGGAGCGCAGAAAAATGAAATAGAATAGTTCAGAGATAAAAACAACGCTGAAACCAAACATGAGACTCATAATGCCGCCAGTTAAAGCTAAAAAGAAATGTTAAATATATCTATATATATATATATATATATAGGTTTGTATGCATTTTAATGGTAACTTACACATATATTCTGTGATCCCCGTGTAGGATGATCTCACATTGCTGCGAAAGTAATTGTCATCGTGATAGAAATTGACAATGGCCAGATTCGTGCGTATATAATCTGTGGAGTAGTTCTTAAAGTATTCGTTTTGAACCTTAACGCCCCGCTGATTGAATGGTATGGTGGGTATAGAAAACGGATTCGGAAAGTATTGGATATCATGGCAGCTGGGCAGGCAGAGCTCCTTACACACCGTACTCTCACCATCCACAATTTCCGTTTCCGCTCGCTCCACACAATCGAAGTGAGACACATGGCACACGGTTGCATTGCGATAAATCAATGGCAGATGAAATGGTATGCAGTTGCAGAGTTTCACAAAGTGATCGGCATCGCATTCGGCCTCACAATTTCGGCGAGTGTAGTATTTGTAGAAGAGTAGTTCCTGCTCATCGCTAAATATGCATTGGCGCCGCTGGCGATCGATGCCACGTATATTTGCAACGGCCTCATAACTATTCGGCACGATCCTATAGTTAGTTTCGTGTCCAAGCATTATCGGTAGACCCGATTCCTTCAGACGCGCCTGATCGATTGAGTTATACATGAGCATCTGAAATAAGTCAAGCTTGAACTTGAAAGCATTTCCAAACATTCCAATGCTATAATCCCTTCAAAACTAATCCGATCTAAACATAATTCTACATTTCGATTAGAAATCGCGATTCTAGATTGATATTGATGTTAAGATTCTAAGAACATGATTTTCTGCTTTGTATACCTTAAATCCTTGTCCATTTGTGGATGAGCAGTAATAGTCATCTACATGGCCGTTGAGTACGATTTGTAGGCCATTTGCAATACCAACACCGATGCCACGTCGTGGATAGAAACCAGCTGGCAATTGCTTTGGATAACCACGGATTGGGTGCCAATCGATGGCAATATCCGTGAGTCCGTTCGACGAGGTGTAATCCCGTATCGTGGTCGCACTTTAATCATGCATGTATCACATATTAAATTGTAATCTTATCACTTTTGTGTGTTGTTTTGTGGTTTACCTGTGCTTGTACAGATAATACGGATGAAGAATATTGAAGACACAGCAGATGCCCTCATCAACGAGAAACTCCCGAAAGAGATCGGTACAGGGAAACGATTTCTGTTCGAAAATGCAGGAGACAATCATTTCATCGCATTTGTGCGAAACGTTCATAATAAAATTGGCAAACGTATCCTTTTTAGTATGCGGCTTAACATATCTGTACTGCGTATAATTGTAGTCCTGTGAGCAAGTCTTCTGCAGCATCGCATACTCCAAAGTTCCACTGAAAAAGGTTCCAAATTTAAATGTACAGAATAAATACATTCGTAAGCATTCTTCTCTTTATTGTTTACGGTTGAAAGTGTGCCACTTTTGAGTTGATTGCTTTGTTCATGCTGCACACAGTTATCGCTGGAAAGGGTATATCCTGTATGGGTGTCATCGTTGAGCTAATACCGATGATAACTGGCGTACTCTCCCATTTGTTGAACACATTCAATGCCAGATTGATGGCCACACAGAGCACGATTAGAAACACTTTGCCAAAATACAATTGCACCCAGCCGTGCAACCGACTGTCCCAAACATATTTCAATCCGTGCAACGATGTGGTACTTAGGAATTCCTTTGACCTTCCCTTCACACTGTGCCACAAAGTGTTGGGCAGCGATGATTTCTTGACAACCATTTTGGGAATACTACTGCATAGCTTGGGCTCTTATATAGTAGCTGGAAATTACCATTCGATGCAATTACTTAATTGATTTCCATTCCACAATTGGTCAAATGTAATTGGAGCTTTTCTTTAATGACTTTTCTAATTATGATGCACAAAAAATCTATTTAGCTTAAGTTGACCTAGAGTCAGCAAAATACCTAACGCGTTTTTTCAGGCAAGCCGAGGAGTAAAATATCCTTGTAAAATTGACAATGAGTTTGGTTTGAATATGTTTCCTTGTATAAAAAAATGTTAATATGCTCGAAGTCACCCGTTAACCAATGGTTTCCATGAGTTGATCATTTATTTATTTATCATATATCAAGCAGACATTTTTAACTAGAGAAAAATTTAGTTAGAAATATCAATATCAATTTTTGAGTGAAGAATGCTCTTTTGGCAGGTTGTCAAATCGTAACCGGAAGCGCAACTTTACCGATTCAAATTCAGATTCGGAAATGAAATTTGATATATTTTTCAAAGCATTACCGAGTACAGATAAAATATGGAAACAATTGCTAACCTTTACCAAAACCGGAAATTAAATATGAATCGGTTTGGCTTGGACTCAAATTCATCTAAACGATTAATTATAGAAAATTCATTGATAAGCTTTGACCAAATCCCAAATGAAGTTGAATTGAGAAAATATAAATAGTGGACAAATATGAATTTAATCACAATTAATACAGTTTGCTTTGCATTTACATATGGCTTCCATTGCTTTCTATTACACTATAAGCTAAGAGATGATGCTGCTCTCTCCGCGATCTGCTTGGCGGGTTGATTACTGTTGCCACTCGCATTTCCACTTGCGTTGCCACCGCCACTGCCACTGGCACTGGCACGCCTGTGCCTGTGCGAGGAGAGCTGGGCGCGGGAGAGAACGCTGCCATCGCAGCTGATGCAATGATAGTGCGTGTGTCGCAGTGCATAGGTGCACGACGGAGAGTCGCAGACCTCACTGCTGGCTATCTTGCGGAAGCCGGCGGATCTCACATACTCCAGCCGCATATGGAGGCGACGGTGGGCGACCACCTTATTGGAATCGGTGCAAACGTAATCGCATTTACGGCAATGGAAGTGCGATGATTTCTTTGGAGCTTCTAAAAAACGATACACAATTAATTTCACATTAAAAAAGTATAATAAATACAAAAAGCAAGAGATTATGGTGCTCTTATACTATATATTATATATATATTATATATCCTTGCAGACTTTAGCCAACTCACTGACTTCAAAATCTAATTCTTTTGTTGATATTGTTGTCGAATCTTGATGCACTTTTTGCTATAATTTGAGGAGCGCATATGTTTCTATTGGATGTCCTTGCTAGCAAAACGGCTTTTTCATCTTTTCACTGATCGTTCAGATGGCAGCTTTATGGTATAGTAATCTGATCTTTATAATTTTTTGTTTAGGTCTTGGCAGCAGAATAGTTCGTGTATTGATCAAGTTTTGTTCAAACCGCAAAAGAGGTTTATGAAAGAATTCATCCTTCGACCGATCATTGCTAAGGAAGCTATATGATATAGTAGTTTGATCTTGATGATTTTTAGTTAAATTATTTGGTGCATATAAGATCGCCAAATTGGGCAAGTATGGTTTAGATTTCTTGAGAAACAAACAAGTCTATACAGGATCTCATCTTTCGACCGATTGTTCCTATGGACTAAAGCAAAGAGATGGGGATATGTGCTGAGCTTAATCAAGAAACTGAACGGAAACAGACGGACAGATGGATAGACGAACTTGTGCTGATCCTGTCGGCTTTTGATGGCTATGAAGAATATGAGATGCTTCCTGCTGCCTTCTACAGACTTTTGCACAAGGCATACATATATAAAGAAGGAGAATAAAAAGTGCGCACCTACCCGTTGCAGATGTGGACGATGTGGCATAGGTGCAGTCAGTCACATGGCATCGCATATTGGCGCGATATTGTCGAAAATCGTCGCCCATCAGTGTGTCCATGCGTTCATGCCGCGCCGTATGTTGCACGAAGCGCGTCTTGTCACAGAAACTGTAGTGGCAGTCCCGACGATTGCAATGGAAATGCGACTGATGATTCCGATAGCCGCATCTCTCGAATTTGCAATCCTCATTGAACCGGAACTTGAGGTAGCCCGATGGTATATCCTGGTCACGTGCACGCTTAACACTAACTCGACTCGTCGCTGTTGCAGTTGCAGTCGCCGTTGAATCTGAATTTGAATTTGGTTTTGGTGCACACACCTCCCCAGCAGAAGATGTGGATGCAGTTGTTGCTCCTGCAGCAGCTGTTGCTGTTGCTGCAACAGCAGCAGCTGCATTTATTAGCAGCATCTTTTGCTGGGCGGCCTGCTCCAGCAGCAGTCGCATATCCAGCTGGCCAGCGGCCAGGAAGCTGGGCAGCAGCACTTGTCGCTGATACAAATCAAGTAGTTGCTTAAATTGCATTAGTTTTATACCCGTTTCCGTTTCCGTTTCCCTTTCGATTGCCATTGACGTTGCCGTTGCCATGGCCGTTACCGTTTCCGGTTCCGGTTCCGTTTGTTGCTGCTGAACCGCACGCATGCTCAGATCTTCCGGCTGATCCGACATGCTGTTGCCGCCTGCTGACTGCTCCACTGCTGCCGTAGCTGCTCCTGCTGCTGCTGCTGCTGCGCTTGCATTCTCCGGATAGAAGGTGCCCGCTGCACGAACAACTATAAATTATAAATTGCACACACAGACACATTGCATAAACCCAGATTGATGTCATCCCATTAATATTACGCACCGGACACCCGCTCCAAGGATTTGCTGCTTGCCGCCGCCTGCATCGAAAACATCAACTGCAATCAATCAATCAATCAACGATTATTAAAATGAAAGTAAGTGCAAAAGATCATAATTTAATGATAGCTAAGCCTCGAAGATAAAGTGTGCCTTATAAAAGGTTAAAACATTTCAGATTACGTTTTGTTGGAGACGAAATTGGCCAAATATCTCAAAGATTTTTAAATCGAATCATGGCACTTAATTGGCTAGAAAATGGTTAGAATATTAGACAACTGAAAACATATTATATCTGGGCTACTCCACATAGATGGTAAATGGTTGAGTGATATATAAAACTATAGAACATTGAACATCACTGGAATAGAAACCTATCTGTCACCTTAATTGCTTGTATAAAACAAGTAAGAATACTCTAGTCTAGTCTAATATAGATCCATAGATCAGTTGGGTCTTAAAAACATATCAAATTTAGTTTCTGATTCCGGTTTCATTCGAAATTTGACACCCTGATTAAAACTATCCAACTTACTGGAATTGGAGTGCGACTTTCAGGCAACTCCTGTGTTGAAGTGGCTTTTATTGCGTTGGGTCCATTGGCCAAACTTCTTCTCGGAGAGTCGACAGTCCAAACACGTGCTCTCTTCCGACTGTTGCGTCCAGGTGTGAGATCAGCTGCACTTGGAGCACTAATTGTTTGCGTTGTTCCACCACCAAGTCTGAGGGTTGCGAGGAGGCGTTCCTCGTTGCCATCGCTGGGTGCTGCCAGTGGGACACATGTGGCCAAATCATTTTTCTCCAACTTGAAACTAGTGAATATGGCTTGAGGCGAGTGTTGAGCCTGCAGCGAGATCGAAATATGATTTCCGAATGATAATTAATAATAATAATAATCTCATTTTAATATATAAATATATATAAATCATTAAATATAAATATTTGCAATATTCTGTTTGTCAGTACATAAATTAATGAGATATTGCCAAATAGCCATTGTTCTTCGAGATTATCTATATTTATTTTTCAACAATAAGAACTCGATGCGTTTTTTAATCCCCCCTCTCTCTCTTCCCTTCCACACTCTCCCACTCTCTATTACCTTAAAAATTGTAGGCGCTGTTTCCATGTTGTTATTGCTTTTTGTCATAGTTTCGGATTTATGACAAACAGTCGCAACCAGTTTATTATTTCCGAAATTACTGTTAATGTTTGTTGTTGGCCCAAAATGTCACTATTTAAATTTTGTTCACGCATCAAAATCAATAATAATTAAAAAAATTGAAAAAATAAGGCAACGGCAAAATAAAAACCAAATACAAAAAGAGAAACCACAAAATGACACTTAAATAAGGCTAGCTTACGAATACCCTATAGAAATAATTATCTAACCTAACCAAAAAAAATTATATAAATATATATATATAAATGGAACTATTTCCAAAAGCTTACATTCATTGCGTACATATGCAAATAGAAGTCTTTAATTACATTTTCTGGGGAGTAGAGTATAAAAAAGTCGTTGCAATAATTTGTGGGCATTCGCATTCATCAAAATAATTACTCCAAAATATTGAAAAAGACAATGAAACGTGTTTGGTTTTACCTGATAAGTTGTTGCTGTTGCACACACACACACAGACAGACACACACACATAGATAGAGTCATTCATATAAGTACACACACCTTATATGATTAAATACAATATATAGAAGTTATTGTAGTTGTGTCGTTCCTTTTAATTGTCATATTCGACTCTCGAGGGCGGTCACCGAGGGTCGCTTTAAAAGTGATGAAACAATTGAAATTGTAACTCATCAAAAAATACAACAACAAAAAAACAAAAAAACAAAACTCTGAATTGCTCACATTTTGAAACTGACTTATCATTGATGGAAACATTTTAGCCACAAGGCAGCAAAATGTGTAGAAAAATGTTAAGTTTTAAACTCGCACGCAAAGTTATATAAGAAATTGCCTTGCATCAATTATCAATTGGGAAACTCGGGTTTTGACAAATCCGAATTCAAAATGGAAAAATCTAACGAAATTTAACAAATGTTAAGATATTTTCAAAATGAATAAAGTCTGATAAAAGCCGTTCTACACTGAGACTATAATATTAAACAAATTATTTGTATTTATAAATACTTTTTTAAGTAGCTGTTTTTTTTAGCTCTCTTCCTGTGTCTGTGTCTGACAAATGTAGGTCTTTATTGCGCTTAAGCAGACGACTTTAGTTTATTACCCAAAAGAAACACAGAATACCGCAAAAGGCAATGCACAAAATATTTATTCAAATTATTCGATTCACACACACACGCACACATAAGTGACAATCAGAAAGATACAAAATAACAATTGTATGTACTTGGCCAACACCTGCCTCACACCTTCCCTCCCGGCGAGGCCCACCCACCCCCCTAAACTACGACCAAGAGGCTGACGCGTGGGCTTGATAATCGTAAGCACACACTTACTCACACACACACACACACACACATATATATATATATATATATATATATATACGCACTTGTGTGTGCAAGAGCCGACAAACTGGGCTCAAAAATGTAGAAATTATGAAAATGACAGTTAAAGGCACAAAACGTACGCCAGCCAGCTGAATAGAGGATTGGTGTGTGTGTGTGTGTGTGTGTGTGTGTGTATGAGGGGGAGGGGGGTGTGTGTTGTGTGTATTATTGTCGACAGACGGGCAAGTGAAATAAATGCGGAAACACTCGTTGTCAATATTAATATGACGAATATGGCAAAACCAAATCCGAAAACTCAATTCAACACACGGCACATAAAATGCCACATTTGGCACACCCCCTCCCCACCCCTCCCCTACCAATACCCACCCCCTGCTCACCTACTCTCAAAGCCTATCAATGCAAATAGGCGCAAATTCCTATGTGAGTGTATATATTTATATATATATATATATATTTGTATAGTATGCATAGGCATTAGTTAGGGCGCGTTGGAGGCTAGACAAACCAAAAAAAATAAATAAAAAAGAAACAATGAAAATAGTATTAAAGAAAAACTATTTTAAAAGCGATTAGAGCAAAACATTTTTAATCATTTCAGCTAAATAAATATGTAAATCATGTTAGCAAAATAAATGTATATATGTATTTATATAAAAGTCTACTTCAGTCGCAGATTTGTAAACAAAAAGATTTATTAAGTGAAAATCGCACTAAAATTGAGAAATTGACGTCAATGGGAAACTGTATACAGTATGTCAATAAAGTGTTTGGACACTGGACAATATTCATATTTTCATATATATATAATCGTACAATTGTATATTTAAAAAACGGAAAATTGTGTTTTTCTGAATAGCCATTTCTTACATCTCTTAATTCAAGTCTACATTTTTCTAATTTTTTTTGATTAAAATTTGTCCAATTTAAATTGTGCATTTTTTTATGTATATAAATTGGCTAAAATTAGCATTAGATTTTTTCTTACTTTTATTATTATTAAAAACTTGAGTTTCCAATTTACTTGGTTAATAACTTATACAATTTTGTTTGAAAACAAAATCCAGAAAATTGTTCTTTTTTTTAAGGCGACTTTCACAGACGGCGATTTCCTACATTTTCGGCAAATTTCTTTTTTGAGTGTATGGAAAGATCGGTGGAGTAAAATATTGCTCCGATTTTAGAAAATTGTCTCTGAGCAATTCAATGATATAATAAATATTTTTTAAATTTGCTGATTATTGAAAAGCAGTTCAAATTTGTTCACAGTTTGAGTACTGTACATAAAGTACTGATGAACTTTGACAATTCTGATTGTACATTGAGAGATAGTGAGAAAGTCAGAGAGAGAGAGAGAGAGAGAGAGAGATTGTTTTACTTACGCTTTTGTAGACCTCCACAAAGCGATTCTTTGGCGGTCTGCCGCGTTTGCGATTAAAGAAACCATCGATTGAGGTGATTTGTGTGGGCGGAGCGGCCAACTCGTTGCTCTCGCTGATGGTGGTGGCATCCACATCCGTTGACTCCGTGCCACTGCTGATGTGCTCCATGCTATGCCAGCGCAGTCGACCCGGACACTTCCCTTGCACCCGTTTCCCGCTTATCTTTTAGGTTTGAGGGCACTTGCTGAAAGCGACACGAATTTCAATTGCAAATTGATACCTTGGGAATGCAATTGGCAAATTGGTAATGCCAAACAGTTTTAGCCAAAAAAATAAATAATAAAAGACGAAAAAAAGCAAACAGAAACACAAAAATGTGACTCATAAGCAGCTCACAAGGCGGAGGTTAATGCCGCACAGGCGCCAGTCAGCAGAAAAAGAACACCTTAGTTGTGAGAGAGCTCGACTAGCAGATACCCTGCAGCCAGCTATTGCATATAGTCGATATCGATATCGATATCGATAAAAGCACAGGCTGTAGTCATATTTGCAAAATTTCTCTTTAAGTTCATTTTGCAATTGTTCTAATCTCTTTCGACTTATGCAGATATATATATATACAAATACATATAATTATATATTTATTTGCTTATCATTGTGTGTGTGTGCTGATAGTGGATTGTTCAATATGAACAGACAGCCTGAGAGACAGAGAGACTTGCATGGCTTAATCGACTCGACTTTTGTTGCTGATCAAGAATATATAATCTGCAATATATAATATATACAATATATAACGGGTGCGTCTTCCAACACTGTTATGATACATTGGAATACAAGTTCCGTTAGTTTTGTCCAAGATCTTTGGGTTTTTCCCTTAAAATTAAACTTAAATTTAACTGTTAAAAATTAATAAAAAATGTTATGTTAATTTTACAAATTTAATTTATTTTTTATTTATTTAAAATTTTAAATTTTATAATGAAAAAACCAAGTGCCTTTAATCGAATTTCGCAGAGTGTATAAACTTTATTGGATCTGATTTGCTTTCAACTGCCTGCATTTTTTTATTATTTGAATACACATTTCAATTGAAGATCAACAGATATTCCACCTTCAAATTGATCTTTATAAACATATTTATAAATGTTCATCTACAGTAGACACAATTGAAAGTATTCCGATTTATTTGTCTACTCTCTTTAAGATCGTCCACTTTAAGATTTGATACTCATCATTTGTATCCAAAATGGGGAACTAAGTTCAATCGTTTCTAAAATTAACACTAGTTATAAATAATTAAATATCTATCATGATTCTGTCAAATATGATTTATATATAATATATATATATATATACGAGTATATGTGTATGTCTACGCTTATCTGTTGCCGTGAACTAAACAAATTTGAGCAAAAGCTCGAAATCAACACCTGATCCAGGTTCCCCTAAAGCCATTGACATCGTCTATTATCAGTGGTACTTGATAACAGCATCGTTCAATGCATATAAAATGCTATAAAATGTCAGTAGTCCGACTCTGAGAATTCAGTCTCCATCTGTTTCTATTGACACCAATTGGCCATAGCAGGAAAAGATGGAATTAAATTGGGTTGCATTTACTTTATGCATAAGTCTGATCCTGATCAAAGGCGAATCCTCTTTCGTAACTACAGCTACGAAAAATGAAGTGAGTAAATAAGAATTAATTATATTAGACAAGCGAGTTATTCCAATTCTAAATTATATCAGATCTGCAAAGCATCAAGGATAGAGGAGGAACAATGCGGATCATATGCCTATAAGGCCATCAAACCACTGCTCATCTACATGGAATTGATGAGGACAGAAGTGGAAAACCATGATAATATAACATCCATTAAGAATAGCGAAATTGAAAAGCAACAATTGAAGATATCCCAACTTGAATTAGAATTGAGAGAGCAGATTAATAAGGGAATGATCAGCAGTAAGGACAATGAATTAAAGCAGTTACAGCAAAAATTAGACCAGAAGAATGAATGTGAAACTAGAATTGAGAAATTGAAAAACTATAACAATAGAACAGCAGGGCAGGACCCTGAAATCAAGGAGTTGCTGAAGAAACTAGTTGATCAAAATGAAAATGTCGATGCAATCAAATCGAAGGAGTTTCAGAAACAGTTGGAGGAACATAAGAAATCCATTGAGGAAAAGAATCAACAAATATCCAAATTACAAAACGATGTAAAACAATGTGTAATGAAATTGGAGGACCCAAAGCAGAAACCCATTATTAGTTGCACATCTTTTGGAGATGTTCCGGGGGCTCATCAAACCAATTTCTCTAATTATTCCTTTGATGTCTTATGCGACACGGAGACAGCAGGTCCTGGATGGACAGTTATCCAGCAGCGAATCGATGGTAAGGAAGATTTCAACAGGTCTTGGACAACATACCGCAAAGGCTTTGGTTCCTTTGATGGCGACTTCTTCTTGGGCTTGGAGAAGATCCATCGCTTAACGAGCTACAAACCCCATGAACTCTATATACATCTGGAACATTTTAATGGCGATACAGAATATGCGAGATATCAACAATTTGCCATTGCTGGCGAAAGCGATGAATACCAACTGAGCATAAGTGGACTCGGTGGCAATGTCACAGATATGATGTCACAATTTAACAATCAGAAATTTTCAACATATGATCGTGATAATAATGGCAGGAATGATGTCAATTGTGCATTAGAAAACCTTGGTGGATGGTGGTACCCTGCCTTTTGTGGATGGGGGTAAGCAAATGACTCTCTTCACCATCTCTCAAATATTTAAATGTTTCTTCTTTTATTCTACAGAAGCTTAAATTCAAAGTACTATGACAGTCATGATGACGGGCAATATGATGGTATACCTGGGCTTAACCCAGTCAAAAATGTTAGAATGCTTATTCGCCCAACATAAATATAAAAATGATGCAAATGTAATATGAATTGTACTTTGGAATTGTAAATGTAATTAAAAATTAACCCTCAAATAATTAAATTGGCACTGTAATTACATCAAATTTAATGCATTTCTACTTGCGTGATTTCAACTCTCTGAACGATAACTATATAACTGTATAAATACCTGAATATATCCATTATCTTCTGGTTTTTAAAGACTATAATAATTTCCTAGCATATATAGATGTTTAACTAATAATAATATTTGAGCTCGCATAATAAATTAGCATAAATAAATTATCACTGAAATGATGACAATTCTTCGTCTTTTCGAGATTTCAACTCTGCATCGGATATGGATAACTGTATAAATAGCTGAATCTAACCATCATTTCAAAATCTTCAGATTTTCAAAGACTAACGAAGAGGAAGAAGAGTTTATGGAATCTGATTCCGGTTTGGTAATGATGAGGATAACATAAACTGCGGAACGCTTAAGATTTATTTTAGAATATTATTGAAATATGTATATGGAAATTAAATGGCAACCAGATCATAATTTAGATATACACACATTATAGATCTCTACAGACAATATGCAATCCCTAATCAAATAGAAAATCGAATAAATATTTTATTTCTATATTTATTATTAAGTATTCCTTCGAGAAGAGGGTCGATTCATTTTTGAAATTCATGTTTCTGCAAACGGATACATTATTCAAATTGATAGAATTTAGAATTTAAACACCAACATTTTTTATTTTTATTCTATTTTCTTAAATTTTATTAATATATTCTTAAATTTTTGGCACGTATTTTGAAGAACTCGATTGAAAGACCTGCCACAGCGTTCTCTATCACTGCAGTACATCAGTTGCAACAGTTGCGCAAGTTGCAACATTGCATTGCAGTGACTCCTTTTGGCTGGGCTATTTCCAAGAACGGTTTGCATATGAATCATATTAAAGTGAAGATTGCATAAATTTTATGAATGCAATTCTGGAATAACTAACAAACTGCTTGCTGCAAATGGTAAAAGATAGTTTTTTAAAAGACTTCTTGCTTGTTAAAAGAGTTAAAAAAGAACAACTAATTTTGGTTGAATTTCAAATATTTACATTTTCAGCAATTGAATATGAATAAATTGAATTTGAATTTGAACATTTTGCAATCCATTCAAATCCATTATGGATAATAAGTTCTTTTCTCCTTTTCTCTTATTTTGTTTATATATATTTTTTAATATATGTAATTAGTAGTCCATTAGTTGTGCATTGACTAATTGGAATAGGCCATGCACTATCAGCAATTTTAACCGCTGTCTGATTGCCATTAATCGATTAGCTAACTTTAGTCTGGGTGCGTCCTTTAGTTCCTCTGGCCGGGAGAGAGATTAACGATCTGCATGCGAGTATTTTAAGTCACTTAAGTCATTTATTGGTATCCATTTGAATTACTTTACACACACACACGCACACACATTGTGAGTCAAAGAAAGGCCGCAACTTGAAACCACATGGAGTCTTAACAAAAGACTAGATTTCTCAGATTAGGTTGACAAGCAGCTCTCCTTATCAGATATTATATCTCGCTCACACACACAAACACACTCGCAACCACACACGACGAGACAGAGAGAGTGAGAGACAGAGAGAGAGGAGAGCCTGATTTTTCACCTACCAATCATAGAAGCATTATTTGAATTCTTTATATCGTCTACAAATTAAAACACAACTCGAGAAATTCACAAAAATTGAAGAACAAGTTAAGCGCCAACGAGACGCGTCTGTTACCGCCAAGCAACGTTGAACGAGTGGCAAAGGTTGCGCACAAGCAGCTCACGCGAAGCCGAACTAGACACACTTGCTGCCAGCCGATTGGCTCAATGAAAGCTTAGCTCAGGATCTGATCGCTTTTAGCGCGCTCTACGTAAGCTCGACGGAGAGTAAGAGCCGGCATGCTATTGGTTAGCTGAAAGGAGCGAGAGCACGTTTGGTTTGTGACACGGCTATGGCCTGTTAGCCGAGACATAAAACATAAGCTTGCGCCTCCTCCACAAGCCAACGAGAATAAAGAGTTGAATTATCTCTTAAAGCTTCACTTGAATCGTGTCTAAGAAAGCTCGTTTCTTTTTTTATTTAAATAAAAACATTTGTTCACATTTAAAAAATTTATTTTATTTTGTAGTTTTCTTTTATTTTTTACTCAACTTTTACACAGAGAAAAATGAAATTGCAATATATAATTAAGAACATAAATCATTAAATATAAATATTTGCAATACTCTGTTTGTCAGTACATAAATTAATGAGATCATGCCAAATAGTCATTGTTCTTGGAGATTATCTATATTTTGATTTCAACAATAATGACTCGATGCGTTTTTCAGTCCCTCCCCCACTCTCCCTCTCCTCTTCCGCACTCTCCCTCTCTCTATTACCTTAAAAGTTGTAGGCGCTGTTTCCATGTTGTTATTGCTTTTTGTCATAGTTTTGGATTTATGACAAATCGTTGCAACCAGTTTATTTTTTCCGAAATGACTGTTAATGTTTGTTGTTGGCCCAAAATGTCACTATTTAAATTTTGTTCACGCATCAAAATCAATAATAATTAAAAAAATTGAAAAAATAAGGCAACGGCAAAATAAAAACCAAATACAAAAAAAGAAACCACAAAATACCACTTAAATAAGGCCAGCTTACGAATACCCTATAGAAATAATTATCTAACTTAACAAAAAAAAATTATATAAATATATATATATATATATATATATATATATATATATATATATATATGTAGATATATAAAATAAATGGAACATAATGGAACGTACATATGCAAATATACGTCTTTAATTACATTTTAGGAAATAAATATTTATATATATTCTGGGGAGTAGAGTATAAAAAAGTCGTTGCAATAATTTGTGGGCATTCGCATTCATAAAAATAATTACTCCAAAGTATTGAAAAAGACAATGAAACGTGTTTGGTTTTACCTGATAAGTTGTTGCTGTTGCACACACACACACAGCCAGACACACACACATAGATAGAGTCATTCATATAAGTACACACACCTTATATGATTAAATACAATATATAGAAGTTATTGTAGTTGTGTCGTTCCTTTTAATTGTCATATTCGACTCTCGAGGGCGGTCACCGAGGGTCGCTTTAAAAGTGATGAAACAATTGAAATTGTAACTCATCAAAAAATACAACAACAAAAAAACAAAAAAACAAAACTCTGAATTGCTCACATTTTGAAACTGACTTATCATTGATGGAAACATTTTAGCCACAAGGCAGCAAAATGTGTAGAAAAATGTTAAGTTTTAAACTCGCACGCAAAGTTATATAAGAAATTGCCTTGCATCAATTATCAATTGGGAAACTCGGGTTTTGACAAATCCGAATTCAAAATGGAAAAATCTAACGAAATTTAACAAATGTTAAGATATTTTCAAAATGAATAAAGTCTGATAAAAGCCGTTCTACACTGAGACTATAATATTAAACAAATTATTTGTATTTATAAATACTTTTTTAAGTAGCTGTTTTTTTTAGCTCTCTTCCTGTGTCTGTGTCTGACAAATGTAGGTCTTTATTGCGCTTAAGCAGACGACTTTAGTTTATTACCCAAAAGAAACACAGAATACCGCAAAAGGCAATGCACAAAATATTTATTCAAATTATTCGATTCACACACACACATAAGTGACAATCAGAAAGATACAAAATAACAATTGTATGTACTTGGCCAACACCTGCCTCACACCTTCCCTCCCGGCGAGGCCCACCCACCCCCCTAAACTACGACCAAGAGGCTGACGCGTGGGCTTGATAATCGTAAGCACACACTTACTCACACACACACACACACATATATATATATATATATATATATATATATACGCACTTGTGTGTGCAAGAGCCGACAAACTGGGCTCAAAAATGTAGAAATTATGAAAATGACAGTTAAAGGCACAAAACGTACGCCAGCCAGCTAAATAGAGGATTGGTGTGTGTGTGTGTGTGTGTGTGTGTGTGTGTGTGTATGAGGGGGAGGGGGGTGTGTGTTGTGTGTATTATTGTCGACAGACGGGCAAGTGAAATAAATGCGGAAACACTCGTTGTCAATATTAATATGACGAATATGGCAAAACCAAATCCGAAAACTCAATTCAACACACGGCACATAAAATGCCACATTTGGCACACCCCCTCCCCACCCCTCCCCTACCAATACCCACCCCCTGCTCACCTACTCTCAAAGCCTATCAATGCAAATAGGCGCAAATTCCTATGTGAGTGTATATATTTATATATATATATATATATTTGTATAGTATGCATAGGCATTAGTTAGGGCGCGTTGGAGGCTAGACAAACCAAAAAAAATAAATAAAAAAGAAACAATGAAAATAGTATTAAAGAAAAACTATTTTAAAAGCGATAAGAGCAAAACATTTTTAATCATTTCAGCTAAATAAATATGTAAATCATATTAGCAAAATAAATGTATATATGTATTTATATAAAACTCTATGTCAGTCGCAGATTTGTAAACAAAAAGATTTATTAAGTGAAAATCGCACTAAAATTGAGAAATTGACATCAATGGGAAACTGTATACAGTATGTCAATAAAGTGTTTGGACACTGGACAAAATTCATATTTTCATATGTATATAATCGTACAATTGTATATTTAAATAACGGAAAATTGTGTTTTTCTGAATAGCAATTTCTTACATCTCTTAATTCAAGTCTACAATTTTCTACAATTTTGTTTTTTTTTTTTTGATTAAAATTTGTCCAATTTAAATGGTGCATTTTTTTATGTACATAAATTAGCTAAAATCAGCATTAGCTTTTTTCTTACTTTTATTATTATTAAAAACTTGAGTTTCCAATTTACTTGGTTAATAACTTATACAATTTTGTTTGAAAACAAAATCCAGAAAATTGTTCTTTTTTTAAGGCGACTTTCACAGAAGGGCGATTTTCTACATTTTCGGTAATTTCTTTTTTGAGTGTATGGAAAGATAGATGGGGTAAAATATTGCTCCGATTTTAGAAAATTGTCTCTGAGCAATTCAATGATATAATAAATATTTTTTAAATTTGCTGATTATTGAAAAGCAGTTCAAATTTGTTCACAGTTTGAGTACTGTACATAAAGTACTGATGAACTTTGACAATTCTGATTGTACATTGAGAGATAGTGAGAAAGTCAGAGAGAGAGAGAGAGAGAGAGAGATTGTTTTACTTACGCTTTTGTAGACCTCCACAAAGCGATTCTTTGGCGGTCTGCCGCGTTTGCGATTAAAGAAACCATCGATTGAGGTGATTTGTGTGGGCGGAGCGGCCAACTCGTTGCTCTCGCTGATGGTGGTGGCATCCACATCCGTTGACTCCGTGCCACTGCTGATGTGCTCCATGCTATGCCAGCGCAGTCGACCCGGACACTTCCCTTGCACCCGTTTCCCGCTTATCTTTTAGGTTTGAGGGCACTTGCTGAAAGCGACACGAATTTCAATTGCAAATTGATACCTTGGGAATGCAATTGGCAAATTGGTAATGCCAAACAGTTTTAGCCAAAAAAATAAATAATAAAAGACGAAAAAAAGCAAACAGAAACACAAAAATGTGACTCATAAGCAGCTCACAAGGCGGAGGTTAATGCCGCACAGGCGCCAGTCAGCAGAAAAAGAACACCTTAGTTGTGAGAGAGCTCGACTAGCAGATACCCTGCAGCCAGCTATTGCATATAGTCGATATCGATATCGATATCGATAAAAGCACAGGCTGTAGTCATATTTGCAAAATTTCTCTTTAAGTTCATTTTGCAATTGTTCTTATTTCTTTCGACTTATGCAGATATATATATATATACAAATACATATAATTATATATTTATTTGCTTATCATTGTGTGTGTGTGCTGATAGTGGATTGTTCAATATGAACAGACAGCCTGAGAGACAGAGAGACAGAGAGACTTGCATGGCTTAATCGACTCGGCTTTTGTTGCTGATCAAGAATATATAATCTGCAATATATAATATATACACCCGTAACGGGTGCGTCTTCCAACACTGTTATGATACATTGGAATACAAGTTCCGTTAGTTTTGTCAAAGATCTTTGGGTTTTTCCCTTCGTATGGTTTAATTATTGGTAATAAACAGATGTATACAAATTTGGAATGGGCATGGAAAAAAACACTCTAACCTGAGGAAGTAGCGAAGATCCTTGTTTACAAATATCAATTATATTATGTGGATCGGCATCAATTATATTATGTCGATCGGCAATTGATGATTTGTTAAAATTAAAAGAAAACTAAAACAAATAATGCTAAAAAACCAACATCAAACAATTATCACACAGGTAGAAATCTGCAATCTTATGGCCTGGGTCCAGCCCATAAAAGTGCTACGGCATCTAATATTCGATTTGATTTAAGGTTACAAATATCGAAACATCGTGTTCAACAAATTTGATCAGAAAGTACTCGATTGGTTTGGAAGACAATGAGAGAGAAAATGAGTAGCTACGAAGGCCGAAAGCTATCTGAGTTCTGAATAGTTGTTGAATCGATGTCAATTCGAATTTTATTAGTTATAAACAAATCTGGAGGCGGAACACATTATTAAGTTGCTATTTTCATATTATATTAATTTTATTAGCACTGCCTTTAATCGAATTTCGCAACTTAACCTTAAAATTAAACTTGAACTTAACTGTTAAAAATTAATACAAAATGTTATGTTAATTTTACAAATTTAATTCCTTTTTTATTTGACGTGCATTTAAAACAGCTAACTTTTGTGGAAAACATTTTTTTAATTTTATTTTAAATTTTATAATGAAAAAACCAAGTGCCTTTAATCGAATTTCGCGGAGTGTATAAACTTTATTGGGTCTGATTTGCTTCCAACTGCCTGCATTTCTTTATTATTGGAATTCACATTTCAAATGAAGATCAACAGATATTCCATCTTCAAACTGAACTTAAACATATTTATATATGTTCATCTACAGTAGACACAATTGAAAGTATTCCCATTTATTTGTCTACTCTCTTTAAGATTTGATACTCATCATACATATTTATAAATGGGGAACTAAGTTCAATCGTTTCTAAAATGAGCACTAGTTCAGTTATAAATAATTAAATATCTATTATGATTCTGTCAAATAAAATTTGATGCTATTGCGAAATAAATATATATATATATATATATATATATATATATATATATATATATATAGGTCACACTTGTCTGTCTACGCTTATCTGTTGCCGTGAACTAAACAAATTTGAGCAAAAGCTCGAAATTAGAACCTGATCCAGGTTCCTCTAAAGCCATTGACGTCGTCTATTATCAGTGGTACTTGACAACATCGTTCAATGCATATAAAATGCTATAAAATGTCGGTAGTCCAACTCAGAAAAATTAGTCTCATCTGTTTCTATTGACACCAATTGGCCATAGTAGGAAAAATGGAATTAAATTGGGTTTCATTTACTTTATGCATAAGTCTGATCCTGATCAAATGCGAATCCTCTTTCGCAACTACAGCTACGACAAATGAAGTGAGTAAATAAGAATTAATTATGTTAGAGAAGCGAGTTATTCCAATTCTAAATTATATCAGATCTGCAAAGCATCAAGGAGAGAGGAGGAACAATGCGGATCATATGCCTATAAGGCCATCAAACCACTGCTCATCTACATGGAATTGATGAGGACAGAAGTGGAGAGCTATGGTAATAAAACGTTCATTAAGAATAGAGAAATAGAAGAGAAACAATTGAAGATATCCAAACTTGAATCAGAATTAACAGAGCAGATTAATAAGGGATTGATCAGCAGTAGAGACAATGAATTAACGCAGCAAAAGTTAGACCAGCAAAATGTATATAAAACTATCATTCAGGAACTGAGAGAGTCGCAGAAGAAACTAGTTGATCAAAATGAAAATGTCGCCACCATACAGGAATTGAGAAATCAGATAGATTTATACAAGAATAACAATGACAATTTGCAATCAATCAGGAATGAATTAAACAATTTGCAATCAATTAGGATTGAATTAAATAAGCTCAATTCACAGAAATATGCGGAATGCACAAGTGATTTAATCACCAAACAAAAACTTCAAATCGACAGCGATGCAATCAAATTGCAGGAGCTTAAGAAACAGTTGGATGAACAAAAGATAAATATTGACCAAAAGAACCAAGAAATATCCAAATTAAAATATCATATTAATAGCGATGCGAACAAATCGAAGGAGTTTCAGAAACAGTTGGAGGAACAAAAGAAAAATATTGACCAAAAGAACCAAGAAATATCCAAATTAAAAGATCATATTAATAGCGATGTGAACAAATCGAAGGAGTTTCAGAAACAGTTGGAGGAACAAAAGAAAAATATTGACCAAAGGAACCAAGAAATATCAAAATTAAAAGCTCAAATTAATGACGAGGCAGTCAAATCGGAGGAGTTTCAAAAACAGTTGGAGGAACAAAAGAAAAATATTGACCAAAAGAACCAAGAAATATCCAAATTAAAAGATCATATTAATAGCGATGCGAACAAATCGAAGGAGTTTCAGAAACAGTTGGAGGAACAAAAGAAAAATATTGACCAAAAGAACCAAGAAATATCCAAATTAAAAGATCATATTAATAGCGATGCGAACAAATCGAAGGAGTTTCAGAAACAGTTGGAGGAACAAAAGAAAAATATTGACCAAAAGAACCAAGAAATATCCAAATTAAAAGATCATATTAATAGCGATGCGAACAAATCGAAGGAGTTTCAGAAACAGTTGGAGGAACAAAAGAAAAATATTGACCAAAAGAACCAAGAAATATCCAAATTAAAAGCTCAAATTAATGACGAGGCAGTCAAATCGGAGGAGTTTCAAAAACAGTTGGAGGAACAAAAGAAAAATATTGACCAAAAGAACCAAGAAATATCCAAATTAAAAGATCATATTAATAGCGATGCGAACAAATCGAAGGAGTTTCAGAAACAGTTGGAGGAACAAAAGAAAAATATTGACCAAAAGAACCAAGAAATATCCAAATTAAAAGATCATATTAATAGCGATGCGAACAAATCGAAGGAGTTTCAGAAACAGTTGGAGGAACAAAAGAAAAATATTGACCAAAAGAACCAAGAAATATCCAAATTAAAAGATCATATTAATAGCGATGCGAACAAATCGATGGAGTTTCAGAAACAGTTGGAGGAACAAAAGAAAAATATTGACCAAAAGAACCAAGAAATATCCAAATTAAAAGATCATATTAATGACGAGGCAGTCAAATCGGAGGAGTTTCAAAAACAGTTGGAGGAACAAAAGAAAAATATTGACCAAAAGAACCAAGAAATATCCAAATTAAAAGATCATATTAATAGCGATGCGAACAAATCGAAGGAGTTTCAGAAACAGTTGGAGGAACAAAAGAAAAATATTGACCAAAAGAACCAAGAAATATCCAAATTAAAAGATCATATTAATAGCGATGCGAACAAATCGAAGGAGTTTCAGAAACAGTTGGAGGAACAAAAGAAAAATATTGACCAAAAGAACCAAGAAATATCCAAATTAAAAGATCATATTAATAGCGATGCGAACAAATCGAAGGAGTTTCAGAAACAGTTGGAGGAACAAAAGAAAAATATTGACCAAAAGAACCAAGAAATATCCAAATTAAAATATCATATTAATAGCGATGCGAACAAATCGAAGGAGTTTCAGAAACAGTTGGAGGAACAAAAGAAAAATATTGACCAAAAGAACCAAGAAATATCCAAATTAAAAGATCATATTAATAGCGATGCGAACAAATCGAAGGAGTTTCAGAAACAGTTGGAGGAACAAAAGAAAAATATTGACCAAAAGAACCAAGAAATATCCAAATTAAAAGATCATATTAATAGCGATGCGAACAAATCGAAGGAGTTTCAGAAACAGTTGGAGGAACAAAAGAAAAATATTGACCAAAAGAACCAAGAAATATCCAAATTAAAAGATCATATTAATAGCGATGCGATCAAATCGAAGGAGTTTCAGAAACAGTTGGAGGAACAAAAGGAAAATATTGACCAAAGGAACCAAGAAATATCAAAATTAAAAGATCATATTAATAGCGAGGCAGTCAAATCGAAGGTGTTTCAAAAACAGTTGGAGGCAGATAAGAAAAACATTGACCAAAGGAACCAACACATATCCCAATTAATAGGTCAAATTAATAGAGATGCGATCGAATCGAATGAGTTTCAGAAACAGTTGGAGGAAGATAAGAAAAACATTGACCAAAGGAACCAACAAATATCCAATCTCCAACAACAGTTGGAGGAACATAAGAAAACCATTGGGAAAATGAATAGAAAAATATGCAGATTAAAAAAGAATGTAAAAAAATATAAAAAATATTATTATAATAATGACTCGGACTATTCATATTATTAACTGTTTTCTTCTTTTCTTCTC